GGTTTTAGTTGAGATGAAAAAAAGTTAATGGCACGAGCGGTATTCGAACCCACGATCTTCGGCTAGATACGCCGCTGCTCTACCACTTGAGCTATCGTGACCTCGATCCACTCAGACATCACTTCCTATCTCAACGCCACCTTATGAGTTTTCCCTCCTTTTTGCCATTTTTCAAGTGGTAGAGCACCGGCGTATCTAGCCGAATAATAATTCCATAATTTTGTTTATTGGACGCAATATCCGTTTTTCTGCTTCAGGGCAACCAATGTTAAGACTAGGAAGCCCAAATCTGTATTTGAAACCATTCAGCACCGAAACAAAACAAAAAAATCAAACAGAGAAACGCACTGCTCCACTTCACGGCTTCCACTGATGAGGGTCGAGGGAGTTTTGACCGAAAGATTGAAGGGTTGATTGGAGCACGCTTGATGCTCCCATCAATCGGAGGTTCAAGCATTTGATCAAGCCGCTTGATAGTGTAGGGGCACCTTTACATGCGGACTAATGTTGCCAAGCTGTAGTCTGTGTAGAAACTAATTTGACAGAAGATTGTACTGGTACTGACTTCGTATTTCTTAAAACATTACTGTCGCAAGCCTCAGGAACTTCTGAGTTTCTGAGACTTGGGACAGTAGCCATTAATTTTTTTTAAGCAATGCGAAGCCAGTACCAGTACAATCTTCTGCCAGAATGGCAATTAATCCCTAATAGAAAAATAATGTCATGTCATTAATAATAATTTAGTTATAACTTAACGAGCTGAGGTAAGTGTCGCTAAATAGAAACTAAACCTCTGTATTTTAATGTATATATTTGTAAATAAAAATTTTGTTCTGTTCCATGTAACCGTTTTTTTAAACATATATCGGATGGACGAACGTTTAATTCGTTTCCTATTAAATCTTGCTGAAATAACGATTATTCTAAAATACTATTAAATATAGATCGGTGATTCCAAAAGCAGTGAGGCTTATGATACATTTGTAATAATTTATTATAATTTATATCAAACTTCAAGTCGACTTGAGGCTCATTTTCTTTTTTGTAAACGATTTCATAAAGAAAAAATAAGCTCAATGCAACAGTTGAACATAAAACAGGCAAATGAGATGTTCACACTTTTCAAGTTATGTCAACTCATCACTTGAACGGAATGACTCGATTTGAACGGCGTATGTATGACTGGTTCAACTTTATTTGATCAACAAAGTTGAACAACAAAAATTGAATCGTGAGAACGCACCATAAGACAAGATCATCGAGGAGATAAAGCCAGGGAGAGGGCGATGATGTAATAACCCGTTGTACGAGAGGTAAATGGCCTTTCGCGAGGAATAGGAAATGCCAAAAGTTGGCGAGATGGCTTTACCGGAGAAATTCACGAAGAGGAAAACTGACTCCAACCAGCATCATCCTCCTCTCCAACTTATGAGAAACCCATCTCCAAATTGCTGATGAAGAGGATATCAGTGCTTCGAATAGCTTAAACTAGAATAAATTCTTTTAAGTAGTAAAAGTTTAATAATAACAATCCTAAACTGACAAATAAGGTCGACAACTAAAGATAGATTTAGCGGTAGCCTAGGATCCCATTAACAGTGGCCCGTTTTGCAGATCAGCTTTTGGTCATTACCTACAGTGCCACAATGTCTCGGAACTTGTACACCAGAGGATCTAAATCGTTCCAGGGCAAGCAATATCACCTGAACCAGCGTTGCAAATAGAATTGCTTTTTTATTGCCAAAAGAGCAGTCTTTGCAGACTATTGGTAAATTTATAGTTTGAGAGTTACCTATCGTCTTGGTCTGACTATCCTCGTCGTTTTTTGTCATTCAGACCTTTGATCTTCGATCGTTTTCCTTTTTAATTTGTATAACGTTTTAAATTATGTAAACGATGATGTGAGTTATTATTAATTTATGTATTTATGAGTTTTTTTAGCGTTGTATATGTTATGTTTATATATTTGTACATGTTCAAATATGTTCATTTTTTGTCTTTTTCATTCGTTGTATTTCCGTAATTGTTTGTACGTTGTCTATTTGATGAGTTAATTCGATTTTCTGTCGTTGTCCCTAAAGTCTAAACGATTTGATGTTTTCCTGGTAACTGTCTTTTATTTTTCGTCCTGTCTGTCTGATGTATTTGTCTCAGCATTAGCATGTTAGTGTGTATATTCCGTTTTTTCTAGTGGGCGGGTCTTGTCGATGTTTTTGTGTTTGTATTTTCTCATTATGTTTGTGGTTTTCAGCGATGCTTTTATGCCTAATTTGTTGAATAAGTTAGTTTGAATGTTTCTATCCCAATGTTTGTGAATGTGGTCTATTAATAGTCTGTTTTTGTGGTATGGCTTTGTTTATTATTTTGGTGTGGTAGCCGTTATAGTGTGATGGTTTGTATTCTTTTTAGTTCGTTTTCGTACTTGTCTTTGGTTAGCGGTAGTGATTTTAATCTGTCATGTACTTGAGTGCATTTTTTTTGCAAATTTAGTCCAATTTTCACTTTTCTCCTCTGGTTTCCTGTCAACCATTCATCTTTTGTTTCAGACCTTGGAACATGGTCTTGTTATTTGAGGTGATCTTCTACCTTGCCTCTATCTCTAATTCCTCTACTGTGCCTTGATTACGTTTTACCACAAACATTTTTTTTTAAATATAAATTTAGTCCAATTTTGATCTTTTCCCTGCTAGTTCCGACAAAAGAGTTTTTAATCGTTTGACTAAACATTTATCCAACGAACTGCACAATTACCTAAATAACCAATACTCGACTTATACCCAATCACTAACTACTGACGACAATTCACTATGAACCGGAATACTCAAATATAAAAACATACCCCTTCGTCTCCAACGGGCAGATGGAACTTGGGCCAAATCCGAAGAGGACAAAGCCCAACTCCTAGCCCAACACGTCTCTGCAGTATTCAATCCCCACCCAGATATCCAAGACCTCCACCATTCTGAATCTTTAATGAACCATTACCTCTCTCCCTCCCTCCAAAACCATTCTCTCCTGATGAAGTCAAACAGGCCATCCTACCGTTCCAAAAAGAAAAGTCTAGGCTATGACCTAATCACTCCCATCATCTTATCCCAACTACCTAAAAACGCCATTATCCAACCTACCTATTAAACGCCGTTCTACGTACAACCCATTTCCCCACCTGTTGGAAATTTTCATCTATCAGAATGCTCCTCAAACCTAAGAAACCAAATCACCTTCCTAGCTTCTACCGATCCATCAGTCTGCCCATTATCGGCAAAATTCTCGAAAAGCTCCTGATGACCCGCTTGTCCAAGGAAATCCCTACAAACACAATTCCCATCACCAATTCGGCTTTCGGAGTTGCCACTCAACTGTACAACAAGCATATCACATAATCGACGTTATTTCCACATCCCTTGAGCTAAAACAGTATTACCCGGCTATGTTCTTAGATATACACCAGGCCTTTGACCGAGTATGGCACTCTGGGCTGCTGTGGAAGCTCAAGAACATCCTACCAACAACCTATTACCTTATCCTAAAATCCTATCTTAACGATCGTTACTTCCAAGTATCCCAAAGAAATTCATTGTCTCCTATCCATCCTATTCTAGCAGGTGTACCACAGGGCAGCGTGCTCGCTCTTTTCCTTTACTCGATTTACACCTCCGACTTACCTACGCAACCTAACACTATCACCTTCACCTTTGCCGATGATACTGCAATCCTTTCTCCTCATAAAGGTCCCGTCACAGCGTCCCATAATCTCCAAAATCACTTACACATCCTAGAATGCTGGCTCCGACAGATTAGAATCAAGATCAACGAAACCAAATCAACATAATATTTACCCAAACAAGAAAACGCTCCCACCAGTATACTTCAAAACGTTCCCATCCCAATTGCGAACCATGTACGATACCTCGGCCTCTACTTGGACAAACGACTGACGTGGAATCCTCCGACTTAAGCGCACAGACTGTAACATACGATTTTTCATGCTTAAACGACAAAAGAAAACTTTACATTGCCCTCCTGGCCCCCATTTGGACATAGGGACTTGAACTTTACGGGACTGCTAAGCGTTCTAACCTCAATCGAATCCAATCCCTTCAATCTTAAATCCTCAGAACAATAGTCAACGCCCCTTTCTATGTATCCAATCACACCATACCGACCTAAACGTCCCTCTTGTTACCGAGCTAGCCCAATCCCGCAACAAAACGTTCCATTCCAAACTACCCCATCATCCGAACCCTTTCGTTAAGAACCTGCCATCCACCACATTACCTAATAATCCCAACAGAAGACTGAAGCGGTGGCCCCGCGATAACCTTAACACTTGACATCGCTCTCCTAGGACGGAGTCCATCTCGCTCATCGTATTGATGTACTAACGGCTACCATCACTGGATGGTAGCTGTTCAAGTTTTCATGCTACTGTTATTATTGTTTAGATGTAAATATTATATGTTTTACTTGTTGCGTCGAAGAATGCAGATGTAAAAAAAAAAAATCCCTGCATCTTTTGTTTCAGACCTTGGATCACGGGATACTTTATGATCGTGTTATTTGACGTGACCTTTTAGGTTGCCTCTATCTCTCATTCCTCTTTTGTGCCTTGATTCTATACATTTTACCACAAATATTTTATTTTTGCTAATTTAGTCCAATTTTGATCTTTCCCCTATGGTTTCTTGTCAAACATTCATCCTTGGATCATGGGATACATTACGATATTGTAACTTGAGGCATTTTTCCTTCTTATATCTGTAAAATAAAAATGAGAAGTGAAAAATGGGGAATAAAACAACCGGTTGGCTGTTTTTCCGCGGGTTTTTTCGGCCGTGAATGGTCAACCTGTGGTCACCCAGTGCTTGGCATTTCTCGAGTCGAAAAGTACCAACACCAAGTCACACCACGTCTTGCGGGCCGTGGGATTTTTGAACCCGTCCAAGGTTGGGGCGAAGTCCGCACAGTCGAAGTGGGAGGGCATCGATCATTGGCCATTGCCGTGACGCCGTCGCGCTCGTCAGTTTCCTCCGATCCGTAACCTCGTCTACTGCTACTCTCGGACGGATCACGTGTCGTTGCGCTATTCTTAAAAAAGCTCAGAATTTTATGAAAAGTCCGGTCCCGGATTTAAAAAAAAAACATGTTGACTTCTGTTCCTGAGAAGATCTCTTTCTCGGAGGAGGAAGAGCGCATCCTCGAATACTGGAAATCGATCGACGCTTTCCAAGAGTGCCAGAGACTTTCCAAAGGGCGACCAGAGTATGTCAAATTTATTTAATTTAATATTCTTATTATGCCGAATTTTTCCACATTTCGCAAATCCAATGTCGATGCTTGGCATTCCCCAGGTTGAATTCCAATTTGTCAAAAGTGCCGGTATTTCCGAAGTTCGGAGCGTGTTCACGATCGCGCCAACTTTGCGAATTTCGTCACGCCCATGAGCCGGATGCCGGCTTAACTGCCTTGGTTAAAATTATTTTTTTGAAAAAGTACTAATTTCGTCCTATTTCCAACCCGTCGGTATTTTTATTTGATCTTTACCAAGCCTAGTTTCATAACGTAGGTCAGTGTTAAGAGGCCTGCAGATGAGTATTTCGTTTCTATTCCCTCGGGCCTTTTCACGATTTCCTCCCTGTATTTTCTAAGAAACCCTCTTTTCAATAATTAATTTTTTACTTTTTTTTTATTAAACCAAAACGTAATGTAACATTTTAGAAATGGATCATGACCGCTAATTACGACTAGACCTTTGTTCGTAAAATCCCCCCTCTTTCAAATTACACCTCAAGGGCTGGCAATTTTTCCGCGGCATTGATTCTATAATTATGCCGGAAATTCGAGTTTCATACTTTATAAAAAGAAAAGTCACTCAGTAACTGCCAAATGGGTCGTGAAAGATGATTTATTTAGAAAATGATGAAATCAGTACGAAAGTTTCAAACGTGCACGCTTCCGTTGGATTAGTCATCATTAGATGTCATCATTTGATTTTAAAAACAGATTTTTTTGTCACCTTCCCATTGTTTAAAAAGAATATCAAACATCTGACAATCGGCTGCGTCAATACTTTAAACAAATAGTAGTCTAAAAGAATTAACTTCAACTGGTGGAACGTAGGTCTAAGATTTTAAAATGAGGTAAAACTGGGTATGAAAAAGTGAACGTCTATAGCAAGTTGACAAATAATGATATAATCTTTTTATGATATTGATATAATCATCAATATCAATAAAACAATATATTCTGTTTGAACATGGTTTAATTCTCCTTTGTACCTGTATTCTAAATCAGGAAAAAATGTTAAGGTAAAATTGATCTTCGATGGTCAAGTGAAAAATGATGAAATCATCTCTTCAATTAATTAAATCAAGAGTTAATATAATCATAAAAAACCAGGCAATAAAACAATTTAATTCTGTTTGAACATCCGTTAATTCTCCTTTGTACCTGTTTTTAAATCAGGTAAAAATGTGAAGGTAAAACTGATCTTCGATGGTCAAGTGAAAAATGATGAAATCATCTCTTCATGATGATCATCAAAAACTCAGCAATAAAACAATTTTTAAGTCTGAACGTACTTTCATTCCTTCTGTTACCTGGAAATATTTTTTTAATCGGGTAAAAATGGAAATGAATAAGTGATCTTCAATGGAAAAATGAATAAATTATTTATATCGACATAATGATGGATCACCATTTTTCAATTTACCATTCACAATCACTTTTTCACTCCCGTTTTTTCTGATTACAAAAAATACATGTAAAAGGGGGAATGAAAGCACGTTCGAACAGAAGGAAAAAAATGTTTTGCCTGGTTTTTGATGATAATATCAACATCATAAAAAGTTGATTTCATCATTTTTCAATTTACCATTGTCGATCACTTTCTTCATTCTTTATTTATGTAATTACAAAAAAATACCTACAGGTAAAAGGGGACTGAACGCACCGCCCCCCAGTTTTTTATGGTTATATCAATATTATAAAAGATAATTTCATCATCTGCCTGGTTACCATTGAAGATCACATCTTCATTCCACTTTTACCCGATTTTAAAGCCTTATACATTCATACTATCGACAGTTTGCAGTTAATTTTTATTTTATTTTATTTATTTTTTTAAAATTGTAATAACCCCGCCTGTTATCAAATGTTTAATATTATTTTTAATAATAGAAATGGTGAGGAAAAAACTATTTTTAAATTCAAATGACAAAGGAAGCCCACAATATTGAAACTTTCGTCCTGATTTCATCATTATCGGCATAAATCATCTTACATGACCTAGTTGGCAGTAACTTACCGACTTTTGTAAGGCATCAAATTCGAATTTCGTCGTAACGACCGTGTTCATAATTATAGAATCAACATGCTTTTTGTGCCCCTTTTATCTATTCTTTAATGAAGGAAAAATTTAAAATTAAAAAAAAAATTTATTAGGACATGCTTTCATTCCCACTTTTACCTGTAAGTATTTAAAAAAAAATCAGGTAGAAAGGTCACATAATGAAATTATGTTGTTATGATGTAATAATGACCAATAACCCTGCTATAAAACATTTTTATTCTGTATTAGGACATTCTTTCATTCCAACTTTTGCCTATAAGTATTTAAAAAAAAAAAATCAGGTAAAAAGGTCACATAACGAGATAATTTTGTTATCATGTTATAATGACCAATATCCCGCCAGTAAAACATCTTACTTCTGTTAGGATATGATATCATTCTCCCCTTTACCTGTAAGTATTTGTAAAAAATCAGATAAAATGGTCACTTAATGAAGTAACCTTTTATGATGTAATAATGACCAATAACCTTGCAATAAAACATTTTCCTTTTGTTAGGACAAGCTTTCATTCCTCCTTTTATCTGTAAATATTTAAAAAAATCAGGTAGGTCACATAATTGAATTAATGTTGTTATGTGTAATAATGACCAATAAAGCTGCAATAAAACATTTTCCTTTGGTTATCACATGCTTTCATTTCCCCTTTTACCTCTAAGCATTTCAAAAAATCAGGTAGAAAGGTCACATAATGAAATAATGTTCTTATGATGTAATAATAACCAATAACCCTGCAATAAAACATTTTCCTTATGTATTAGGACATTCTTTCATTCCCCTTTTTACCTGTAAATATTTTTAAAAAATCAGGTAGGTCACAAAATGAAATAATGTTGTTATGATGTAATAATGACCAATAACCCTGTAATAAAATACTTTCCTTTTGTTAGAACATGCTTTTACTTGTAAGTATTAAAAAAAAAAAGTTTTTCCTTAATCAAATGTAGGTACTTTTTCACAAATTGAAACTGGCTAAAGTTATATAAAATATACAGTTACGACTGTTTGAAGGTAAATAAAAGTACAAAACTAAAACGGTGATCTTTATTGACAGTTCTTCTCCATATGTTTTAACTAAGTTGTTGCATAATGAATATGGTGAAATTTGATGACAAACGAGCTGTAGATGCATTTAAATAGTGGAATGTAAAAGCTGTTGTCAGTAATTTTTTTTTACTTAATCGTGTTTTAAGAACAAGAGAAGGAAAAAATGCTGACAGTTCATGTATTTTCAAACCCCAGCAGTAATGTCTCAAGGGTTTTTGCTTGTTTATTTCATCACATCTAATTTTGCATGTGATGCCGATCTGGCAAAATTGATTTCCTGTCCAATAGGCTATCATGGTTTTTTTTGTTTTCTTTTTTTCATGATTTTCAACCCTTTTTTTGCCAGTTGTGCCCACTAAATCATCAGACAAAAAGGAAAAAGTTTGAAAGAATTTAATTTTGATATTGTGTTATATTGTTACTGTCTTGTTACAAAATAAAAATAAATTTAAATTTATTTTTATCTCAACTAAAAACTATCTTTCAATTAATTGAAAGATATTAATTGGTCAAGCGGACCACGAAAACTAGTGAATTTTAAATTTAAAATTGGCATAGCCTATCAGAGGATGCACTTCAAACATATATTTATCGTATTCTTGAAAATGAGGAAATCAATTGTTTCAATTTTTTTATCACGTGTAAAACAAACAAAACTGCTTATAAACAAATATTCATTCTGACGTGATGCCCAAAATATGAGTTAATAAATAAACAACTTAATTTTTTTAAATTATTCGCTGTTGTTTTAACAATTGTATCCCTTTACAGATATTCTTTTTACGATGGGCCCCCATTTGCCACTGGTCTTCCTCATTATGGACATATTCTAGCTGGAACAATAAAGGATGTTGTGACACGATACGCTTACCAAAATGGATACCATGTTGAAAGAAGATTTGGTTGGGATTGTCATGGATTGCCAGTGGTAATATTGATGTTCTATCCATTTTTTGTTTAATAAGCCTTTTTGGGTCTATTAATTTTTAATTTTTAGGAGTTTGAAATTGATAAAACTTTTAACTTCAAATCACCAGAAGACATCGAAAAATTTGGTGTCGCTAATTATAATAAGGAGTGCAGGCAAATTGTAATGAGATATTCCAAGGAATGGGAAAAGATCGTCAATCGTATTGGCCGTTGGATTGGTAATTATTATTGAAACTCAATGTGTTTATCTTTTTTAACCAAAAATTTATTTATTTTTATTTTTTAGATTTCAAAAATGACTACAAAACCCTCTATCCTTCATTTATGGAAAGTGTATGGTGGGTGTTTTCGGAATTGTGGAACAAAGGAATGGTTTATAGAGGTGTGAAAGTAATGCCTTTTTCTACAGCATGCCACACTCCACTATCAAATTTTGAATCGAGCCAAAATTACAAGGACGTAATTGATCCAGCCAGTAAGTTGTTTTTTGTTGTCTCAGTTTTTTTTGTTTGTCTTAACAATTTAAAACTATTTCAGTCGTGCCAAAATTCCAACTTAAGAAGGATCCTAATTGTTTCCTGTTAGCTTGGACAACCACGCCTTGGACTCTGCCCAGTAATTTAGCAATATGCGTACACCCTGAGTTTATTTATGTAAAATTAAGAGGTATTGTTTATTTTTTATTTTAATTTTAATAATAAAGAAAATCCAAATGAAACACTAACACTTATCTTTTTAGAAACAAAAAGCAATATGCATGTTATACTTTTGAAGGCAAGGATGCCTGATTTTTTCAAGCAAGTCGATAAAAATACGTTTACAAGGCAAAATGAAGAATATGAAATAGTTGACACATTTGTTGGGTCTAAGCTCAAAGGAGAGGAATATATGCCGTTATTTAATTACTTTGCCCATGTAAATACTAAAGCACTTGTTTATCATGTTCATTAAAAAAAACCTTTATTTATATTATAAATTACATAAACAACCTCTTTGTTTTAGTTGAAACAATGTTTCCGTGTCTTGACAGACACCTATGTCACAGAAGAATCAGGTACTGGTGTCGTTCACATGGCTCCTTATTTTGGTGAAGATGACAACAGAATTTGCTTGAACAATAAGCTTATAACAAGGGACCAAGATCCAATATGCCCTGTGGACAATAGCGGGAGATTTGTCCATCCAGTCAAGGACTTTGAAAACATGTACATAAAGGTTTGTGCTTATTAATGTTATTTTCAAAGTATACAGATCCATATTTAACATTTATTTTCAGGATGCTGACAAAGAGATAATTAAAAACTTAAAAGAGAGGAATTTGGTGTTTGACTTATCGACAGTTACTCACAGTTATCCATTTTGTTGGAGGTCAGAAACTCCACTTGTTTATAAGGCAGTTCCTTCCTGGTTTATTAGAGTTCATGATATGAGCAGTGCATTGCTAAAAACCAACAATGATACATATTGGTAACTACGACATCCTTTGATTCTTCTTTAAACATATTGGCGTTAAAAAATTTTCACCGTTATACCTTTTCTTTTTGCCAGGGTTCCAGAATTTGTTAAGGAAAAGAGATTTGCTAACTGGCTGAAAGAAGCCCGTGACTGGGCAGTTAGCCGTAATAGATATTGGGGAACTCCTATTCCATTGTGGGTTTCTGATGATTTTGAAGAAATTGTCTGTATCTCAAGCATAAAGGAACTTGAAGCTGCAACAGGGAAAAAATTCATTGATATTCATAGAGAATAGTAAGTATTTTTTGTAAATAAAATTAATTTATACAACTAGATTTTTATTAATAAATTTATACTTTTAGTGTGGATGAAGTCACAATTCCGTCTGCAAGACCAGGAAAACCTCCACTTCGAAGGGTGCCAGAAGTGTTTGATTGTTGGTTTGAATCTGGATCTATGCCATATGCTCAAATCCATTACCCTTTTGAAAACAAAGCCGAATTCAATAAAAAATTCCCTGCTGATTTCATTGCAGAAGGAATAGATCAAACCAGAGGATGGTGAGTTGTTCTCTCTTTATCCGCCAATCAGTAATTTTATTTACAATAAAACATTTTTACTGTGAAGAATATTAATTAAAAAAAATATTAGGATGAGTTATTAAGATTGTTTTTGTTTGTTTAAGGTTTTACACACTGTTAGTAATATCTACAGCTCTTTTTAACAAACCTCCTTTCAAAAATCTTATCGTAAATGGACTTGTGCTCGCTTCTGATGGTCAAAAGATGTCAAAGAGCAAAAAGAATTTTCCAAATCCCGAAGATGTAAGTGTGCAAAATATTTTTCACGACAACGAGATACCAACTTCCATTCAAATCATATACTTTGGAGTATACCTTGCCAGCAGATTGACGTGGACTCCCCAAACAAGACTTAACAAAAATCTTAGAAAACGTAGGAAGATATCTAGGACTGAAATCTTTCTTGACCTTCAAAACTAAATCTTATACAAAACTTCACTGTGACCACTTTGGACATGGTTCTACCAAGCCATCCAACATCCAATCTTTTCAATTGAAAGTCCTCAAATTATCAAAACTCCTTACCATGCCTCTAACTTCACAATTCACAGCGACCTCAATATTCCTTTTGTCAACGAATTGATCCATTCGTGATACCAAAAATTTCACCCTTTTCTCAATCCATCCTAACCTTACTACCCTAGCCTTATCTACCCTTTCTCAGGAACCCGCCGTGCCAACTTAAACCTCATTGAGACATCTTTGTTCTTTATTTTATTCGTTTTGTTGTTCTTTATTTTTTTTCTCATGTTGAGTGCCAGTATCAGCTGGTTTCTCATATGTCCTCCGGATGCAATGCTGGTTTACTTCATAAGACCACACCTAGACAGCAAATTAACTTGGAATCCTAACGCAAGACTTAAGAGACAACTGGGACAACTATTGAAATCAGTTTTGGTCATCAAAACTCAACTTTATACCAGACATGTGGTCTCATTCTATGTTCCATTTATTCTGCTGGCTTTCCTATACATCCCAATACCATAATTACAGCTACACATTTTGTAAAACATGGTTCTACTGTGGTTTACAACTGTCTGGTGTGTAATTAGCGCTCCGTTTTGGACATAAAATTTTTGATCCTTTTTTATTAATTAAGCACCAATAAAAAACAAGTTTCATTTGAACGTTGCATTGGTAGGGATCAACGGGTCCACTCTTACAATTCATGTCGAAAGACATGCATGTAAACAACTTGCAACCTGATGATGAGCTTTAAGTTTGAAATCTGGATAGTTGTAAGCAACAAATTTGCGAGTAGAACCATCTTATTTATATAAAAAGAGAACCACCCCACCGTCATCGTTTCTATCATTACAGCTATTTTTTTCTTCAAACTGGAATCCAATCCAAGCGATCTACAAAATCCTCTCTAAACAATCCCATCCCGAGAACCTGCCTAAGGTGGTGACAGCTTTAAGACCTTGCCCTTTAATTCTTCACACTGAGTGCCAGCATCGGTCGGTTTCTCATGGCATGTGTCCTCTAGGTGCAGTGCTGGCCTTAGTGTTAGCCTGTGACCGTGGGGGAAATTCTCAATATTAGCAATGCATTAATTAGTACATTGTATTTTTGGGGGAAAGGATACATGAAAATCATACCCTGATGGTGGGAATTGAACCCATGACTGCAGGGGCATTGGATTATAAGTTTAATTAATTGTTTAACCTTTACATTTAGGTTGTGAATAAATTCGGTGCTGATGCAATCAGATTGTATCTCATAAATTCTCCAGTCGTTAGAGCTGATAAGCTTAAATTCAAGGAAGAAGGCGTAAAAGATGTTTTGAAAGATGTTTGCTTACCTTGGTATAATGCCTACCGATTTTTCATACAGAACGTCCAAAGGCTAGAAGTTGTAAGTAAAGTCGACAATATTTGAGTTAAAGGTTTTATTTTGTTTTGTTATTTAATTATAGGAGGAAAAAGTGAAGCTTACTTTCCAAGAGGATGTATTTGTCCCTTCTAACCTTATGGATAAGTGGATTTTGTCATATGCCCAATCTTTAAATGTGTTTGTTAGAAAAGAAATGGCAGCATATAGACTTTACACTGTAGTACCGAGGTTGGTAAAGTTCATTGAGAATCTTTGCAACTGGTATGTAAGAATGAATCGGCGAAGGCTAAAGGTTAGATTTTACTAATACACATATTTTTTTATGAGTACACTTATGGATTATTTATATTATTAGGGTGATACTGGTTTGGAAGATTGCAAGAACGCACTCAGCACACTTGGATCAGTATTAACTAATATGATAAGGCTTATGTCTCCTTACACACCATTCTTAACAGAATTAATGTACAAGAATTTGAGACATCTTACAGGAAGAAATGAAAAAAGTGTCCACTTCATCTTAATGCCTCAACCAAGGTGAACGCTGAAACCATTCTAATGTTTTGAAATTTATAATTATGCTTGTTACAGATATTAATTTAATCTTATGATTGCAGGAGTGATTTAATTAATACAGAAATTGAAAGAGCTGTTTCTAACATGCAAACAGTTATAGATTTGGGCAGAGTTAGCAGAGATCGTAAAACGATACCTATTAAGGTTGTTGCTTTTATTTCATACCTAATATCGATAACGGTGTATTTTAAATATTTTCTTTTTTCAGAATCCTCTAAGAGAAGTAATAGTTATATTAAATAACAAAGATACCTTCAATGAAATGGTTCCATTTACAAATTACATAGAGGAAGAATTAAATGTTAAGAAAGTTACCTTATCGGTCGATAAAGAACAATATGGTGTCTCTTTTAAAGCTGATGCCGATTTTAAAACGTTAGGCCCTCGTCTAAAAGGCGATTTTAAGAAAGTATTAGAAATTATCAAGGTAAAAAAAAAATAAAAACATCAATTTTTTTATTTTTATAATTAAATTACACCTTTATTAAAATTCTAGCATTTAAGTGATGCTGAAATCCAAGGCCTGAAATCAAAAGGTTCTATAACAATAGAGGGCCATACTTTAACTGAAGATGATTTAAAAATAAAGCTGGATTTCAGTGGAAACAACGCGACTGAATTGTCTCAACGATACGAAGTTAATTTACAAGATGATGTACGTATGATTTTAAAACCATATTTCAACCGATAGTAACTTGTAAATATTTCGCTTGACAGGTTTTAGTCCTCTTAGATGTTTCAATGGACAAAGAATTGCAAGCCGAAGGAACAGCTAGAGAGATAATTAACCGAGTACAAAAGCTGAGAAAGCAGGCCCATTTGGTACCGACCGATGTTATAAAAGTGTATTACAGTGTTAATCCAGAGATGTGCACACTAGCTGAAACAGCAAAGAGCTACACAAGCTTCATTGAAAACGGTCTAAAAGTGCCGTTTATTGCTGGTACTCCGAACGAGAAAGAAAATATTATAATCAAAGACACTCAACAGGTAATTCATAATAATATTCTTGAAAAAAAAATCATTATTATTTTAAATTCTTTTATACAGTTGAAAGGTGTTGAGAAAGGATTTGAACTCACACTGACCATAACAGGTGATATGATAAATAACAGAAATCCAGATTGTGGAAATGTTCCTTTCTGCCGGTAAGCTGTTCAAATACAATGTATTATTTTTATTGATGGGAAATTTTTTAACTATTTTTCTTAAATTGTGCAGGTATGCTAATCTTCTATTAGTCGAAACTGAACCAGGATTTGGAGTTTCTTCATCAAACTCATCTCTAGTGTTAGAAAATCCTAAAGGACAAAACGTCTTAAACTTAAAGCAATTGAAAGAACAGGTTGGTTTAAAGATAATTAATAAATAGGAATAGTTTTACATATAAGTACATATCATGCTTTTATTTTAATTTTATTTATTTCTATTCTATTTTAATATTTTTATAACAAAATATTGTGATTATTAACATGTTTACCATGGCAGCCATATTGCCTTTTTTTGTATGTCTTATTTTTTGTACCATTCATTTCCTGATGGGACTTTTCTTTTTTTATTGTTTCAAATAATAGATAGTTAACTAAAAATATTTAAAAAAATTTAACTTACATATTATTAAGTGAAAAAAATGCTGATAGAGATTCCCGTCTTCCATTGACGTGAACAATTGTAGTTTGGTGGGTGACCTACTCAGACCCTGTATACCAATAATTGTACATGACTGGATATTGTTACCTAATAATTTAATAGTAACATGGGGGCAGCAATAAAAAAACCTTTTTGTTAATATTAGCCAGAGTTCATAACAGATTAATTTTATTTTGTAATTGGGTTTTTGGAGGAAGGGGAGTATGAAAAACCTAAAAAATATCTATTTTAGTAGGATGTAATTTTATTTGCGTGGAAATTTCTAAAACAAGGTATTCAGCATAATGCCTGACATTTTTTCACAAGCTGGGCAGAAATACTCGCTTTTTCCTAAAATATTTACTTTACAATTAAAACTTGCTTTACAATATTAATATCTAATAAGCTACTTTTAAATGTTTAAAAAAAAATATATAAAAAACTTCTACCCAAACTTTGTATAACTATATCTTGGCGTAGAGTTCAGTTAAAAAAAAAAAGAAAAAAAAGAAGACAAATGCTCTACCTTCTACAAACTATAGGGGGGAGTATGATCTTCGGCGCTTTGATATTTAGTTGGTAAAGCAAAAACAAATCCAAATTAAAAATGGGAAGATGTTAAAATAACGAGGATCCCTACCATCCGTAGTTGAAAGAGTTAATAAACAAATTGTCGCAAATTTCCTGTTATTGTTTGCAATTTTTAATTACTCAATTTTTCATTTATATTAATATATACAGTCAAACTTTCTCAAACGGACACTTCTTATAATCAGACATCCTTCATGACATTTGATTTTCCTAAACATTCCATTTACTTTCCTAAGAAAATTACTTTTAACACGTTGATTGGAGGATGCTGATACACTGTTGACCCACCGGGTGCTTTTCTTACCCGTATAAATGGCCTTTATATTATAATTATATCTTTTGAATAAATCAGCATTTTTGGGTGGGGTATCATATGAGCCCGCTGTCCGAGACGAGGTCCAAGTCTTTATATGTTCTGTTTCTTCTTTGGAAGCGTCTCTTTGAAAAATACGATTGCCTTCATTTTGTTTAGCCTATTACTGGCCATATGGCTCTTGGCTCCCAAGTCTCAACAGTATTTTGTGCTACCCTCGTATGGGTTTAGTGCTTGCTTACGAGAAACTTTAAATTTGATGCATGATGTTTTTTTACAGGTCAAAATGCTCTTTGCTTTGGACAATGACGTTCATCTTTATACAGCGCAAGGAGAACTCACGGAGGAAAAGCTTAGTAAAATAAATGGTGAAACAATAGTAGCGGCTACAAATAAATTGACAAAACCACATACAAATTTGCCAGCATCTAAGACGCCAATACTATCAAAGTAAGTGTTGTTAGGCTATTTTTATTTTTTAAGTTTTTGAATTATTGAGCTTTTCAGCCAACTTTGCACTTGAATAATATTGGGTTGTCCGGAAAATAATGCAGGATTTTAAGTTTTCATTAAAAAAAATCTATATAAAATTTTCTGTTTACGTTTACAGGATTACTCATTTGTATGAATGTCAACACTTATTAATCCTCTTCCAAATGATATTGTTTGTTTACCTCTGTAGCATTCCGCTACTTGGAAATAATTCAGTCATCCTTATAATGTCAAAGCGAGAATTTCGTACGATTTTCTTTTACGAGTTTAAACTCGGCCGAAGCGGAGCCCAAACGGCTAGAAACATTAACCAAGTCTGGGGCGAGGGTTGTGTTAATGAGTGCACTGTGCAAAGGTGGTTTAAAAAATTTCGGGAGGGAGATTTCAGCCTTGAAGATGAAGAAGGTCGTGGAAGGCCTTCCTCTCTTAATGATGATGTTCTGCGATCAGTGGTGGAAGAAAACCCCAAAACAACTGTTCGAGAACTTGCAGAGCAACTCAAAGTCAGTAAAACGACCGTCGCTGACCACCTCAAGGCGATTGGAAAAGTGAAAAAACTCGAAAATTGGGTTCCACACTCATTAAACGATCGCCAAAAAAATCAGCGCTTTGATGTTTGTGCATCACTTCTTTGTCGAAACAAAAATGACCCATTTCTGGCCAGAATTGTTACATGTGACGAAAAGTGGATTCTCTAGATAACACTAGACGTTCTGGACAGTGGCTCGACAAAGGAGAAGCTCCAATACATTTTCCAAAGCCCCCAACTCATCAAAAAAAGGTAATGGTTACGGTATGGTGGGCTTCATTTGGTTTAATACACTACAGCTTCTTAAATCCTGGCGAAACCATCAATGCTGAATCATACTGTAACCAAATTAATACCATGCATCAGAAATTGGCAGTAATGAAGCCCTCTTTGGTCAATCGGAAAGGGCCCATTTTGTTGCATGACAACGCTCGACCACATGTGTCACGTGTAACGTCACAAAAATTATTGGAGCTTGGCTATGAAACTTTGCCTCACCCACCCTACTCTCCGGACCTCTCGCCTACTGACTACCATTTTTTTAGACACCTGGACCACTACTTACAACACATAATATTCAAAAATCAAACGGAACTGGAAAATGCATTTATTGACTTTATCAATTCTAAAAATTCTGAATTCTACTCAGACGGAATTAATAAGTTACCAACACGTTGGGAGAAATGTATTGAGAGTATGGGAAATTATTTTGATTAAAGAACATTGCTTTAAAGTAACTAGTTTCTTTTTTTTTGTTTAATACCAAAATCCTGCATTATTTTCCGGACAACCCAATATTTAATAAAAAGTTGATAAATGCATTCCTAATGTTTAAATGTCGTTTAAATTTTGTAAATAATTTTCCTTTGTTTTACTCAATCATACAAAATGGGTAAATAATTGATTTAAAATAACCAAACACATACCCAGAAAAGCAAATTACGCAGTTTTCACAGAATAAAAAAAACTTCCATTTGAAAAAAAATTGAAAGTAGCCAGTGACAATTTTGGCCTTTCTGAGGGGCCGTAGGAATTTCAAACAGAATTGTGCGGGTGAAATAGAGGGAGAGTTTAAAAAATATAAATGGGAGGTTGCAGTCCGCGCACCACACCCAGAAGGACAGTTGATATGACACATTGCGACTTATGCAGTCAATGGGTCTCATAACTTTTACCCCCAACCCATTAGTTGCTCTTGGAGTTACCATTAAATTTAAACATTCCACCAATATTAATTTTAATATACTCACTTTCGTCTCACGTATACATAATATAATATAATAATAAGCAGACTTTAATCACCCTCTTTTTTTTTTTTTTAGGTTTGTCAATGTAAGCTGTGGTTCGACCCAAGCGACCATTTTGGTTAAGAAGGAAACTTCAGAGGTCGATACGAGGAAGCGTGCTTCACATTTACTCAAATGTGATACTGCTGATGTTACTATATACTAACTTCATTCAATCTGAATTTAAAAAAAATCTCTTCTACTTGTGATAAATTTAATTTATATCCCTTATTTATTGAACTTTAACTAACTTGGTACAATGTTAGTAGAAACATTTTCTTTTCTTTCTTTTTATATATATATAGTACATAATTTAATTTTGTTCTGTTTTATTTGGAAAAAATCACAGTAGCTGTAAAACATTTAATGTTTTATTAACAAAGCACTTATTTAAATATTTATAAGGCACCCTTTTTAAAAGGAATCTGTAATGTTCGCAAATACAATTCATTTCACTCATACAATTTATTTCAATCGATTGAAGTTCCATTATTTATCATTATGTACATGAAACCAATTTTGACAAAATAAAACTGTTGAAAAACACAAAACAATTTATTTGTGTTATCCTTTTTGTTAAACAAGTCTGTGAATTTGTTGAAACAATAATAATAATTTATTATAAAAAATTAAAAGAAGCTGATATTCAGCAATTGGTTTCTCAAAAATTTTCATTTGAAGAGTTTGCTGTTTTTGTTTTGTAAGGCATTTTATTTTTAAAATGTAAAAAAAGAAAAATCAATTGATGAAATAGACTTTTATGAAGCTCTCTCATCTTTCTCTTCTTAATTGTATCTTGTAGTTATAATGCTATAAGGTCATTTGCTGGTTCTTTTTTCATAAATACCATCCAGCAAACATAATTCAGTGAGTACTTTTTGTGTATATAAAACTATTTTAGTAAAAAGGAAAATTCATTTGTTGTAAGTTGTTAGTTTTTGGCTGCTGTATGCATAAATTAAGTCTTTTAAAAAATTATGGAAATACAGAACAACTATGTTCATAAAACTCACACTCACATAACGCTGAATCATGGGTGTGTAATTTAACCTAACCTGACCCGAACTCTGTTTAACCTAACCTAACCTATGAACACTGGATCAATTGTCTTGAAGAAGAAAGCAAATAAAGTTGGTACTACCAAGCTTAAGATGTATTTTAAGGTCATCATCAGGGCAAAACAACCTTAAATATGTCTACAGACGTGTTAAAGCTTGACTAACCTGGTAAACGACACCATAAAAACATTAACCTAACTTGTCCTTACCCTACTTAACCTAATAGGCTCTTAGACCTCGTAATTGTAAGTTCAATACCCATCTGTTGCCTCTGGAATTTTTTAACTGTCCCCAAACTACAAAAAAATTAAAAAACTTGGCTAATGTGGTAAACATGATGCCATAAAAAATAAGAAACAACCTATTCTAACTTGTTACATACCCTATCTAACCTAAACTGACTCTTACCCTACCTAACCTAACCAGTCTATAACTTCACCTAATTGGCTTGTAGACCCCATAGTCGTGGGTTCGATTCCCACTGTCACCCCTGGTTTTTGACCTCTCCCCTACCCCAAATAATTCATCTTTTTGAATTTAAAGCTTGGTTAATGTGATAAACCCTTTGCCACAAAAATCTACCTAACCTAACCTTTTTTTTAAACTGACATCCTTTGCCGATATAGCCTTCCTCTGATTCCAATTGTACAATTGCTTCAGAGGCACATGTCCAACAAATACCAAATGGGACAAACTTTGGAGGATAAAGATTAATGAACAACAAATGCACTCATGTTATGTAATATTCCTCAACAACATTCCTATCCCTAAAACTGACTGGATACACTACCTTGGTTTCTATCTTAATTTATGGTTAACCTCGAGCTGACATATGCAAATAAGACAGGGAATGAAGATGATTTGGACTAATCTATATCTAATATGAATATGTTGGACACAAATCTAATATGTTGACAAAAAAACAAACTGAGATTCTAGAAAATACTACTGAAACTTATTTGGACAATGGACTGGAACTATGGAGCATTGCTAAACCTACCAATACCCAAAGAATTCTGTCCTTCCAATCCAAAGTTCTCAGAATCTTAGTCAATGCTAATATATCCGATGCCACCATCCACAACGACCTCAAAATACCCATTGTAAATAAATCAATTCCCACCAAATTTTCCAGGTTCCACAAAATACTCTTCACTCACCCCAACATATGTACAATATATATAAGCCGCCAGAGTAAAGCAGAGATTGCCTCGGTACCTCCTTGCCAAGGACTAGCCTTTGAGGAAAGTTGTGAGATCACAAGGTTGTTAACTACTCTCAAGACATTTACTGTGTCAATTTACAATACAATACATACATTGTTAATAAGTATCAAAATATTACATATATAATGCATTACAATGTACAGATGGTAATAAATATTATTTAACAAAAATCTAATAAAGAAATCAGGCTCTCACTTTATTTTCATTATGACTTGGAAAGTTAATTTAAAAAATTAGGTGTTGTTCATTAAGTTTTGTTTAAAGTTGATAGATTAATTTTAAGATATTTCATCATTCATCAACTGCCAAAGAGTTTTTAGATTTGCTGTGTATTTAGAGATCTCCTATCCATCCTATTCTAGCAGGTGGCCTACAGGGCAACGGCCTCGTTCCTTTGCTTTACTCAATTTATACCACCGACCTACCTATACAATCTAACACTATCACCCTTACCTTTGACGATGATACCGCAATCCTTTCTCCTGATAAACATCCCATAACAGCTTCCCATAATCTCCAAAATCACTTGCCTATCCTCAAATCCTGGCTCCGACACTAGATCAAGGTAAATGAAACTATATCAACATACACATAACCATAAAAAGTAAAATCTACCAAATCAAACTTGTCCCTACTTAACCTAACCTGTTTCATTTTTATTTTTCCTTTTGCATATGGAGTCGTAAGGATTTGTTCCTTTAGTACTTAAACTTTCACCTATTGTGCCATCCCTAACCTCTGCCGATTTACCGGACGATATTTCATATAACATGTAAATAATTCTTCTCTCAGAGGTGTGGTATCAAGATTTAAATGATTCACGATCAGTTTTCCAGTATTTGTTGTGTTATTACTTACCCAAGATTTCCGTTCTCTTTTAATGTGGCTACTTTATTCCACAATCTGTTAAAAATCTCAGTTTGTTTAGGGTATTATGCCATCCAGACAAGTTGTGAGGTAATCTTGCACCGTTGGGATGTTTTTGTTCATTTTATGTGCGCAGGCTTTTATGGCTAGCAGTTCATTGCCTGTATAATTCCCATCTTTGAGCCATCTGAATACCATAGAAGAGTTCCAAGAAACCTCTTTTGATTTAGATTTCCAGTCAGCACTTTTCGATAGTCAACTTCACCTGTCCCTTACCCTACCTAAGCTAACTTATGCACACTGTCCGGTAACGTCCAGCCCAAAAACATATTTATTTTAGTTTTTACAACTCTGCATATCCTCTATGCTACGTGATGTGTTCCTCACATTCATATTGTAAAGTTTTACTTTCATTTATGAGCAACCTACTTACCAGAGGTTCCAAATTTTTACATTGCCTTTTCTGCCCTGTTCATTAAATGGACTTTTAATTGCTTTAACTATAACTGAATATGGCAACATTTACAAATGACTTTTGTCAGAATAAACAATCAGACCAAGATTATTAGATCAAACTAGATGGGTGGAATTTTAATTTTTACTTAAACTACAATAAAAGGAAAAGGTTTGAATAAATAAATACACACATTTTTAACCTATGTTTTAATCATTTAATGCTAATTACTGAGCAGGATAGTTCCTGGTGGATCGCCTGTAACTCTTATATCTGTAACTTGGTTATAGGATGGAGTTGTATCTTCACGTTGTGGAAGTACTTTAGGAGTTTCTCTTGGAACATCATCATTTATACCTAAAACAGTAAGAAAATTTAAAAAATGCTGGACTTTGTAAATCCTTTACTGGAATTAGCCTGAAAAAGAGGGAAACTTTAAATATTATCATTCTTATACTTCTGACTTTTCACTATTTTTTCTCATTAAAGTATTACTTTTTAAACCAATTTTATTTCATGCAATTAAATGTACTATAAATATACATTATAATAATAAAATATATATCACAAGATCATGTTTTTACAAATATTGGAAAGTCTTGTTTGTGCAAAATTCATATACTCATTGTTTTTGCGTGCTATAAGGTTTTTGTCAAAAAACGTGTTAAAAACAACAAAAAACAAACATTATGCTCTATAAAATTTTACCTTGTTTCGTGAAATGTAAATATGTACAAATAAAATGCGAAAATTCATGCACAAAGTTATTTGTACGTTTTTTGTTTTCTTTGCTTACAAAAAATATACATTTTCAAACCAAGACATTTTTATGTCGATAAAACCCAAGCACACTGTAAGTATTAAATTTTTATGTTAGCTGGTTTTTATGAAAGGTGTTTTTGTAAAAATAAATAAATAAAATGACAAAAAAGCCCTGTAGCCATGCTTATAATTTCAAATATGGCACCTTCGAACCTATTGCTTATAATAACTGATACTATAATAAATTTATCAATTATGATTTAATTTTTATTAAACAATATAATTATGCTGAATCATGCATACTTTTTTAGGTACCTTCACATTTAACTAACTTATACTTCAATTATGTAATATTTTTGCATTATTACATAATTATTTTAAATGCTTGTTGTGTATCATTGAATTGTCTTATAAAATCATAGTGAAATCAAAATTTAATAAGGAAAATGATAACTTTTAACAAATTATCAAATGATAGTAGAGTATAAGGAGATAAATTAATATAAACAACATTCCATCTTGGCCATGTGGCTTGTCAATACAAAATCTTTTTAAAAAGTTATATACAATGAAAGATTTAAACAAAATACGATGCTGATGATGGGTGTAAATTTCCGAAACATCTAAAAAATTTAAATATAAAAAATGATACAAAATGTGATCTCATCTTTCTAACTTTTTGAAAAGTTAAATAACCAAAAAAACCTTCATTGTGTAGATGTGTTTCGATTAAGTTGTTCCGATCAGCAAAATATCATAAATATTAAATTAATGTTAGAAGTTGAGAGGAGGATTTAAAAGTTGAAAGCTGTTTGCTTTTCATATATCTATGTTAATTCCACAAGAGAGAATTTCAAATTATTATACACATTTTTATTATTGTTAATTTAATGTTAATATTTGTTAACCATGCATATCATTAGAAATAGCTTCAAAGCCCTGATGAAGGGTTTCATCAATGCCATAAAAAATCAAAAAAACTACCTAATGTAATATGTTCTTTACCCTACCTAACTTAACCTGTCCCTAACTCAACTTTTAACCTAATTTAACCTAACCTGTCCCTAACTCTAACCTAACTTAACCTAATTTACCTTTCTCTTACACTACCTAACCTAACAATTAAAAACCACATTGTATGGATGTGTTTTGATTAAATTTTTTCAATCAGCAAAATGTCTTTGCGGAATAGTTAAAAGTTGTTAACAATGTTTTTTTATATTTTTTTATTTTTATTTTTTTTTATTTCATGTATAGGTGAAGATGAAAAATTAGTTACAAAATGGCTAAAAACATGTCACCAAATAGAGAGAAATCAAGGTAGAAAATAATCATGAGGATATTTATGCCTCAAATGCAACCGAAAAGGAATAAAATGTTGTGTAAAATATTATCTTAAAATAGAAATTGCTCTTGAATGACTTTGCACAAAAATAAAAAATTAATTAATAACTGTGGAATTAAAATAAAAAAATAAAAAAGAGGATTTAATTGAGATTTTATTTTGTTTATTCTGTGTAAATTAAAAATATGTAAATATTGCAAAAATTACCAAGGTGTCGGTTTAAGGAAAACAAAAACTATTATCTTGGCTTTTATTTGTACAATGGCAAAATGCTACGAGCAGTAACAGCTTCAGAAATGATGAGTAGTCTCATTTCAAAAGGCTTTTTCTCAGCGAATTCCAAAACAGATGATAGACATCTCACGTTACTCCAAGTCAATTCTTAGCTCTCAGATCAAATTAAGCATAAGCGGTTTAATAATGGAGAGCTTTCGATTTCACGCGTGACTTTTTATTTAAAAAAGGTAAATTCAATGTTCTTGTTTGTTATTTTATCATTTTGCCACAAAATATTAACAGGTGTTCTAAAAAGAAAGAAAAAATGAGAGAAGTTGAAGAAGGTAAAAATATCACTACTATTATCCAATTGCATTGGAAGTATTTAATTTATTTGTTATTATTAATGATAAACACAACCCCAGAATAAAAATGTTAAATTTTTTTTTTAAATAAAAAACTACCCGATCTAACTTGCCCCTTACTCTACCTAACCTGTTCCTAACTCTATCTAAACTAACCAGTTCATAACTCTACCTAATCGACTCGTTGACCCAGGGTTGTGGGTTTGATTCCTATTGACACCCATGTTTTTTTTTTCTTACCTGTCCCCTACACCAAAAAATTCATCTTGTTGAATTTAATGCTTGGCTAATGTGATAAACACTTTGCCACAAAAAATAAAAATTTACTTAACCAAACTTGTCTTTTACCCTAAAGCAACTGTTTTCCCCCTCCCAAATGGAGCAAATTTTGGAGGATAAATATTAATGAACTACAAATGCACTCATGTTATGTAATATTCCTCAACAACATTCCTATCCCTAAAACTGACTGGATACACTACCTTGGTTTCTATCTTAATTTATGGTTAACCTCGAGCTGACATATGCAAATAAGACAGGGAATGAAGATGATTTGGACTAATCTAATATGAATATGTTGGACACAAATCTAATATGTTGACAAAAAAACAAACTGAGACTAGAAAACACTACTGAAACAGATTTGGACAATGGACTGGAACTATGGAGCATTGCTAAACTTACCAATATCCAAAGAATTCTGTCCTTCCAATCCAAAGTCCTCAGAATCATAGTCCGTTGAGTAAAGTTGTGGGATCACCAAAGGTTAACTAATCTCAAGAAATTTACTGTGTCAATGTTATTTGTTAATGTGTATCAAAATATTTCATACATAATGTATTATGATGTACAGATGGTAATAAATATTTTTTTTAAAGCTAATAAAGAAATCAGGCTCTAACACTCATTATGCTATATTTTCATTATGACTTAAAAAGTTAATTTAAAAAATGAGGTCTTGTTCATTAAGTTTTATTTAAAGTTGATAGATTAATTTTAAGATATTTCATCATTCATCAACTGCCAAAGAGTTTTTAGATTTGCTGTGTATTTAGAGATCTCCTATCCATCCTATTCTAGCAGGTGTCCCACAGGGCAGTGTCCTCGTTCCTCTGCTTTACTCACTTTATACCACCGACCTACCTACTCCACATAATACTATCACCCTTATCTTTGACGATGATACTGCAATCCTTTCTCCTGATAAACATCCCATCACAGCTTCCCGTAATCCTAAAATCACTTTCATATCCTCAAATCCTGGCTCCGAGTGTAGAGAATCAAGGTTAATAAAACTCAATCAACATCGTAACATTCACACTAAAACAAGAAAACGCTCCCACCAGTATCTCTCAACAATGTTCCCATCCCTATTGCGAACCATGCACAATACCTCTGACCAAGACAAACAACTGATCTGGAACCCCCATACGTGACTTAAGCACACAGACTGAAACAGGATTTATCATGTAAAAAGTCTACTCGTCAGATGATCTAAACGCTCACTGACAAACAAAATAAAACTTTACATTGCCCTGCTGGCCTCCACTTAGACATACGGACTTGAACACTATGGGACTGCTAAACGTTCCAACCTTAATTGAATCAAATCCCCATAATCTAAAATCCTCAGGGCAATAGTCAATGCCCCTTTCTATGACATCCACCATGTTACACAACCTCACTACTTTACATCCATGTCCTAAGATGGAGCCCATCTCACTCAACATGTTGATGTAATAACAGCTTCCATCCAATATTTGTTGTTCATGTTTCCAAGTTATTGTTTATACGACTACACTATGTTTTATTTGTTGCACCGAACAAAGTCTTGTAAAAAAAGCGAATAATTTAAAAAACGTATTTAGAGAAGAGAGTTTTGCTTTCATGCTAAAATTTTATGGTTCAGAGAAAGATTTTTTTTAGCAAAAGGATTAATAGAAATTTCTTCACCTTGAAATAATTGAATGAAACTAATTAAATGTAAAAAAAATAAATTGCACAATATGAAAAAGCAAACGTCAATATCTGAAGAAAAAAAAGAGTCATTGCCGAAGATTATCTTACAAGGTCCAATGGCGATTGTAGGAACGTCTTTCTTATCAAAAATTTCATCTAGGCGTCATGTACAATTGTTTAAAACAATAAAAATAAAATAAAATAAAGCATAAATGCAAGGTGAGAGATATTCGATAGAAAATGTCGATGAAAAGTGTTTAAGTGGAAAATAGGAGCGTGTATTTGTACACAAAGAAGGAATGCGGTATGGCTTGTTTGTTTATGCTGCATTTGTTGATTTGCCTATTTTTTACTTTTCCTTCTGACGTCAAAATGTATAGCGAGTTCTTTTTGAAAGCGTTTGTGTCGGAATAAAAAGAAGAAAAGCCAACTTCAATGATCAGTGCAAAAAATTAAGAAAATACCTTGGTCCGTTGAAATTTTAAAAGAGTGTTTCTATTGTATTTTTTGTTTCTTGTATCGTCTTTTTTTCGTAATTCAAGTCTGGATTTTAAGCGTATAGTTTATTGCATGGGAAAAAAGTAGAAAAACTTTGAAAAATTTGTTCTCGCTTGTGAAGAGTTAGTTATATGTTATAAATTTTGTTTTTCCTGGCCGGCACTCTTTATAGGCTGTCCTGAAAATGAAGACGGCGGGAAGTTGAATTTCTCCTGACATAGGCATAGCACACAAGAAAAGAAAATTGTCATACCGAGCAAAGACAAGAAAATTTTTTCTATGTTAGGCAGAAAGGGGGTGGAAAAAAAGGCTAAAGGGTAAACTTTATTGAAAAAATTAAAGTCTTGAATAAATGGAATTACCTATACATCCGGTAACAACGGAGGGTGGTCCAGGGGGTGGTTTTGGAGACCAGAAGAAAACATAGTAAAGGGAGAGTATAATTGCCGCTAGGGAGACGGAGAACACATAAACAATAACCGTAAGGACACGTATTAGCTTTTTGTTCTGTTTAGGTTCGTACATTTTGTCTTTCGCTTCTTCTCCAGCGAATTTCACACTATTGTGCGTTGATTTTCCGCTTCCACCGTTCATTACAGGTCGACTTTTCGGTTGAGGCGCGGTGGTTGGAGAAAATGGAGAGTCACATGTTGACCTGCTACTACTTTCACAATTCCAGTGTATGAGGGCACTGGGCAAACTGATCAATACACTCGATTCGTGTGCGCCTGTTCTCTCGCCTACGCTCTAAATATATCTACTTCTTCAACAACTTCCTTACAGGCCCTTTCCGCGTTTAAACCGACTTTTCTTTTTGGAGAAAAATAACGTTCGGACTTCAAATCAATTTAACAAACGATGTGGACATCGAAACCAAACCACTTTCACACCCCAGTAAAATCTAGGGGAGGAAGTTTTTCTTTTTTCAACGAAAAACGTAAATTTTCCATAAAAAACATTCTACGACACTGATTGAGCAGAAAAGAAGAAAGAGAGAGAGGAGATAGACAGAAAGCCAAAAAGAAGTTAGAGCCAGAGACAGGGAGCAGAGAAGAAGTGAGAAAGAGAGAGAGAGAAAGAGAGAGTGTGTGTGATAGAGAGAGAGTGAGAGAGAGACTAAACGTTCTCAATTATTACCTCAGTTGAGACAAATTGGAAAAGGCAAAGTTTCTGAAAATTTCTTGCGAACGTTGAGGATACAAGTGCCCATTCCACTGACAGGATCTAATGGCCCCTTGGAGGAGAGCTGGCCGAAATGGCCGATAAGACTATAAATGCATTAATCCATTTATGTTTGAAACACATGTTTTACGAAGAACAGTAGCCTTTTAAATTGTGTAAAGTGTGGACGAGAGCCTCCCCGGGGCTGGCGTTCTGGGGCCGGCGGAGATCCCCCCTCGTAGGACGACTGTTGGCTTCCCGAGTGTTTGATCTTTATTTATTCTGTAGTATTTATTGTAGTTAGTTGATAGTTAATTATTGCTTCTGTTACTTGTTATTTATTTATTAGTTTGTCTTCAAATTGTTAGTTTTGTCAAAATGTAATTTGTTATTTGGTAGGTCTGCACTTTTATTTGTTCATTGTTGTTTGTCTTTATTTACCCTTTGTTGTTGATGCTGTTTTCGTACCGAATTTTTGATTTTTAGTACTTATTGTGGTTGATCAATATATATTGCTCTCATTACTTGTTATTTATTTATTGCTTTATGATTCTGAACTTCGTCATGTTAAAAAATGGAATTTGATATTTCATAGGTCCGTATTCTTGCTGAATGTTCCAAAACAAAGCAAAAAAAAATTATGTTTGATCATAATTGACCATATTAATTATTTAAATTCATTATTCTTTTTTTGTCTTATGTCTTGGTTGAGATGAAAAAGTTAGTGTCACGAGCGGGATTCGAACCCACGACCTTCGGCTCAATACGCCGCTGCTCTAACCACTTATCGTGACGTGACGTCGATCCTCTCGGACACCAACTTCTCATCTCATCCAAGATCTTACAAAAAAGTAATAATTGAAATAATAGAAGAAATATCAATAAATTAGCCGTTTTACGACCAATAGGACTATACAGAGGTACATCAGAGAGCAAAGCGGACGTCGTTCTACCAGAAGAACTCCATCTCCGTCCTCAGGACAAAATCTGTGTTGGTACCACCACGGTTTTGGTCGCAGAGCTCGCTCGTGCATCCCTCCATGTACTTTTGAGAATTCAAATCGGGGAAACGAGTTCAGGGGGTCGCTCCTCTGAAGGGCGGCCACCCGCACCAGCCCATCGATTGTTTATTTCTGACCCCATGTTGAATCTTTATTCTTAATTGACACGGACGCCACACTTTCTTTAGTTCCCCACAACTTGGTCCAGATATCTGCTCCACCAGTGATCTTCCATATTCGGTCGCAGCGAATGGAACCAGAATAACAACTTGTGGACAAAAATGATTAACTATAAACTTGGGTTTTACCAAACCAATTACTTGGACATTTGTAGATAGATAGGCAATAGATCGCCTCAAGCCGGTGTACCGGGCCCACCTTGTGAAGATATACCTCCCAACAATACGACCTGACGCACCAAGACCCTGAAAGGACGGACAAGAGTGCGTTTTGAACTACATAAGTCACCATCTACGACTAGAAGTGAAAGACAAATCAGAATACCTATACAATTTTATGACTGTACTTAAATTATTTTCGTACATATTCCTTTATACATTTTTTAAATATATTTTTACATATTATTTTTCTAGAAATGATGAATAATGGAGTGTGTGCGGTGTTCAATCCTTTTTTAAAAAAGATAGTTCCTACTCACAGTAAGTTGTTTTCCAACGATCTGGATTTCGAGCCCTTAGCTCATCATCAGGTTGAAGGATTTCTACAACCGCGTCTCTAGACATGAATTGCAAAAGTGAACCCGCCGATACCCCCGCCAACGCGACGTTCCAATGAGAAGCTGTTTTTTTAATGGCGCTCAATTTAAACGTGCGAAAAGCGGGAATTATAACACAAGTAAATATTATGATGGTAAATACTGTAAGAAATTAATTAGAAATTAGTAATTAAAGATAAAACATTAGAATAATACCTTAAATTATTGTAAAAATAATAACAATTATAATTATTTTGACGTTTAATATTATTTATGTACATATTATTTTTTTTTTTTTGACTGGGTCTTCCGACATCTAGGTCATTTCAGCCCCCAACTATGTCTATATTCTATTTACCCTTTCAAACACTACATTCATATAAATAAATACATTCATACACATAAATACATCCATACAGTACACTCATTCCGTTTGGTCGGTGGAGTACTTGATATTCCTCCACCGACCCTATACTCAAACTAATCTAGATTAGGGTCGATGGAGTACTTTTATAAATATTCCGCCATCGACCCCGAACACACACTCTTACGCTCTGATCGTTCGAGGGGTGATGATGACGCTAATAAATACATGCACTCAGACAAAACATATAAACACACGACACATAAGACATACTATATACAATAAAAAACCCCAAGTTCCCCTAAAAAGCGGAACAGGGGACCCTGAAACTCGCTGCAGTGCTCGAGAACTTTTCTTAAGTCCGGCGGCATGCCTACACGCTCTCTGTATGGCGCAAAGGCATGACACGCCTCTAATGTGTGGGACACATCGAGCAACCTTTCTCTGCATAAGGGGCACCTGCTCGGGCTTTGGCCCAAAAGCAGGTGCCCATGTGTCAACCGCGTATGGCCAATCCTCAGTCGGGTGAGGACGATCCCCCGTCTCCTGCTCAGGCTCTCTGAGCTTATTATTGATTGTTTATGTTGTTGATTATTTTTCATATTTGTTTTGTTGTTATTTGTATTGTTCTCTAACTTTACTAGTCAAATTATTTTTTTTTTTAAATTGGAATTTTACTACATAAAAAAAGATGTAAGGAGGTATCGATTTAGTCAAAACATAAAAATCTATATACAACCCTTTCCCCTAGTTCACTAAGCAACTAATAAATGGTCAATCAACTTGTTCAATGAATTATGTTTGAAGTATCAAATTATAGTGAGAACCTTCACAAACACATATTTAAATGGTAATAGACTAATAGTGACAAGACTAGATATCAAAACTATAAATAATTTAAACTGTTTTATCTTTCTATATTTATTTATTACTCCACATACATATTATGTTGAGTTGTGAGCATTAGCTACGTTAGGACATCCATGGGGATGTACCTAAATTGGTGTCAGTAAAGTTTTTGAAAAAAGTATTTATGCTCTTTACCTTTTTGTAAACAGGCCGAATTATGGAAAGGAGACTGCCGTAAAAAATTCCTGAGTACAACTTAAATTCCCCTGATCCCTCTGGGGTCCCAGAAGAAAATGTAGTATAGGGAGAGTGTAATAGCTCCGAATAGGACTGAACTCAGATAGAGAACTACGGTGAGATATCTCAAGAATGTCTTAACGAATGGAGACTGTTCTTTAATTTTGTAGTCGTCTTTTGCGTCTTTGGGGTCGGCGGAATCGTCGTCTTTCCTGTTGGCCCCGGACATGGTTTTTTGATGATTGGGTTTCAAACGCGAACTGGACGAGACGCGGCGATTGACGGCCGGCTTATTGGCTTTTCTACTTTGTGGGGTTCACTGGCTAAATCCCCCTGTAGCTGTTTTCACGTCAAATTTATTATTCACATATGGCCAAGTGAGAAGTACCCAATTATAAAAGGGTCTGAAACAAAAATAATTTGTTTGACAAAACTATTAAGGCTTACGAGCTTGAATTATTATTGTGAGAGCGAATATGACAAAAGATCAGCAGCTTATGAGTTGTAATGAGTATGAGTGCACTATAAAAATGGCGTACAATACGAAAAAATGTATTTGTTAATCTTTTTACAATTAGTTCATACGAGATGCAACGAGGGGAAGAGCATAGAAGAATAGAGAGAGGGAGAGAGAACAGAAAAGAAGAGAAAGAGAGAGAGCATAAAAGAAAATGAGCGCGAGAGAAAGAGAAAGAGGGAGAACAGAAAAGAAGAGAGAGAGAGAGAGCGCCAGAGACCATAAAAGAAAAAGAGTGCTTGGAGAAAGAGAACGAGAGCGAAAACAGAAAAGAATGGAGAGAGAGAGAGAGAGAGAGAGAGAGAGAGANCATAAAAGTTTAAAAAATTTCGTGTTTTAGATTTTTTAAATTTCTAATGGTATATTCATCATGATTCTAATGCTTTTTAATAAAAAAGAGTTGCTAAATTTCTTTGTTTTGAAAAATGAGTGTTATCAAATGTTCTTTCAACATCTAGTATTTTTTTGTTTTTTAATTTGATATATTTATTGCAATCTGTAACCTTATTTTCATTAAGTATTGAACTGGATTGAGCGAGAGAGCATAAAAGAAAAGAGAGGGGGGAGAGCATATAAAGAGAGGAGAGAGAGAGAGAGAGAGAGAGAGAGAGAGAGAGAGAGAGAGAGAGAGAGAGTGTATAACAGAAAAAAAATAAATAATTAAATTTAAAGATACAAATACATAAAAAACTGTAATTTGCAGTTAATGAGGTAGAATGAGCGTGAGAACTCAGCGGAAAATTGGAAAACTATTTGAAACACTATTATCAGTGTTTTGTGAGATGGAATGTGAATGAGAGAAAAAAGAACAACAAAAAAAAAAAGGGACTGCAGTTTATAAATCAAATATATTTGACAAAATTTGCTACCAAACCTAATCTTGTTCCAATTTAAACATAGGCATTTTGATATAATTTATTTAAAAAAAATGAATTGAGCAAAAATAGAATAAGTTCTGTTGTTGAGGGGGTGAGAAAATAATAGAAACAAAACAATACAAACAAAAATAGTAATCATGAAGATGTATGTGTCATCGTTTAGCTACTTTTAAAATGGTGTCCCTTACCCTTCCTATCCTAACCTGTCGCTAACTCGACTTAACCTAACCAGTCCATAACTCTACCTAATCGGCTCGTATATACCCATTCAAGGGTCTGATCCTTCTCAACTGTTGTTTTGATCTAACCCCCCCTTCTCCGAAAAATTCATCAAAATTTTGAACTTAAAGCTTGGCTGTTATAAACATGTCATAAAATATAAAAACTACCTAGCCTAACCTGTCTGTAACTCTACTTAAGCTCTCCCTTACATCATTACCGAATCTGTCCTAACCCTACCTAGCCTAACCCAACTTAGCTAGTTTCTTCTTCAAAACACCAATGATGCAAATTCATGCAAATAATTGTTTCAAACAACAGGCTTTTAGTCTATATCCAAGCTTTGGTGAACACAAAAAAGGTTCATTTTAGCAAATCATTGCCTTGGTTCTTTCAGGTGGGATTCATCTTGTCATAATCATCAGTAGTTGAGCTATAAAGTATAAATTACTACTTACTAGTACTTTTCCATAAATTACACTCATTATCAATCAAAATTATACTTTATTACTTAAAAATTAGAGAGATAGTCAAGTATGGTGGTGGAGAGGGAGAGAATTAGTGTCCAAAATTTTGACTGTTTAAAAGTTATATTTCTCCCAGAAACAAGACTGTACACATTGACATTTAATTATAATTTTCAAATAATAAGAGAAATTAATTTTTTTTCTTCTATCATAGGTCAGTTGATGGAGAAATTTTCCTTGAACAGAAAAAGCCAAGAAACTAAAGTATCAATGAAATGTTAGCAAACATACAAACATAAAACAAAAGTTGTACATTTGCGAATTCTTTTGAAAGTTAATAAAAAACAAAAATATACTCAACATTAAACACGGCGTACTTATTTACATTACAAATCATAATTTAAATTATTTTAAATGCAATTTTTCAATTTTGTTTAAAAATAAATATTTAAGGTATTACAATGCAAAGTTAATAACAATGAAAACAAATTTCTTAATATGGAATTAAAAACACAATGATCAATATAATTTTTATTTTACAAACTTGGAATAAATGAATTGTGAGTATTAAAGAAATTAAAAGGCACCACTTGAAAATTAAATAATATTTTCGCTTTTAACTTATTTGCTATTAAACAGACTATTTAATTTAACATTTAATTGATATTTCTCTAAATCCAGTGGAACCTTTATCATCATTTAATATTTGACACAAGAGCAATTAAAAATAATAAAAATTGATAAGGAATGCTTTTATATAATATAAATAATTATCTACATAAAAATATTGAATTTTTACAAAAATTTAATTATAAACAAGAGCAATTTGCTCAGATTATAAAGTTTATTTTCAAGTTAAGTATACAAATGTAATTACCTCTATAATTAAACTAATTTGTTTGAGACATTTGTTGCATGTCGCTTTTTCAAAAAATTAAATAAAAATAATAATCTTACTATATATTTAAACTAACCAGGTTTGAGTTACAAAAATACAATTTTTTTATTTCTATTAATGGATAAAGAAGAAACTGAATTATTCGTTATTGTAAAGTTTTGTTAACCCTTTTTCAAAAACATTGTCGTAAGCATATTGAATGATGTATCTAAAAGTAGAGTTGTTAACTATCGGTTCGATGTCTTCATGATCTAAAATTGCTTGCAACGGGGGAACGAGGTCTTTAGAAGTTTCATCTGGAATGTTACATACATTTTAGAACCACTTTGGCAAATGGACAGTATAAACTTACCTGAAAGACAAATTATTTCCATAAGTTTATAGAAGAATATATGGCTAAATGATTCATCGAGGGCGTTCAATTCTAATGAGTCCCAAGGATCTTTCAAAATAGCTCTGACCCAAACAGCCGTCCTGAAAGATATACACCGTTAAATAAAATTGATCTTCTTCAAAATTTCATGAACTTACTTCAATTTGAAGTGTAATTCAGGGTCTTTTATTAATTTGCATACATCAAAAGCTGTGTGGAATCTAAGGTCATCAGGGCAGTCGTATTCCTTGTCGCCAGTTAAAAACTGTAAGCAATAAATACAAATAGTATTAGTCTACAAAGCACTTGAGTTTTAAAAAGTGATATCGATGATTGATAGAAAGGAAGAAAAATTGTTTTTGTGGGCTCTGAAGAACAGATTCTCAGTAGATTCTGTGCTTTTGTTCTAAAAATATGCTAAATTGTGGCGTCTTGGAAAAGGGGTATTAGCCGGGGTACCCAGATGTCAGACTGAATGGCTGACTTTTCAGATCTTAATATCACAATTCGACCTACTTACTTACTTTACTAGCAATAAAGAGTATCGTTAAGAAAAGGTGGCAGCATCAATGGATTGGGTCATTTGAGAGCCTATAGGTGGTCCCCAGAAAGTCTAAACAGCAGAATCTAATCAGGTTCTATTCATGGAAATTCAAATGCATTTTTTTATGCGCCTCTTGCATAGTCAAAGCAGATGACTATTACAACAATTAAATTAAATGAAAGAGGTAATCATGTAGATATGGCATAATTAAAATATATTCCCTTTCATAAAATCAACTTCCATTTGTAACATTTCAAATTTGTATTAATGTTCGATTTTGGTTAAAGAATGTATATAAACATTCTAGGTTCATTTAAGACTTATGTGTCTTAGTAACCATCTAAGTTGTCTCGATGTTTTCTGATTATACTGAGTGTAGGCCCCAGTGTTTTATGTTTTAGAGGTTAGGCAGGCGACTCGTGAAGAGTGCAGATTACAGCGAATACCGTGCAACTGAACGCAGACCTAGGTGTGGACGAGAAGTCTTAAGGATACTGTTGGGACTTAACTGGTTGTTGTATGTTTCCATTGTTATAAAATTAAATTAAAAAATAAAAAGTTAGTGAAAATTTTAGTTCATTTAAATATAATGTGCTACCTGTGTTAGTTTTTCCTCTTTAGTTTTAAACCCTAATTAGCGAATATTCTTTGTGATAGAGAATCAGCTCCTTTAGAAGCAGGAAGCATTTTTGTATTTAAGTTAATTTTAGTGGCGTAACTTTGGGTGGAAGCAGTTCATTGTTCAGATCCAGGATCTGCGTTTATTTTATTTATTTATTATTTTTTTTAATACATTGCGCCCAATGTATAATTCTTTTCTTCAATAAAATTGTCTTCCTAACACCCCTCACTTGTCACCTTCTTTCAATAAGCCCCTCTTCTCCACTCATCTATCGCCAATGTAGGTTGCAACCGTGATCAGGAAGGAGTAACACCACATAATTGAAGGGTGTCATTCCTTGGCTCCATATAGAGAGTGTGTAGGAATGCCATCCAACATTATTATTATAATCAAGTAAGACAGTGGATCTTTGACTCCTGTTCTGATTTTTGGAGGAAACAGGTGTTTTCGTATATGTAGACTATTTTTTAATGCAGTTAATCAATTGTGTGCAGTACAAGAGTGTCAAGGGCAGAATATAAATACCTCATTGACTCTCGATTAAACTAATTAATGTGTGTGGTGACGGGTTGGCTGATATGACAAAGAAAGGGGTCGTCGCATGGATCAACCATTACAAAAAAAAAAAAAATCCTTGGGAAACCAAAATAAAAATAAAAATAAATACACCCTGACAATTTTACTTGCTAGAATTATTTATTATATACATTCCAAACTCAACACTATTAAAATTTACAAACTATCTTGAAATTATCCCTTGCTAAAATGATTACCCCCCCCCCCAAAAAAAAGAGAGTAAAATTGTTAAAATTAATTTTGAATTAATTTTTAACTCCTTCTCCACTAGTGAACATCTGAAGACCCTTAACACTTCCTCCGTCACTCCCGTGATAAAGGGCTTGGCGTAGAGAGGAATTGCTTCTGCCTCTGGCCAAACCACTGTCCCTTAGGTGCTAACACCAATCCGCAACACTCCAGAAGGTGACGTTTTAAAGGGTGATGAGGGAATATCGAGTACTTAATCATCCTTTTTGAGAGTAAATAAGAAAGAATATATTTAAGAATGAATAGTGTATTTTGGTTAAAACTGTGAAGATTGAAATGGCCTTGTGGATAGTCCCAGGAGCATGCATGCACATATGTAAATAAATAGAATTGAGCTTATATTGGGTGCGTGCATAAGTTTTTTTGAATTTCATCCTTATAAAGGCAATCTATTATTTCCTGCCACTCCATTTAGTCTAGGGTGGGAAAAGCCCTATTGAAAGACATTGTTAAGAAAGGGGTAGTTGATCCCAAAAGTCAGACTACAGTAAACTGCGAAGCGTATGACATGGAAGATAAAATTAATTTGAGCTATTGCTTGCTATAGGAGTTTAATCTCAGATATAGTGGCTGTTGACTATCAAAATTTATGTGGAATTTGCAGTGATAATGTAATAATTGAACGTGTGAGTCAACAATGGTTCTAACGTTTTTATAATGGAGAGAGATGAATCCAAGACTAGCCTTGATGTGAAAAGCCTAACGAGCTTAAAAGCAACAACTTACAAGTGGCATGTAGGATGAGGACAACTGTACCAGAGCTATCAGAGAGATTTCAGATATATCGCACAACAACAGAAAGAAGAATACATCCGATCTCTGGGTTACATTGTGACTCAGGAAGACCACTTGGGGCTAGGAATAAATCGGAAGGGTTTATTTCCTATTTGGTCACTGGGGGTGAGAAGTGGGTCCATTAAAAAATGTTAAACGCAGAAGGGCCATTTACAAGAAGAATGAAGCCCCACTGTTTATGTCAAGATTACACCTTGTAAGGCCCTATTGTCTGTTTGGTAAAATATTTGAAGAATAATTTATTAAAAACTGTTACCACACAATCAATTCCATAAGCAGAAGTACACTGGGTACACACTCTGATACAAGAGCTAGAGCATCTTGGGGCAGTGTAGAAAGAAAAACGCCCAGCCCTGGTGAATAGATGCAATGTATGCCAGGCTTCACACAGCTGCACTCACTCAGAGCAAAATCGCTGAATATCAGCAACAAATGCTCTACCCTCCATATTCTCCGGACGTTGCCCCTTCCTATTTTTATTTGTTCCGCTTCCTAGGCAACCACTTAAAATATAAGGAATTAAAACAAAAACCCTTTGAATATCGGAATTACAGATTTCTACTCATCTATCATCACACTTTTACAAAATGGGGATATTTTTACTACCTGAACGTTGGCAATATGTTATAGAAAATGAAAGTGTTTTGGATTAAAAATAAAATACAATTATATTTTGAAAGTTTGACTTTTTTCATGAAAACCGCAAAAACTTATGCACACACTAAATATAAATCAATCAATAAATTATTGTATTACCTCTATGAGCTCTATTGGTTCACAAACAGGCACTGTGTCTTTACCCCTTAAAAGAAGGTGCTCCGATACAGATTTCTGCACTTCAAGGAAATTCAGCTTATTTTCAATTTCGCTTGAATATTCAGATTCATATTCCGCAATCAAATGTAGCAACTTTGACAGCGAAAGCATTTTCTACAATTGAAAGAAAAAAAATTATAACATGCCATGGAATAATTCACCTGACCCACTTACCTCTTGGACTAATGCGTCTTTTTTATAGATGATTGCTATTTTCGCTAATTCTTCAGCAGCTTCTTTAACATTACCTTCTTGAAGCTTATGGATCCAATATAACTTTTCAAGAGGTTTGAGGAAAGTGTCTAATTTGCCTTTGAATTTGACTGGAATTTCAAGTGATAACACGTCACCACATTTATTATGATCGATCAGCCATTTGAATAAAACTTCACAAAAGCCCTAAGAAATGTAAAAAGTATTAAATTAGGACACATTTCTGGATGAGATATAAGCTCAGAATACTATCACATTCTGCGAGCTAAGGTAATATGAAAAAGCATTCGGAAGCTAATTTATATCTCAATCTCTTTCTTTACTGTAAGGTAGGTTTTATCAATCTTAATTTTAATACACACACTACAACTATTTAAGTTTACTCTTCTTGTTTTAACAAAAATATAAAGAAAACAAAATTATTCAATTAGTATGAATAATAATGTACACTACATAAGTAACTGTTTAAGTAATTTAATAAAAGAACATGTAATTATATCGTTGCGGATCATTCCTATCTAAGCTACGTTGATCCTTAGATCCTATGTCTTAAAATAGTAAAAATCTGAAAAGTGTCTGACAGACCAACAGTGATAATAAGCAGACCAAATTGATCGATGAGGATCACATTACAGGTTCATCACTCTGCAGACCACAAGAGGAAAATAAAGAGAATCTTGAGAAATTTTGCCACTTTTTGTAAAGCTGATTTATATAAGCTCAAATAAGGACACTCATGTGCACACATACACGTGTGTACCAAGTTGAGCCTATCACTTCTCACAATGATAAATTACCACCAGGCAAGAATTGTCACCCTGGGTGTTGGCAGACTGGGGTCAGATCTCAGTATTTTCTGTCCGGCCTATCAACATCTAGGTCATATTAGCCCTCAACACATTTAGTTTCTAGGTATAAACCCACTCATATTTTCAATCACTTTTAAATACATACCATTTACTCAGTCAGGGTGGTGTATTCGATGATCATCCATCACCCTTTACACCTATTATATAACTAACTTAATTGAAGGTCAATGTGGTACTCAATAATCTGCCATCAACCCTCTCACACTACACAATCACACTAATAAATACATTAGCGTGTATCATATACATTATAAATACCCAGTACTATTTAACCTTGATTTCCCCATGAATGAGAAGAGGAGTTGCAAATACTCAATGCCATGCTGAAGCACAATACTGATATTGGGTGGCATTACATTAATACAATTAAGAAGGACTCATCGAGCAACCTTTCTCTACATGCCAGGCAAGCTTTGGCAAAGTAAGTGTGTCAACCACATATGGCCGACTCTGTCAGGTTAAGACCATCCTTCCAGATTCTCTGGGGACCACCTACAGACTCAAATTACCCAGTCCTTTAGAGATGGGAAGAACCACTTTTTAAGGATCTGATCAAAACCGCTCACTCTGTGAAATGAATCAACTCTTTTTTATGTTTCACCACTTGTACTCACCAAATTTATTACCCTTAATCCCATGTATAAAGATTGGAAACTGGCATGTTTTTCAAATTTCAGTGGGCCAGAACCAGGGCCAATCGTAAAGGTACTTTGGCACAAAAGTTAGTCTGGGTGTTATTCTATCCTTAATCGGGTGAAGATAACCCTTTTCTATGAGTCAGATCCTCCGTAGGCAACTTATCAACAGTGCTCTTGATATGCGAGAGCTTCTCTGCCCCACCGAGACTACCATTTTCTTCTAATCATGTTTTCTAATGCATTTTCAGCATCAGAGGGCGGGATCGTAGTGGTTAAGTCTGGTGGTCGGGACAACCCGGCCTAGCCGCCTCGTCCGCCTTTCCATTACTATCCAGACCTATGTGTTTAGACAACAACTACCATTGTGGGACACTTCAGTTCAAGAGCACAATGAGAGGGTCATCAGAGTACTGTCCTAAACAGCAGTCACACACTCAGTCAGTGCAGACAAGGTAGGCAGAACCACTGTCTCAAATCACCTCAAAAATTGCGTACAGTTCCACCTTGTAGATGATACATTCAAGACCAAATATGAAAACCAATAAAAATTAAATTGTTTAATGTTAAAAGCATACCTTATCACCAAACGTCTCTATGTATTTATTTATAGCTGTCTTTTCTTCTTGCATTAAGTAGGCCAAATCTATTAACTGATAAAAGGATTCGTACTTATAAGCTAATTGTTTTGCCTTCATGTACGTGCCCGGTGAAATGACTGAAAAATACATTTTTTGTCAAACTTGTGACTATGAGAGCATAACAAATTAATAAGTAGAGAAGAAATACAAATAACCATTTTTATTGGAAGCAAAAAATAATCTTTTAGGAGTTAATTTTTTCCTATTAACTTTTTTCTCACTATTACAATTATTTGAACAAAAATAAACTTACGGAGGCAATTGATTAGAGAATCTCTCAACTTTTCGAATGACTTTAAAGGGGGAAAATCTACTTGTAAGAAAAGGACAATATCTGCAAGTTGAAAAAATAGGTCAACAACCCTTTTGAACTCCTTATCATCTTCATCTGTGCTTTCTAGGAAGTCAAATGTTAACGAAGTCTAAAATTAAGACAATAAATTGATTATTACCAACAAATGAAAAATAATGACAATAACAAATGGTGATAAATTAAATTACCAGCTGCATGAGATCGTCGAATATCCCAGTTTTTCCTTTAGCCGAAAGCCAAGACGGGCATGTTCTATCGATCTTGACTCCGTGTTTCTCTCGAGCGGCGATTATAGAATAGACGACTTCCTATAAGGTTAATAAATAAAGATCATGGCATCATAAAAAGTACATAGCATAATTGCTAAATTATTAACTTACAGTAATAATGGTTATCGCAGACTCAAGATATTTGAAAACTTCTTCATACGAGTTACTACTGTCAGCTACTTCTTTTGTTTTTTTAATCAAAGAACGAATTCCCTCATCAGCAACACTTACCTTAAAAATTAAGAATTGATTTTAGATATAAGGTAATAATTGTTATTGACCATGTGACCAAGTGAACTTATTTAATAAGTATTTTAATTTAAAACCAAGCAGTTATTTAAAATAAAATTAAACTACAATTATAAAATTTGTATGGCAATTATAATATTAAAAATATAAAGCATTAATTTTTCATTATTTGAAAATTCTGATGCATTGGTGTTTATTAAAAAATAAAATAATAATAATAATAAAAAAATAAAATAACCATACACCCACAATACACCAGCATGCAAAACACACATGCAGTTATAAAAATAAATATAAAATAAAATCTATCATCATATAATTCTCACATATCTATAGAAAAAATCCTGTGAACTTAATTTTGGTGTAGTTATGAATTTCATTGATGCAATGGAATGAGAAATTGCTGACAAAATAATACAGTTTCTGAAAAATAACCCCAATAATTTCATTACAAAACTAGTCAATTGAATTGGCTTAACTGAATTAAGAACGTGACATGTATATATTTTGTATGTGTGTGTGTGTGTGTGTGTGTGTGTGTGTGTGTGTGTGTGTGTGTGTGAGTGTGTGTGTGTGTGAGTGTATGTTGTATGTGTGTGTGCACATGCGAATAACTTACTTTGGTTGAAGTTTTCTAAAAGTATGAAGCGCTATTATTTTTTCATTGTGTTCATTTAATAAATGTACAGTGTCAACATTGACACCCATCCTGGTCACCTTTCCTAGCTAAAAAAGTAAAAAAATGATCATTACTAAATGACATAAAGTAAAACAATTGGTCAAACTTCCTATAAGCGGACACTTAAATGAGATTTTAACAGCTTATTATAGAAAAATTATTATGTACATTAAGTGAAAGTAAACAAATTAATTGAATTTGAACGAATCCACATATGTACACAGACACTAATTTCCTCTTCCTCATGGACTTGCATGAATTCGACCTTTTCCAATGGTTGATCTTTTTATTGCTCTTACTTTGATGTTTTATGTTTATACGTTACATTGGATTTTGAAAGGGTGGGGAGGGAAGTCGGGAGTAGAAAGACATTTTTATATGAGGAGTCGGCTTTTTTGAGGTAAAAGGAACCGACAGAAGGAAAAAATGGAGAATGGTTCAGCCTGATTTTCAGGATTATATAGACAGGGATAATTAGGGAAAGGAAAGCCAAATTTTCGACGTAGTCTATTTCTTCAACAATTTGGCTTCTTTTATAGCTTGTTCAAGAGGTGGAACTCTCAGAAAACCCCTAGCAATTTTCTTAATTAAATTAAATTATCTACCATAAAAAAACAAAAAAAAACAAGCAGTTTCTACCTAGTCCTTATTACCAAATGTTCACTAACCGACCATCTTCAGAGTCAGATACGGTTTTTTCCGAAGTCAGAACGATCCAGGCTGGCATCACACAAGAGAGCATTTGAATTTGATTAATGATATTAGCTTAGCTGCAACTGAGTTTACATGTGTCTGTTCTGTAATTGATGCTGTGTTTATCTTTGTTGATGTAAACCATTTCTAAAAAGTTACGTTCTGTGTGTAATATTTTTGGATTGTTGAAGTCTAAATTGTTTTGGTGTTCAAAGTGGTAGGTAGCCAGTGCTTTTTTTTTGTTTGGGTTTTTTGCTATCATAAATATGTTGCTTTACTCTCTTATACAGATATTGGGATGTAATACTGATGTAAGTCGTGGGACAATTTAAACAATGGATTTTGAAAATTACGTCAGATTTATTTGTTACTGGTGTGGGATCTTTAATTTTGGGAAAAAGTGTGTGAATTGTTTTATAGTTTTTCTTCTGATAACTTTAAAATAATTTTCAAAAACTTCTGTGGCACTCTCAGCACGACAGACAAGAATGACACATCTACACGGAAAACAAACACTTTGAGTGAGTACAAATATTTTGATTGAATCTAAAATTTGCTAACATTGTATAAATTCATTTTTATTAATCTAATTTTTTTAGCATTGTATAAATTCATTTTTTTAATCTAAAATTTTTTAGCATTGTATAAATTCATTTTTTTTATCTAAAATTTTCTAGCATTGTATAAATTCATTTTTTTAATCTAAAATTTTCTAGCATTGCATAAATTCATTTTTTTATATTCTAAAATTTTCTAGCATTGTATAAATTCATTTTTTTTTTATCTAAAATTTTCTAGCATTGTATAAATTCATTTTTTTTAATCTAAAATTTTCTAGCATTGTATAAATTATTTTTTTTATTCTAAAATTTTCTAGCATTGTATAAATTCATTTTTTCCCACATCCTACATGTATTTGTAAAATTTAAACAATGTTTATAAATCCCAGGCCCTGAAGATCATCTCGATAAAGATCGAAACGTTGGCACGATAAAGAAAATGTTTTTCTAAATCCTACGTCACACCAGACCGCATCTTACGACCACCAAATAATCATCAAGTAACTAAACACCACACATTTGTATATTATGTAAAATAAAGGAAAAAATTATTATAGAATGGCTTTTAGTCAACTAGATATCCACATTTCAATAAACATTCTGCGGGTTGCCTACTTCATCTACCTAGCACTATCATATAATTCATTTCACTTAGATAAACATAATAAATAAAAATAATAATAATAAAAGTACCAGAGAGTTTTTGTTATGCGATAAATTGGGTTCTGAGGTGGGCAATCAAAATGGTCAAAGTGTTAGTAATCTATTAAATGTGAAATCTTGCATTGTTTTTCGTTCAAATATCCACTTATAAGAGACTTTTCATCAAGAAAAGTATAAAATGTAGTATCTGCATTGTTTTATTAAAAGAACTTTTTTTAATAAAGTTAAATGGGATGATGCCAAGAGGGAGAAAAAACTGCCCGGTCATAAAGGATGTCCAGTTATTATAAGTGTCCGTTTGGGGACGTTTGACTATACTTAAAAATATTTTTCAAACAAAATGTTTGGCAAAAGGTAATTAAAAGCTTAAATCATAAACTTATTACAAAACTTATTAATTTATAATTTTTTTATAAGTTTAAAAAAATTGATAAAATGAATAATTGAAAACTTACATTTTCAAATGTAGAAATATCCATAACAAATTTTAAAAAGAGATCGTGAGCCTTTTGTTTTTCGGACAGTTGTGTTTCCATGTGTAATGAAGTGGTGCTTGCTATTCGCGAAGCTAGAAATTCATTATATTTCCAATTAGTTTTGCATTTTACTATTTATTAATAATTAAAAATATAACCATAAAAATATTGATTACTTATTTAACTTCAAGATTTAATCTTGTAGTTGTTAACTTTTGTTATAGCAAATGTTTTTACCTGACATACTCGGAGGCTCCCAGCGTGGATCCTTCTGTGGTATTCCATTAATTATATCAAGACTCATTTTAACTAATGTCATTGCTAATTGATTATTTAATCCACTGGTGGTATTAGGAAATTCTCTTTCTATCACCTGCCTATATTGGACCTAAAAAATGTACATTTCATATGAAGGAAACCAACATGAAAAAAAGGGCAAAGGTTTTAAATTTAAAAAACAAATTAATTAAAATTACCATGTTTTTACGTATGTACAGCATAAAAGCTGATCTTATCGTATCTACACACTCTGGCTTGGCATAAACTGAAGGTTCACGTGAAGCAATAGTTTTAGGTGTTGTTGTCGGTTCAACAGTTGACCTGAAATATTTCCACTCAATTTACAACACAATGTAAATTTTTTATTTTTTAAGTTTTAATTTTTTAAGTTTATGTTTTCTAAGAAAAATAAGAAGTTTATATAAAAATTTATTTATTGAAATGAACAAGAAAAGAAAGGCAACCCTTAACATCCAAAAATAATGTTAGACCATCTTTTTAAAAACATATTTTTTATATTACTAATACCATAGCAAAACTAATTTTTATGGCCATGTTCACCATTTAGAAAATAGCAACAGTTTATTCACAGTTATGTCCTATATAATATATTCCAACCCAATTTTATTATCAATTCAGTTGGAATCCTGCTTGTGACTGGCTTTTTTATCTCAACCAAAACCTTAATTAAATGAAAAGAATTTATTTAAGCGGACCACGAAACCTAATAAAATTTATTATCAAGTGTGAGATTTTTTTAAAAATGAACCTGCAGTTTTTCAGAGCCTCACCTCACTGTTAAATCTTCAGCAGTCAGTCTGTGTAATTCCATCAATTGCATCCTTTTAGAACTTTGTCAAATGTGACAGACCAACCGCTGAAGATGGCAAATGAAAGCTGACAGCCCATTGCGAACGAACATCCGAGCCTAGAACTACTGTGTGATTAGACAGGTCACAAATCTTTACAATTATTTTTTCTTGGTAACTTCCAAATAAAATTCCAAGGGAAATGATATTAAAACCCTGAATAGCTAAGAACAGAATTGGATGCCCCTAACAACTCGACCACCATGGTCCCCCGCCCAAACTGCTATATAACCACACCAAAACATTTTTCAATCTTTGTGTTTATACATTTTTGTGGCTGTATCTTGTAGGTTGTAGTCAAGTGTCAAAGTGTACAATTGGAACAAACTTTTCTATTGGGTGTGAATGTGTGTGTGTGTGTGTATTTTTGCGGTGAATTATGGTGCCAGTGTGATAGGTTGTACAGGGAGTTGCAAATATTTTATTTACCTCAAAAAACACCAGATTTTGTTGAACATTTTATACGAATAAATGTGATGTCGGTAGAAAATGCGTTGTTGAATGGTAACTCAGGAAACACAAGGTGGTGCAAAATTCATTTAAAGAAGTAAATTAAAAATATCAAATTACTTGTTGTCAAAAGGTTTAATTAAAGGTTGTCATGTTTACCATCAGGCAATAATAAACAAATCAGTAGTGATGTGGGTATATATTCAATTAATATTATTGATGAAGCAAAAACCATTGAACAATTGAGCACAAGTTTTTTTTTCAGTTTTCAGAAAAAAAGTCAAACTTTCAAAATATAAATTTTTAAAACATAATTTCCTTCATTTTCTATAACGTACTGTCAACATTCTGGTAGCAGAAATATCCCATTTTTGTAAAAGCCTATTATTTAGACGAGAACAAATTTGTAAGACTGATTTTCAGCGGGTTTTGCTCAAATATTCCCTACATTTTAAAGTAAATAATTCCTGTCATACAGGAGGGCTTAACATCCACCTACCCATTTGGTGTTTAGGTTGAGGGGTCAAACCACTTTATAATTCATTTTCATATTATAATTAACTAAAAATCCAGGATTAGAACCCACAAATGCTAGCTTGGACCTTACGAGGGTGCAATCCTGCTCTTGTTGTTGATGGTGGTGTTTCATTCTTTTTGCAAATAGTCCTACAGCGTTAACATTTTTGTAAAGGATCCACTTCTCATCCCTAGTGGCCAAATAGGAAATAAAAGCTTCTGATTTATACCTATTCAGGTACAAAACGCAACAAGTCATGCAGATTTTCATGAATACGAGAAAGCCATGGGAACGTGTTTATCGGCCAAATGATAATCTAGTAATGGATTGGTTTAAAACAAGGGGGCGGCCACACTCTAACAAATTCATGATTGATCGCAAAGATATAAGAGGCATGATACGCCATCTCAAACATGGAGAAATTATATGGTACACACCAGATCATGACTATGGTCCACCCATGAATCGAGTTTTACAACGTAACCCTGAGATTGAATTTTTCTTTATATTATTGTGCGATATACCTTCCACAATGAGGATGATCTTTGATTCGTCTCCCTCCAGTACAAACATGATGGAACTACTGTTGACGCATACGCTTAGTTACTACATTATCACTGTAAATTCCACATAAATTTCGACAGGCATCCACCACTTGTATAGCAAGCACTGTTACAAATGAATTTTTACTGTTTCCGTGTACATATATTCTAGACTTACATTTGGGCTTAACTACCTCTTTTTCTTAACAATCTCTATCAATAGGGCTTCTCCCACTCTAGGGCTTAATGTAAACACCCAAAAATATCCGCCCGTTTCTAAATGTAAAGGGCATTTTGTAAAAATTCTGCTGTCTTTTAACCACAATTCTCATGGATTATTCACTACCATTATTTTGTCTATAGTAAATTGGTTAAGTTTTTCATAAGTTACAACATTTTTGATAACAACAGAATCAAATGCATTGCGGGTCCTGTTTTTGTATTAAAACCAACGGTTCCCATACTGAATGCGTTAAGAGAAAAACATTTCAAGAATAAGGTGAGGTTGGTCAAGATTTGATATTGAAATTATTAATAAAATAAAACGTGCGTCTTAATGTAAATATTTTAAAGATTTTGTACTTTTTACACAATGCACCAAGTTGATATTCATTTCAATTGATTCGACCACTCGTATAAACTTGTAATGCAAATTATAAAATTATTTTAATATTCAGCTTACCTATCAAGTAAATCAAAACTTGATGTGTCAGAAGTTGAAATTGTCACAAAGCCATAAGTTCCGGAGAAAAATATAGGACTATTTTTGTAAATATTATGGCCACGCATTAGTCCACCGGGGATTTCGATCTTATCGCCGTCGATTTGCCCACTCCCCACTAAAATCATGGATGTTTGTTAGTATTTCGAACTGAAGTCTAAAAAGAAATTACATAAAAAAATTTAATGGAAAAATTCACAATTGTACATACTTGGTACAGCAACAATGCATTTTCTGTTGAAAAATAACGCATCAGCAGGTAAGAGAAGAAACTGAAGTTGAGTAACTTTAGAATGAGGTTCTTCTAAGACAGCAATATCCCTTTTGGACAGCTCGCAGGATTTGAATCCATCAGTTGGAGGAAGCCCATCAACACAAGGAAAATGCACTTAAAAAAATATTGAAAAATATAAAAGATAGTGAACAATTGATAATACTTTAATTTCAATTACAAGTAGGTTACTAAATTTATTTTAAAACTAGCATCCAACTATTAATTTTTAGTGGCAATAAATTGAGCAAACAAATTAAAAATAAGATAATAATAAATTAAGAGTATAAATTTCAAGGGGAAAAAAGTATTGGTACAGTAGAAACGTTTTTAAACAAAATTTTGTTTGCACTTGAATATTTTGTTACTAAACCATTTGCATCAATTATGGCCTTTAGTCTTAGCGGCATTGAGGATACAAGGCTGTGGCTTATTTCAGGTCCAATTTGATCCCATTATTGTAATACAATTTGTAGCTGATGCTTTGAAGAAATTTTATTTTTCTGTACCTTTAACGCAGGACTTCGCCAACTTTTTAGCTAGCAGTTCCCTTTCACAGAACAAAATCCAGGGCAGCCCCCTCTCATATAAATATTTAAAATTAGATACTTATAGTGTATAGTAAATTAAAGTTTTATAAATTAGCCAGTTCATTCCTAATTTTTGTTTTTATGTTAACCTACAATGAAATTAATACACCAAAAAGGAGGAGTGTTCAAGTACACTTGAAAAATTGAAAAAGTGTACTCTTTGGTGTAAATTAATTTTTTCATCACCTTGTGAGCTGAAACTGATATTGAGTTTATTTGCAATTTTACAATAACTCAATGCTCTCATATTTAGGCTGTTATTACCTCTGAACTGGTCAGAAAATAATTTAGAAAAATGCTATTCTCGCTTGTTTGTATTTATTTCAAATTGAAAGGATTAAGAATTGGGATGATGAAAATTATGGATAACAAATTTCAGAGGATAATTCAAAATTAAGCAAGAAACAACAATTCCAATATTTTTTGACCCTTGAAATTCATGCTCTTATTTCTTATCTTTATCTTATTTTAATTTGCTCGATTTATTGCCACCAAAAATTAATAGTTGGATGCTAGTTTTTAAATATTTTATTTTTTGTATTTTATTTTTTAAGTGACCAGTTGTTTAATAATTTGTTGGATTCGTGAGGAGTGGTCAAGAATAAGGTAGTTTCAGTAAAACACCACCTTTTTCACAATATAACACCATCATACTTGGTTCAAAGTTTATATTTACATCAGTATTGTAATTTTTCAAATTGAAATACTTTTTGTAATTCACCCATGCCCTGAAGATTACCCGAATAAAGGTTGAAACATCGGCAGAAAAATGAAAAAAGGTGTTTTTCTAAACTACCTCATTCTTGACCGCTCCTCATGAATGCAACAAATTAATAAATTTAATATCAATCTTTATATTTAACATGTTCATTACAGCACTGATTTGTAAAGACACTCCAAAAATACAGAAAAGATCTTAATTTTTTTTTTCTTCAAAAAATTAGAAAAACTTTCCAAAAGGTTAAATCAAAAAAACGGTCTTAACAGTAATGTTGATACAGCAATACTGAAGACCTGTGACAATAATTTGATTCCAAAAATACCCCCAACACCGTACAAGCTTCGAAAAGCGGGGTTTTCTAGAATAGGCGTTCTGAAACTATGTCCATATATGAGGAAGCCCAATTTTTTTTTTTTTTTAAAGCCCATTGTAATGAACGTGTTAAGAAAAAATTGGGGTGTACCAATACTTCTTGATCCATAGTATAAAAAAATAATCAAACAAAATAAAACACTAATGATACTTACATAAAACATAACTCCTTGGTTCAACTATTACAGCAAGTACCATAATTCCACCTTCAACCAAGTTAACATCACTAACCAATATTTCTATTTCATTGCTTTCGGGCATCTGAAAAAAATGGATGTAACAAATGAGCTTATGTTGTTTTTTTAAAATATTAAATTAAATGTACCATTGCTTCCCTCCCAAATAATGCTCGTTTAATCATTGGTTCTAAATCATGTTCATACTTCAGATCGAAATTCATTTGCTTGGAAAACAACCAATATTGTAATTTCATTTCAGCCAGTAAGTAAATACACCAGCCATTGTCTGTTGTATTTCTTGTAAGCACTTTAACTAATTTCTAAAAAAAAATATATATATATATTAAAATGTAAATTACAAAAAATTTAATAAAACTTAAGAAGTATAAAAATTTCACTGCTTACTAATTCTTCACTAGCTTGAATATTTGACACCGAACCAAATATAATGGAATTCATTTTTTTACTAATACCGCAAAACCAACTGCGTGGTGATATTCTATGCGCAATTACTGTAGGTGTTCCACCTTTGGTTTTTGAAGGATTTATTAATATCATGGTGGCTGATGTTGTAACTGCTAATGTTCCGAGAGGGGGAATATGATGCACAGCAGAAACCTGGATAATTATGAAATTAGTAAATAAAATAATTATTACAAAGAAGGAAATTGCCTAGTTTACCTCTTCACCTCCTAAATTGGCATTGACGTCAGTCCATGGCGCGTGTTGGCTAACAACTTCCCAATATCGGATTAGCCCATCTGGAGTTATAGCCACACAGGATGCTGTCTGTTTACAAAAACACAAATACATAGTCTTCACAGTATATATATCTATATATACATATATACTTTTTTTTAAACTGAAGGACTGATTGTACCTTACTATCGGGTTGAACAAATATTGTCACATGTTGACTGCTGACCGCCAAATCGGACGGAGGAAGCAAAAGCTCTCGGCAAGTTGCTATTTGATTAGGAGTATTTTCTTCATTAAAGAGTTGCCATACAAAAAGCTTCCTCTGGCAGACAAACCAAGCCCAACCGGATTCTGGATTTAGTTGAACACTCGCATTTATTTTTGCACCTTAAAAAAATAAAAAAAATTAGATACATAACATATTTCAATTTTTTGTGACAACTAACTTGTACCTGTTTCAAAAAATACACTCAAGGAAAAAAATATTAAAAAGGTTAATAAAGGACATAAAGTACAATAATTTCAGTCAAACTTCCTATAAGCGAACACATCTAAGGAATGGGATTTTACTGGTTTATTATAGAAAAAATTATTAGGTACATTAAGTGAAAGTAAAAACATTAATTGAATTTCAATAAATCTATGTGTGTACATAGACACTAATTTTCTCTTACTCATGGTCTTATATGTCCTTCATGAACTTCGACCTTCTCCCTGACAGAACGTGTATATTTCCCATAATGAATAGGTATAAAGATTAATAGTTAACTTAAAACAAATACAATATTAATAACTTGTTGTTTACCTTTATAAAGTGTTACTAATCCTTATACACTCTTTAGATTAAAAATAAAGAAAATTAGTTCAATTGTCAAGTGAGTTAATTGGTTTTTTTAAATTGTTTTCTTCGATAAACAATAAATTTGAGTAAAAATTTTTTCTTAAAAGCATGCTTTGCTTTGTGAGGATTTTAGGCAGATGTTTTGGCCAATGACAGACATATCATCCGCTACATAACCAAAATCCTGAGTGTGCCGCACTTTACCATCCTCGATGGTCTACAGCGGTTTCAGGCCTCTGGAAGTCTCAACGTAGGTGAGGAAAGTGGTCAACTGTGATTTATGACAGTTATAGATGATCGTTTTATTGCTCTTATTACGGAACCATCATTTAACGGCTTCCTTGATAGGTCAACTACAAACGAGCTGTAACACAAGGGTGAGCTATAACACAGTCATCAGAAGGCTTTGAGAGAATAGCCTAATCTCTAGACATTCCGCATCAGTTCCAGTTTGGTTTGTGGCAATCATATGACCGGGACCATGAGTAGAGAATGCTTTGCTTCAGTCACAGCCTTTTTAAAGACAGATATGATTTGTGGTGGAATCAATGTATATGCTTGTACCAACTGCTTATCATACATAATAGATCTTTCACTGCACAAAAGTGCATTGGAGTTCTGGAAGCTGTGGTCCCATTTGCTCCATTTATTTTATTGGGGACAACCTAATGTTAAAGCATGATAATGCTTGACCAAATGTAGCTCAAGTTGTTACCTATTAGTTGGAGGATGTATGGATTACGACAGTGAATTGACCAGCTCGTTCTCCTGACATGAATCCCATAGAACACTTATGAGACATGATTAACATCATTCTCTGCCCCCAACAGCTTCAAACCTCAATTGTTGAAGAATGGGATTCTGTTTTATAAGACAAAAACCAGTCACTTATTTACTCAATGCCTAGGAGACTTAAGGCCCTCCATGAGGCTAGAGGAGGTAATATGTGTTATCAAGAGAAAAACCAGACAAAATAACCTTAAAATAGATCGAAAGCTTGGCAGAAACAATTGAATGCTTTCTTCACCCAGGCTATACTGAGATCCAGATTATTTATGAACTAACAACTCACTCATGGACTTTCAATACTTTGCTGACGATCAATTTTAGAATTAGAAAGAACAGATGGTTTGCTGCTTGCTCTCTTCATTCTCAAACAGATATTCAAAGGATAGTAACGGCCTTTGAGAGTAAATACTCAGTGCAATCAAAAATCATCATTGATAGCATAATAAAGAATCAGGTGTTGCACTTTTATCTTCCTTGGCTGAGAGCTGAGCTAAGTGCAGGGCAATGATATGGCCACAATAATTGGTTCCAAAGAGCGTGGGCACCTTTCGTTGTACTCTTGGGGAAAAAATATTTTAAAAACTGAGCTCAAATTATACAAAGTGCAATTCAAGCAGCAGAAATTCTTAAGATGATGGAGCAAATCAAACAAGGAAAAGAAAGATAGCTTTTCCACATCAAACAACTGGTCAAATCCCAATGAATAAAATGTGTGATCCAGGATCGATCTAATAATCACCGACATAAAAGAACGCCACGACGATGATTGAGGTCAAGATGGAACTGGCTAATTGTTAACCAAAGTTACGCTCTCAGTAAGCATTTGAAATTAAAACAGAATTATATAAAGCGTTTATTGCTTGCAATTTTAAACTGAAGGAAACTAATGTCATGATGGGAGTAATAATTTTATTAAAATTCCATGGGAAACAAACAAGAGTTGTAGAGTTCTTTGTATAATGACACACTTACCCAGTACAATAAGGACATAAGGAAGGACAAAAGAACTCATGGAGGAAGTTCTGTTAGGAGATTGGAAAATCTGACTGAGCCAGAATCATAGGATTGGCCAAAGAAGGTACTGGGGGATAGTTAGGCTTCATTTGAAGACTGGATGGAACTTTGTCAGAGAAAACAGAAGAAACTCTGTCCATGTGATTGGTAAACACTTTCCAGGGTGAATAATACCCGGAGAGGAGCAGCCCACTAGTGCAGACAGTCGGTGGTACAGGCCCTCCAAAGAGAATTGGAAGAAGGTGGCTAACTTATCACCAGAGAAAATCAGGCATGCAGTAATGGCAGGAAGTATTAATGCCATCTTTGGTGAGAATCTTTAGGACCTCCCTAGCCTCGAGATCCCACTACATGGAGGAAGGTGAAGGTTTGAAGGACTATTTGCCAAAAGTGGGTAGGGCTTCAGATCAAACACCTAGTTCATACAGACCTATCAGTCTCTCATAGTTTATGCAGAAAACATAGCTGGAGACTGAATCCAAAGATGTCCCTATGACTATACACAGTGGTTGTTTGACCCATGATAGCCTATGGTTCAGTGGTTTGGTGGACGAAGACGTTATCACTAAGGGCGGTCAAGATCCTCAGTACTTCTCAGAGGAGTCTGAGCACTACGGGGGCATTGAGCACAACCGTGGGGGTCCTTCTGAATCTACCACCATTACATACATTTATCCAGGGAGAGGCCTGAGCCACAATTCACAGGCTAATAGGGGACAGGCTCTAATAGCCTACTCAAATAACAAGAAGCAATTAAAGCTTTGGGGGGAGTTGCAGCTAGACAGAACTCTGGGGATGCCTGTTAATCCTATGACCCTTAAATTCAGTTTTAACAAAAAAAAAATTCTAATCAAAATACTTATAGAGCAGACTGGGAGAAAGGGATTTCAGTTAATGCTGACCCCATCTGGTTTACAGATGGCTCCAAAACCGAATATGGGTCAGGAGCTGGCATTTATGAAAATAAACCAAGGACTAGAATTCATATTAGCCTTGGACAATATGCCACTGTCTTTCAAGCAGAAACCATGGCTATTGAATACTATGCCATGGTGATTAAAAGGCTGGGTATTGTCAATAGATGAATAGCCATCTAATCAGACAGCCAGGTAGCACTGAAGGCAACTGCCACATTGGTGGTAAAGTACAGAGTCGTTTGGGACTGCATGAGAGCTCTGTCAGACATTGGGGAAATAACAAAATTACCGTTGCCTGGTGCCAGGGCACACAAGGCAGAGGAGCAATGAAGAGGCCAACAAATTGGCCAAGGAATGATCAATGAGGACACCTATTGGCCCTGAACTCTTTTGTAGCTTACCAAACTGCCAAAAACGCAGATCCATTAGACAATGGATTAAAAATAATATAAAAATAAATAAAGGAACCTTTGAAAAAGCTTTTGGGGGTCTGGTAAAAGCCTTAGGCTTAACGAGGAGGTCTAGATAAAAAATGGAGATGATCAGAGAAGAGTGAGAGTTGAACAGAGTGTAAGAATAAATTAAAACAATTAGCCTGTAAGGAAAGTCAGAGTTAGTCTATAAAAACAGAAGAGTAAGTGAGGTGCAAACGATCACAATGATCCTACCTAGATTTTTGTGTAAAATAATAAAGGGGCTAAGCAAAAGGATTTGGTTATCTTCTCCTAAGACTACTCTTCTATCCCATCAGGTTACATAAAGTACCTATGTAACAATAAAAAGCTAGCTAATGTGCAAATATCATAAATTATTGAAATTGTGATGGTTGCAATCATATTAAAAAAAATTTTTTTCTATTAAAAAAGAAATAAGTTAAAGATTAGTTTAAAATTTATGCTCACCAGGATAGTATGCTATTGCTTCGGCAACCAAGACAGGGAGCTGAGGTCCAAAATGATTTACATTGTGAAGCTGAGTTTGTAGTATTGAGGACTTTGATCTCCTACTAAAAATAAAAATAAAATAAAATAAATAAATAAATTAGTGAAAACAATGAGAAACAAAGTGTTGCTGATAAATAATTCAGTAACTTACGCTTTTGCATGTCTAGCCGATTGTTGTGGCGATGAGAATGCCATAATATAATTTCTTCTATTAAAACACAAAATAAAATGTATAAATTAATTATTTTGAGTATGAGAGAAAATAATACAACTGTAATCATAGTTTGCAATAATATTAAAGATTTTAAAAATAATTAAGTTAATTCAGTCAAGTATGGCAGTTCTCTTGTAGTACTCCACAACAGCACTGCCGCATTCTATATATATATATATATATATATATAATATAATGCCGTATAATATAAAAATAAAATGATAATTATTTAACATATAATTGAACGAAAAGTTCTGGAACCCTGGCCAAAACCAAGTTTCACAAAAATGCAGTGAGCACAAAAAGTGAGTAAGTGAGCAAAATAGTGTGTTGAGAGAGAGAGGGGAAGGAGGATAAAGAAAGAAATAGAAAAAAGAGAATAGCAAGTAAGAAATGAGAGAGGAAATGTGAAAAAGAAAGAGAGAGAGGGAGAGAGAGTGAGTGAATGAATGTGTGAGCGAGAGAGGGATGGATGGATGGATGGATGGAGGGAGGGAGAGCGAGAGAGAGGGTGAGGGAGAGGGGAGAGCGAGAGAGAGGGAGTGAGAGGGAGCGTGAGAGAGAGCAAATTTATTTATATGGCAGTATTACTGCATTCATAGTGGAATGATTATCACGTCCTTACCAATTGTTTAGAAAATTATTTGTTTTATGGTTAGTGAATGAGAGTGTGAGTAAGCGAGTGAGTGAATAAGTGAGTGAGATAGAAAGGGAAAGTGAGTAAATGTGTGTGTGTGTGTGTGTAAGTGGAAAGAAAGAAAGAGTGAGAGTGTGAGTGAATAAGTGAGTGAGATATAGATAGAGGGAGAGTGAGTGAATGTGTGGGGGGAAGAAAGAGAGAGAGGGAGAGTGTAAGTGAGTGGAAAGTGTGTGACTAGTTCCAATTGATCTTTGTCCTTAAATTTTTTTAACGTTTACATATTTACGAGAGCCTTGCAACAGTGTGTAAGTTAATTTATATGGCAAGTATCACTCCAGTCATAGTGGAAAGATTATCACGTCCTTACCAATTATTTCGAAAGTTGTAGAACTTTATTCCAAGTTAATTTTGAAGGGCATTAATTAAAATGGGCCGATTCGAAATTAAATTTGACAATTAATGTCATATTAACTGAGGTCTACGGAATCATTATGAACATTACCTTCGTTTTCAATGTAAATGAAGTTGAATGGAAATTTTTCTTCTCTGTGTTGAACATTTATAAACAACGCGTGGTACTCGCTGGCGGATAACTCATAAAAACCATTTTATGGTAACCCACATTTCCGATATATTCTGAGCACGGAGGCCCCTGGCTTTGAGGAAATGCCTACTGACGGGATGACTGTACAGATAAGCTGACTGCAGAGTAAAGCATTAACGATGAGAAAAAAAAGTCCCGCTGTGTTATTTTATGTTTAACGGTTACCTTGAAACGGTGTTAATTAGGAGGGAACTTCGAAATCTAGACTAACTTTGCCGGGTTTGCCGGTTGAACGTAAACATTATGTTCCTCAAGGAGAAGGGATGAGAGTGACGTTTGCCGACGAATCACTGACGACATGGCCTCTTCGAGTTCTGGTCCGCCTGTTCTCGCTAGTTCCTCTTGAGATTAATCGCTTTATTCCAGATACACATTTGCGATATATTGAAATACATTATAGCCTCAGAGACAAGTTGTTTCTCTTTTCTGCCATACAAAAATTGACATGAAAGAACATAAATATTTGCTATAAAAAGAATCTACATAAAGTTGAATCTTCACTTTCTAAATTTGACTGAATTAATAATTTTTGGAACTATCTATGTTAAGTTTTAAAAACTTGGTAAAAATTGGAGTAGTGTTTATTTGGTGGTACATCCTAAAGATATTAAAAGGCGGGTCTTTCATATGGCTCTTCCCTCTCTCTCATTCATTCACTTACACACGCTCTATGTCTCACTTGCTATCTCTCTCTTTCTCATTTACTCTTTCTCTTACTCTCTCACTCACTTAATCTTTCTCTTACTCTCTCTCACTCACTTACTCTTTCTCTTACTCTCTCTCTATCTCTCAATCTCTCTCTCTCTCTCTCTCTCTCTCTCTCTCGCACACGCTATATTTCTCACTTACTATCTCCCTCTTTCTCATTCACTCACTTACTCACACACACTCTATTTCTCACTTGCAATCTCCTGCTTTCTCTTTCGCTCACTCACTCATTCACTTACTCACACACATTCTATTTCTCACTTGCTATCTCCCTCTTTCACATTCATTCACTTACTCACACACACTCTATTTTTCACTTACTCACTTGCTATCTCCCTCTTTCTCTCTCACTCATCACTCATTCACGTACTCAGAGACACTCTATTTCTCACTTGCTATCCCCCTCTTTCTCATTCACCCACTGACACTTTCTCTTACTCTCTCTCACACCCATTCTCTCATTGTCTCACTCACAAGACTCCTCAAAATACAAGAAAAATGGTGAAAATTTCCTGTGGCAAAAATATAGGCTAGTCCTTTATTTTTTATCTCAGTAGTTGTATTATAAATATTGTGTTGAGCTAGCGTTTGATAAAAAACTTGTCATATTCTTTTTGGAAGTGTTTAGTTTGTAGGTACAACATTTGATTTGTATGTCTATTGTTATCCATTGGGGTTGTGTTTCGTTGAACTGCCGACTTGTGGTGATGGTGGGAAGTGGAAACCTTCCCGGGCAGTTCGACGTTGTCAGGTTGTCTGCAACGTGTAACGTTTGTCGATGACGGTTTCCAAAAAGCGTGTCGATCCGTTTGTTGTCCAGTCCGTAGTCTCATTATCCGTTTGTCCGCCTCCGAGTCTCTTGGGTCCGTCGTACTTCGCTCCGATCTCAGCCAATTGAAAGCCTCAACAGAAAGAAAATAAGAAGAACAAAAATGTACAAAATCCTCGTTTTAATCGCGCTTTACGGTGTCGCCTACGGCTCAGCTACGTGCACCAACCCGGAGGTGACCGCGACTTCTTACACGACGAAAGACGGCACCGTCATCACCAACGTCGCATTTGTCGCTGAATTCACATTGAAATGCTCCAACGGGGCCTCCGATCTTCCACTCTACGCCGAGATCAACGGCAAGACATTCCCAGCAGTTCAATTCGACAAAGACCACTATCAGGTAAGAAAATTAATATTTATACTTTCACTTGCAATAATAAAAGTAATGCTGCCCTCCTATTACTTTTTATGTATGAAAAAAGGTATATATACATGTTTATATTACATGCCCAGATGCGTAAGTGAAACCTCCAGTACACATTTTCGGTGCACGTTTGCACATTTGTGTTAGTGAGAGACCATAAAGGTCAAAAATGAAAGCTTGCCATTATTGGCAGACCTTACAATCAGTTTCATTGTTCAACGGATAGTCTTCATGCAGGGGAGGAATGCTGTTGAACTGGGTCACAGCTCTTGAAGATGGTGGATCGCTGGAGGCACTTTTATGCTCAGGAAGACCTAACCGCCGAATTTACACTTACAGCTCAGTTGTCTGACACTTCATTTCACTGAACCTGATTCTACATCTCCACACTCATTCACGGTCTCTGTGTCTGACTTCTCAACTGACACTGACTCTTAGACCTGGTTCACAAGGAGGCTATCAGTATCGACAAGACCAATGTAACGTAGGGGCTGATAAGGTCATTCAGACGGGGAGACTGATAGGTGACCGATTTTTAGTTGCTTGAGATGTTCGATCACTTGATACTTTTTCTATATGAAGGTGACTGACGGGACATTGCACAGCATGGTACATTCATACAGCTCATAACAGTATACAGCCGCTGTATTGGGCGGATCACTCCGTCCGACTTTTGTTTTCGTACGCCTTCTTTGAAACTTTAAAAAAATGATTAGAAGTAACAGTTTTGATAATAACAAACGAACATCATTAGTTTGAACATTTCCCACGCTTTGGAACAACAGTGACTATGATTATGCGAATAAAGTTAAAAAAAAATGCACTGCGAAATGAGGGTGAACCCACATTACTTTTACTTTTTTTCGTATAATTAAATGTGAAAGAACTACAGCTTGTAACTTGTGCATTATAAATATGACAGAATCAACCATCTAGATCTTTAATCCATTTGGGAGAGGATCGAGAAGCGATGGAAGGGGCGTGACTGACTTTAGTCGCCATAGTTTCCTGGATACTGCTCGCTTCCGTGTGAACTGGGCCTTACTGACTGTCATTCTTAGGTTCAGGCCCTTTGCATGTACGTGACCGGGGATGCTGAGACCTTGCCTAGAAATCCCAGATGAGGGTATACACCCCAGACACTAGCTAGCTAGGCCTCGGGTGTGGTGCAACAATGTATAAAAAACAAGTGAAAACACAAATGTTCATATTATGTGGACTTATAAGAGAAACGCTCAGTATTAGACATATTTTCGATCCAAACATTTGAGTCGGTTAGTGAGAGACCATTAAATGCCAAAAATGAAATCTTGCCATTATTGGGTTTATATAAGCAAGAGGGCTTATACCATCAAAGAAAGACTCACTTTCATTACTTGCTTTGTATCAGTAGAACACAAGTTAAAATTAATAGTTGCTGAGAAGGCAAAAAAAAAAAAGTTTAAAGGAAATGGAAATTAAAAGTCTTCATTTCTTCATTGGGACAACTGTCCTGAAGGTTGGATGAATCAAGGGATTTTCAAATCATGGTTTGAAGGTAAATTAGTACCTTCAGTGTGCCATCACTTGAAGGTCCTTTCCGGACTTCCTCTTAAAGCCATCCTGTTGGTCAATAATGCTCCCTTGCATTAAAATGGGCAAATTTCCAATCCTGCCGATGGATCAAGGTGTGATTTCAAGTTCAAAACCAAAAATTCCTAATCAACGAAAATAGTAATGCCAAGTCAATAAAAGATGGACGATAAAAGAGCCCTTTTTTGCTGTATTTGAAACTTGTGATAATTTACTCCTAGCAACATAAGTCCTCTTTGAGACGAGTGCCTGATTGACTCTCAACTGTTGACTGCCAGACTTTTTTTTGGCTGGTTTCACACCTTGTGGAATCAACATCTCTTCTCAACAGGAAAAAGAATGATGTTGGGATCCAAGCAGGAGCACATCTGCAAGAAATAAGATCAAAAATGAAGAACCCCAGTTGAAGAAAGGCATGGGTCCATCTGTTGTTACAAAATTGGGAAACAGGTGGTTTCATACAACTACTTCACTCCTTTTAATTTCGTTATACTACTCATACATCATGTCCCATATTGCAAGACTAATACAAATTTCTGAAATGAATTGTTCACACAGAAACTTGAAATTGCAACGCTTATATGGTGAACTCGTGGACTCAACTAGGCTACTAGTGTGAAAGATGAATGCCAAGTTGAGTCAACCAACGGGGATGAAAACACATCTGCTGACAAGTTGGCTGCGTGTGAAGGTGTGTTTCCAATCATTTGTTAAATGGCTATACTCTTTGACATCTGTCAGTTCAACTAGTTAAATCAACTAATCGGCTCATCAGAAAGAGGTCTAAACCTTTCATGGTGAAAAATATTCTGCCCGAAGTAGAAACGTTTTTTGTCCGGGTTGTCACATGCAACAATAAATGACCCATTAACATGAAAACAGAATATTCATCAACAAAAGGTGATGTCTTGAGTTTGTTGGAATATTTTTTAAACCACATTTGGGAAGTGCCACTTTTGTTATTGTTTCATCACCAAACGCAGCACAAGTTTTACTGTGTTTTTGGCTACCTGGTAACTACACAAGTAACTCTTTTGCTTCATAATGTTTAAAGGTTTTATTCTGTCCTAGTACCTTGATTTATCTGTAGAAAAAAAACCAAACATTAATTTGTCATTTTTTAATTGTACTTTTGCGTGTGAACAATTTAAAAAAAATTTCAATACAAATCAAATGTAATATTTTTCGTTTGTAGGTCAGTTGGGTCGATGAGATCAGCAAAGCCAGGAGTGGAACTTATACAATCAGCCTATACGACGAAGAAGGCTATGCCTTGCTCAGGAAGGCGCTCAGGAATGCTGAGGCCCCCTCCAAAGTCAGCCCCCTTTTCAAAGTTGAACTCTTCCACCCTGGGACGTACCAAGGCCCTTGGCTCAACTCAGAATTCCTGGCAGTCACTCTATCCGTCAGCGTGTGGTACTTGGCTTTCTCCGCCAAATCGAAATTACTTTTGTAATTGACTGTTTTCATACTCAATAAATTATTTTTGTTATGAATCTGGTTGTTTTCATTGGCCTGCATAATTCCTAACATTCTGATTGCAATGTTGGCAAATATTGTGTAGAAACGATCTAAAACCTATATTGTATATTAATATAAAATTGAGATCTTTGAGAAAAAGTCTAATAAAACCTAGGTTTTTCCCTATAAAGCTAACAAACTCTTTAATTGGAAGTGAATACAATTTTTCTACATTATTAATATTTTTCTTGATTGGCATGGCATTAAGAAATTAATTAATATATAATAACTTATTTTTGAAAAAAAATATTTTTTTTTTGCTATGCTCTAAGTTACAGGAACAAACAATTATATAACAATTTGCCTTTAAGAATTATTTAAAGGCAAAATATATACATTTTATAGGTTTGTTCCAACAACAATCACAAACTAGTTGCTAACTAATTTGAGATTTGTGACTGCACATGCTTGAACATTGATTGATCATGGATTCTTAACTCTGATGGAACGTTTTTCTTTCTTAGACTTATGCCAAATTTTGTCTGTCAAAAACCTTAATATCAATCAGTCAATTGACTATCATTTTATGGAGATCATCATATATTCTTTCTTATCAGAAGAATGTGTCAGACTGCTTAAAGAAATTGGTTCTGGAACCGCAGCGTTTAAAAGAAAAAACTTAATTTTCAAATTAATTTGAAATAATGTACGTTTTTAAATTTTCGTAAAAAAAAGTACCATTCTAGTGCAAAAAAAATCTATAAAAAACTCATTAAAAATTAATTAATTACACAGGAGCGATTATATTATGTATTTTATGTCTTAAACTACTAATTATTATTCGGAGAAAAATGCAATATACAAAAATGGTTCAATATGAATGTATATTTAATGACTTCTTACAGTTTTTGTATACAGTTATAATAAGTTTGTATGTATTTAACTGTATATTTTACAGTTTATATTTTTTGTCCACTACCAATTTGGATGTATGGAATTGAACTTTGTGCTCAACCTCCAAAGACTAGTCTAAATTTCTTACAACCTCCCTTCTTCCACCTTATTATCCACACAGATCTCCAAAGTTCATTTGTCCTCAAATCGATATGAAGTTAATACAGACTCCATAAAGCTCTTGACTCTCATAACGAACCCTTCCCTGGCAATCCTTACAATCTTTAATATGGTCCAGTTTGGTGCCAACAGATATTGTAAAACATTATGAAGATTTAAATTTATTCAGTGTTAATAATAGTCTTGGGTCAGTTGTCACATTGCAATTTTTATTTCTAAATTAGGGGAATAAATAATGCTGGCCCAATTTTTTCACTTTATTTAACAGTTTAGTTCGTAATGAAAGTTATTATTTAATTTCTTCATTGGAAGATGAAGCTCTCACCACATGTTTTCATATCAGCCCAGATAATGTTATAATATTAATATCTCTATTTAACTTATTAATTATAAAATTTAATTAATTTATGCATTAAACATAAATATTGAAATGTTATATATCTTCTAGCATATACAGACCAGCCGCTACCAAAACAAAAGGATTTTGGCCTCTATGTTTGTCAACCGTATTCTCAAATTTACACCATTGGCATTTGGTTCTTATCAGGGACTACAAATGTTTTCATTGAACCTACTTAACCTAATCATACATGCTCACTTCCAGGTAAATCATAAAGAGAGGAAACTAATTCAGAGTATCCTTTAGTAAAATTTAAAATAAGATAGGAAACTAATTCAGAGTACACTTCAATAAAATTTAAAATAAGGCATGTCCAATAAATAGTTTATTTATTTTTTAAATTATTATTATTTTTTTAATGAGGGTTTGCAACAACAAAGGCCTTATCAACCCCTGGGGTGTTGGTGCTTTTGAAAAAAAGCCCATTTGTAAGTATGTTGGGTTTGAATGCAGGGCTGCTGGATTTTTACCAGTGATGAGCGCCTTGTTAATCCCTAAACCATTGCGGCCATCGATGCCCCTTCAATAAATAGTTGTATGTACTTCTTTGCTGTTGGTATGAATAGAATACTTCAGATACTGCTCTTACAATATTAAATCATGGATAGTTATTCTACTAAGTCTCCAAACCTAACCTAACCTAACCTGTCCCTAACTCTAACCCTACCTAACCTAGCCTTTTCCTAACTCTAACACTACCTAACTTAACCTGTCCCTAACTCTAACCCTACCTAATTCTAAACCTACCTCCTAATCTGTCTCTAACTCTTACCCTCTCTAACCTAACCTGTCTCTAACTCCAACCCTACCTAACCTAACCTGCCCCAGGCTCTGTCGGGTCTTGGAAGGAATAAAGTGACCCTTCATAGTTTTAACATATAGAAGGTTCAGACTACCTGTGACATGCAGCTACACATTCACCTGCAAAATGTTTGAAAAAAGAGTGATAATCTTTTCTTAGAAAATTGTGCTTGTAAAGCATCCCCTGCCCTCCAGATACATAGTGCGGGATAGCAACATGTGTAAAAACTTCTGTATTTTTTTTTTTAATTCGATAGATTTTGATAAACTGTAATGATTTATTATTGAAGCAATATTTCTTTTTCATGTTTATCATTAATATCAAACTTGTGTTTAGGATAAGTGTGAATTTATACTACTATTATTTATGCTATAATTTGTGCATCAAGAGCATGTAATATGTAACATGGTGCATGCTCTAAATAAATGATTAAAAAGCCTAACCTGTCCCTAATTCTAACCCTACCTAACCTAACTTGTCTCTAATTCTAATCCTACTTGACCTAACCTGTCCCTAACCCTAACCCTACCTAGCCTAATCTAACTCAACCCATGCTCACTCCCAGGTGAATTGTAAAAAGGGGAAACTAATTCAGAGAATCCTTTAGTAACTTGCTAAAGGATATGTCTAATAAAATTGTTGTAAGTACTTCTTTGCTATTGGTATGAATAGGAAACTCACATACTGTTCTTACAAGATTGAATCATGGATAATTAACCTACTTAGTCCGTATCTTCCATCCAACCCATGTGCACTCCCCCACAACATGAATATTGTGAATGAACAATGAAAATTTATGTATCCAGTAAAAAAATAAAAACATATTCATGTTAGTTAAGTTTACAGGACATAATTGTAACACTCATATGCCATTTATCTTCTACTGATTTATTTGCAGTTTAATAGATTAGTCTTTACAGCAAATACCTGAACAAGAGAATTATTAAAATCACAGCACTCAAAAATAACAGGTGTTAAATTCATAAAAAATGCTTTAAAAATTATTATATATAGTATATTTCGACCTAAAATAGATAAAATTACTTGTTATTTTTTATTGTTCTTCCAGTGATGAGGTACCATGTCAATGTCTTAACCATTGCGGTTGGTGACACCACTAGCTATTGTTAGAGAGAAATGTAAAAAATTAAATTTTTTTCTTTTTCGGCACATAATTTATTTAAAAATATAATATCTGATTGTCATTTATTTTTGTATTGAATTGAACATAAGCATTTTATCATAGGATCTACTAATTAACTAACAATATTTGATAATACAAAAAGAAATATTCATTACAATATTTGTTTATAATAACATGTAGGCACAATAAAAGTATTTCGAACAGTACAAAATATAGGATTTTTGTTTTAACCACAACTATTTGTACATAGACATTCAAATATGGTATTTATTGAACTATACATTTTTTTAAAATTATTTTTTGCTAAAATAAAAAATGCAATTAATTGGATGAACATTTCTTTCTTGAGGTAAAGGCATCTATGAAAATATCACTTACAACATTATTGCTAATTTAAATTCATATAACTTTTCTGTAACTGTTAACACTTACTATATTACAACAGTATTAATTGCTGAAAACAAATTAGAAAAACAAAAAACAAGCATAAGGGTCATGTTTTCAAAATATTGTGCTTTAGTACTTTATTACTTATGAGTACTGGTTTATATTATAAGCCTAGGATTGATTTAATAATCCAAATTTACCTGAAATAATTATTTAAGTTAAGAAAACAAAAAAGACACCTCCAACTCATAAAAATGTTTATAACAGAAACATTTTTTAAATTCAAATCTTTTTTTTATACACGAAACAATTTAATTTCACCAATTAATACAAATCAAGATGTACTCTTAGCATAAATTGGAAGACAAGAGTTCATATCTTTTGTCCTACCTACTGAACTAGGTCAGAAGTTATATGAAAAATGAATATTACCATAATCGAGAAATGATTGTAATCCCAAATTAAAATGAATAATAATTATAATCCATATTTAATAGATGAAGGCTAAAATCAAATCCCAATGACCATAAGGATTTGGGGTTGTGTCTGCGTGTTTTGAGTATTATGACATTGACCTAGCTAATGTGTTTACTGTTGTCAACCAACTATCTAGTGAACAAAATTTATATAAGTGTTACAAATAAAGTTTCAGTAGCAGTTGAGATAAATTATACATCTTCAGGATTAACAATTACATTACAAATTATTAGTTACTTATGAAACCCTAATGTTTATACCAATGAAACATGTATAGGTGTGTATTTTTAAGTAGTTAATATACGAATAACCATAATATTAGAATTGACATGTTTAAAACAAGTAGGTAATGTCTAAATGACAATCATGACAAGATAGATTTATAAAATGAAAATGATAATTTGAAAATTATGCCATTTGAATTTTAAGTCTTAGATCTAACAATTACATGAAAGTTAATATATCCTCTATGAATGAAATGTCAACATTATTTACAATATCAAACGACTATACATAAATATTTTGTCATTAAAAAAAATAGTTAATTAACTAATAGTATTAAAAATTGGTAATTTCAATACTAATCAGTTTCTTTACATTTGTCGCATTTTACATTTTTTTAATTTTTATTTTTTATTACAGAAAACCCTACAGTGCCAAGAGTATTAAAACAATTATATACACATTATAGTAATATAATATTTACCTTCAGCAATATGTTTCTTTGGGTTTAAACAATATAAAAAAGAAAAACAAAACATAAAACAACCATAACAAGATTGTCTGTAATTATGTACATTTAAGCTGTGTGAATTATAAGAACACATATCAAATGAGCAAAATTTACAAAAAATATTTCAACATATGTGTGCTCTAAGACTAATTCAATAATAATAAATGATTTATTCATAATATTCGCATTAATGATTGAATTTTTTGACATATACATTGTAAACAAACAAAATTTTACTGAACAAAGTTTAACAATAGAGAGAAGTACATAACTGATAGATTTTCAAAAACAAAAAGTTACTATTCAATAATATTGAAATAGAGTAAACCAAAATATTAAGATTAATCTGAATTGAGAGCAATAAGCGTCAAATTATGTTATAAAAAAAACTTAAAATATATAAATGGTGGTTTGCCATTTCCTCGAAATGTTCCCAAAACAGTAAATTTTATTGGTTTATAATTTAAAATATGACAAGCCACTAAATTAAATTACAATTTCATATTTTTAGTACACATGTTATTTTCACTTCATAAATGTAATTGAAGTAAACACAAACAATTTATTGTTTTTTTTTTTAATTTTTTCATTATAATTGTGTATTGAAAGTTAGTTAGCCAAGTCTATAAGAGATTTTCTCTCACAGAAATATGATTGTTTTCTTTTTTAAAACCCTTTTTACCTATCACAGGAAGTCTAGTGTCTGGTTTTTGTTGTTTGTCTTTAAATTCATTCTAAACATTATTCTGTTTCTGTGGTTTATTGTCTCAGTGCATTTGTTATTAATTGTCTCTCGAAAATTTTTGACCTTGTTCATTTTTGTTCCATTTGCTCTGTTGGGAAATAAATCGCTTCAACAAAGAAATAAAATTGTTGATTAAAAGAGAAATTGCTCTAATTAATTATCTTTCAAAAGGAAAAGAAATGAGTACTATTGGCCTATTCACAAATTGGTATGTTAACTTTTTATACAGCTATAAAACATAAAAACATTACCTATTTCAATCAACCAACTTTTTAAGATTCCAGAGTGAATTGTCACAGGCCCTTTATGATTTTTTTTTCGTTGAAGAATATTGGTGGCAACAATAGATAGATAATTTATTTAAAACATTGCAAGAAATTATAATTGTATTTAGTAATAATTAACCACTAAGATAAGTAATGTAATTAAGAGAAATCGATAGGCCCTCAGAGGATCTGACTCAGAAGAAGGGTTATCCTCGCTAAACTAAGGGTACGCAAAGTTGCCACGCGGATACTTTTGGGCCAAAGCCTGCATATATGACCGTCATGTAGAGAAAGGTTGCTAGATGTGTCCCACATAATTGAAGGGAGCAATGTCTTGGCTTCATACAGGGAGAATGTAGGAATGCCACGCATTATGAGAACTGAGCTTGAGCACCACAGGGAATATCTGGGCGTTTTGATTTTTAGAGGAAACGACTGTTTTAGTGTATATAGTACTTTATTTCATTTTGTAATTTCTTTGTGTATTAGACTGAATGAATTTATTAGCATGAATGTTTAGTGTGAGAGGGCCGATGATAGAATATTGAGTACTCGATCGACCTCCAATTAGATTAGTTATATGTGTAGAGGGTGATGGAAGAATATCGAGTACTCCACTATCCTGAGTGAATAGTATGTAATTTAAGAGTGAATGGTTTTGGAACTGAGTGCATTGGGGGCTGAAATGACCTAGCCCCTGGAGCCCAACCTCGGCGGCTGGACGGATAAAACTGACCCCCAAATGCTGACACCCGAGGTGGGTTATTCTCGAGGTAAATTACACTAAAACTGGAATTGCTGTTTGACTTGAGAACTGATAGGCTCAACTCTGAACACGTGTGTATGTATGTACATGTCTAGAACAGATTTGAGCTTGTGTAAATCAATAATCAGAAATTATTAATTGAAATCCATTTTGAATATCAAATAATAAGAGTACAACATAAAGAAGAACCAACAATTTGTTACATTATTAATAAAGAAAAGAACTGTGAGAGAAAATAACGGCATAAAAATTAGCCTAGTACTGGTTAAACATATTGTCACTAACATCAGTAATACACAAATATTTTTGATTGTTTATTTAAACATTCAGTTGTATTTTTAATTGTTTTAATTTATATAAGGAAAGAAAATTCAACGCTAAAAACTTGTTTCATATGAAATAATCTTATATGCCAAAATCATATTAAATACAAAATATATTTTTTGAAAATAAGATTTGCTCACTCACATGTGCTCATTTTTTTCTGGAAGACAGCAATTTATACATTTTTATGTTTTAATTTTGAAAACACAAGCTATGTTGGAAGATGATCAAATCTTGCATTAATGTAGACAGGAATAACTTAAAATTGACTAATATCGTTGTCATATCACAAAATTTAAATATCTTCACTAATATTGAATTTATTATGAGCAGTTTTAAAAATTAAACCATTTTAAAAATTTAAACGATAAGTGACAAATTACATAGCAAGTGGAGTCTCCACTTTCTGAAAGAACACCAAAAATCACTCATTAAAACCAAAATATATATATGAAAATATTGTCATATTAATTTTTTTGCTAGCATAATTGTAATTAATTCTATTACGTAGACATGGTGCCAATGTAAAAGCGAACAATTAGGCACTTGATATATTCTAAACTATGTCACATTTTCCACAAACAATTTATAAACTCTTTTACTAAATAAACAGTACAGTATTTGGCCGCTATTCTAATTTATAACATCACTTATTTACAGTATTTAATGTTGATAGTGAAGACTTTAAATGTTGCAATTAATTAGAAAATGAACAAACCTTACATTATTTTCATGTACAAAAGAGATAAAATAATATTTTATTTGCATTTAAAAAAGGATATGAAATTCTACAGGACAAAAAATATTATTAATAAGGAAAGAAATGTAAATATTGAAATGAAACAAATATTGAATTGAAGGTTTAGAGAATGGCTTTTATTAAAAAATAGATCACTGTACGAATTAATATTTTATATATCTATTATATCCTTTTCAAAATATTCTATCTAGTTGATGTGTAAATTCACATTGAGGGGAAAAAACAATTACTAGACAATTAAAATAAAATAGACAACACTAATTTGTTGTAACATATTTTTTAGCTTAGACCTTTTTAAAATAATTTTTGGAGAAAATGTATTTTTATTTTATGAACTAATGTTTAATTTAATAAAATCTTCATTGGGCATCAATAAAAAAAATTACATTTGAATTTAATTTTTATCTAATGGCAAAACAAGTATCACTACTGCTTCAGTGAAATAACACTGCATAAAAAAATGAGCAATTGTAAAAATTATATTTTTATTATTGCCAACAAATTCCAAACTATATATTAAACCACAATTTCCCCTTTTCTTGCTACAGTAGACTCTCGTTACCCGCGCTTTCACTCATCCACAGTTGCCCCCCCCCCCTGGTTGAGTTCTAGAGGAGAGTGGGAATACTGCGTGGAATAAATTTTATGTATAATACTGTACATTGTATTTTTCTTATTAAAAAAACCCTAAAATATGTGTACATAAATTCATACATAACATTGACAGCACATGCGATCAGAAAGTGTCTGATTGTTATGTAGATTGAAGAAAATGCTTTGAAGCCTGAAATTTGAGGTTTCCTCAAACAAATTTATGTTGTTAGGTGCGTATCCTCCGCAAATAACAAGAGTCTACTGTTTACAACCACTGTTTATAATATATGGAATGATAATGGTCTGGAGAAAATTTAATTTTTAATTAATTAAACGTTATAATGACAGTGATATTTTATTGGTATTCAATCATCAATATCAACAATGTAACTCATTGTTCAGAAAAAAATCTTAAGAAATAATAGAATACTATTTTATGATGATTTGAAATACATTTACTGTTAACATATGTTGTACAATTGTCAGGGAGGAATGCAACATTTATGTACAACAAATGTGACATCAGAAGGCTAATAAAAAACAAACAACATATAATTTTTTAATGGATTCACTGTCTTGTGAGATACATTGAAAATAAAAAATAGTGTATTAATTTGAAATATTCATCGTTCCCCAATCACTAATATATTATTTCTATAATAATGACTGTTTTGATTGCAGTGGTAATAATCTCATGAGTTTAAAAGGAATTAGAGAACTACTTTTGAACTATCACAAGTTTGTAAATTACCTTTTATAAAATCAAAAAGGATTTTTTTTTAAATCAGCATCTATAATATACACCAATGTTAACATCAAGTAGTTAGGCCATCAATATAATATGTAGATCACATGGTAGTGGTTAGAGTACCACTTGTTACTTTATAATAAGTATATCTATTTACGAAATAAACCAAACTGCTATAATTATAAATAATAGCCTTATGCAATATATAATTGGTTTTTTACACAGAAATCACAAAAACATGAACGGTTCGATGACTGTTCATGGAAACAAATATTTTTAAGACACTGGGACACTATAAACACATCATGATGTAAAACATGAACTACAGTGACCACAGCAGACAATACTTATAAAAGTAATTTGCTAATGATCAGCTGTCTACATCATACTCCTCAGACTCACGGTGTACTAGCGCTTGTACAACCCTTGGCAGTTCACTGCTTCTTCTGAAAGCAGCTCTACGAGTTTGAGCAGGTAGAATACTGTCTGGAGAAGGTTCAGTAACTGTAATTGACACAGCTCCAGTTTCTGGAAGGTCTAATGAGCATTGTTTATTTAATGTTTGCGATGGAGGATCATTTGCTGAGATGGTCACTTCAGACCTAAAATAAATACAAATTATAAATTTATTTTAAAGAAATAAATATTGGCTTGTAAAATAAATCAGTAACGTTATTCAAATGTTGAAGTAATGTTTATTAATTAATTATTGTTTACACAGGATTAAGGTGTTTTTCTAATTTATAAAGAAGGAAAAAATAGTGCATTTTTTAAATGTGTGCTTTAGGAGACAGCAGGGCTGTAAATGGGGGTTAATGGGTCTCGACGTTCCCAACAATTGCCTAGGTCGGTGGTACTCCTACGTAAATCTCAAGTCCTTCAATACCTAAGTCCTTCTAAGTCTCAGTCACATACAGCCCGGGCAATGTCTTTCTGATGGCTAATGATGGAAGGGGGGCAAATGTGACCCCCGCACACTAATGAGGAAACTCTGGACTTAGAGAGATAACCCCAAACAGAAAAGCACCCCCAAGCTAAGGTGTAAGGCAATATGCTAAGGGCTGAATGGCCGCAGGGGGTAAGTTGAAGTCCTTAACGTTCCCCTGGAGGAAACTGGTACCACCTCCTTGTATATTAGTCACCTTACTTGTACATGCGGGGCTCTGTGTGGGTGGACTTTTAGATCCCTGGCTTCTCATGGGAACCAAATGAGTATACCTATGGAACAAGCAGAGGTACAACAAACCTGTAGTTCATACAGACCTATCAGTCTCTCATTGTTTATACAGAAGACACTAGAGAAACCAATGGATAAACATATTAGGGGCACAGTACTGAAAACTAACCCAATCAGTACTAGGCAATATGCATATCAGACTGTTAAATCTACGAACCTGGCCCTGGATGCCTTAAACAGGCTACTATCTAAGGCATTGAATGATAAAGAAATAGATAAATTCATGAACTTGGAATTAGGATGGAATTGGCATTTAGCAATGACACGACCTATGTTCAAAGTAAAATAAAAGGGATCTGAAAATCCCTATGTCAATGGGTGGAAGAAAGACTAAGGAAGAGAATAACTTTAGCTACCCAGGGCAACACTAAAATAAAGGCGAGAGAACCAGAGGCTGCCTTCAGGGTGACGTTCTGTCACCATTACAGTCAGTATTGGTTGATGATTTTCTGAAAAGGCTATCTGTCGAAGGCTTTAATTACCTAGGATATGTAGATGATCTGACGTGAATGAATGTTTTGCCAAAGTCATTACAGAGAGGACACAATAAGCACTCAACATAACAAATAGATGGCGTAAAAAGAAAGGGCTGTCTATAAACCCTAAAAAAAAACCATTGTGGTTCGCTTTACCAAGAAAAAGGCACTAGAGGACAAAGACCCTTATGGTAAATGGAGTTGAAATTCCTTTCTCTAAAGAGGCAAAATATCTGGGAGTCATCTTTGACCAGAGATTTTCATGGCATCAACAACTCAATAAAATCACACAAAGGAGATACCATTGGCAGAAGCATATGCCTTTGTGGAAAAATTGGGGACTGGAACCAAATTTCTCCCTAGGGCTATACAAAAACCCATGATAGCCTACGAATCAGTGGTTTGGTGGACAAAGACATTACCACTAAGGGCGGTCAAGATCCTCAGTACTGCTCAGAGACTGGCATGTCTGAGCATTATTGGGGCAATGAGCACAAATAGCCTACTCAAATTACAAGGAGCAATTAAAGCTTTGAGGGGAGCTTTAGCTAGACAGAACTCTGGGGATGCCTGCTGATCCCATGACCCTTAAATTCAGTTTTGACAAAAAATTTCTAATCAAAATACTTGTAGAGCAGATCCCAGTTACAGATAGCTCCAAAACCAGATATGGGTCAGGAGCTGGCATTTATGAAAATAAACCAAGGACTAGAATTCAACCTTGGACAATATGCTTGTCCGTAGACTCTGCCTTTCAAGCAGAAACTATGGCTATTGAATACTGTGCCAGGGAAAATAAAAGGCTGGGCATTGTTAATAGAAGAATAGCCATCTACTTCAGGGGCATTGAAGGCAACTGCCACATCGGCAATAAAGTACAGAGTCGTTTGGGACTGCATCACAGCCTTGTCAGACATTAGGGAAAATAACAAAATTACCCTTGTCTGGGTACCAGGGCACACAGAGCAGAGGAGCAATGAAGTGGCCGATAAATAGGTGAAGGAAAGTTCAATGAGGACACCTATTGGCAAATTACCAAATTGCTAAAAACACAGATACATCAGATAATGGATTAATAATGGTTAATGGGAATGTAGCCCAGAATAGAGGCATGCGAAAAAAATTATCAAAAGACCATTGCAGAAACTAACAGCAGAACTACTAAATCTAGGACGTGCTAGGACTAGAATAATAGTTGGACTACTAATTGGACACTGCAGACTCCGGAGGCATATATATAGACTCGAAGTGGCAGAAACAAGCCTGTGCAGATATTACCAAGAAAAAGAAGAAACAGCGGAACATGTTCTCTGTTGGTGCGAAGGCCTATGCAGGCTCCTGGGAGAAGAAAAGCCAGGACCTGAAGGATACACATGGGAGCCCTTGAAAAAGCTTTAGGGTCTGGTAAAAAGTATTAAGCTTTATTACAAGGAGATGTAGATAAAGAAAATGGAGATGCACAATAGATCAATACTGGACATGGTGCATAGACTGTAAAGATGCTGGCTCCTTTCTAATTTAATCTAGGAAAAAGCACCGTCAATAAGTTGTTTGTTTTCTTCAAAGGTGTAAATTTTGATTTGTAATATACAAAATGCTCTAGTCGTCTTTCAAATGTTGATGGATGGTGACCAATTTCAAACTTTTATCATAAATAACCGACACTCAACGATATGAAACATCATAGATTCTTAACATCTAATCTAATACAAACTTTTCATTGTATCTGATAAGTATGTTGAGCGTTGTTGAGTGAGTATTTTATTGGATCACATAACCGTTCTCACTAAGTGCAATGTAAATGACACATTTTTTTAAAGATTGAGAACTGGGAATGAAAATTGGGTCTTTCATAACAATCTTTAGAGAGGACAATACTGAGGAAAACACAACCCACTGTTAACAACTCCAAAAGCTGAAGAAGATGTCCATTTGATGGGATTGAAATGGTTTCTTTATTATGATCATCTATTATGATGAAACAAAATAGTCACTTCTAGTGTATACTGTTTTGTTTGAGTGCGTGTGTTTATTAGTGTGTGAAATCTAGCATCACCTCATTCCTCCAGCAATGTGTGTGTTTAGGCTCAATGGAAGAATATTTATAAAAGTACCCCATCGACCCTAATTTAAATTATTACTACTGTGTGGTAGGTAAATGAACATTGAGTACTCTATCGACTAATCAGAATAAGTGCAATGTACATAGGTATGAATGTATTTATTTGTGCGTATGTATTGTAGAAGTTAGTCTTAGGCAACATTGTATTTTTCATGCTTTGGAGCCTAACCCCACTGGTTGGGAAGCGATGATCTCTCATTTGGCATAAGGGGGCTACTAGCATCCCAGATGCATAACAGGGTTGTTGAACTCCCCTAATGTATAGACTCTAGGGTCAGCATATTGGGGAGTGACAATTCTTCAGAGTGAAAGTCCAAAATAAATGTTGATGTTGTATAGTATACACTGCACACAACTGTGGTGATTAAAGTTAGCAATTGACCAAAAACAACTGGCATTTGTCAACCACAAGAGAATTGTTTTCCTCCAGGATTACATTCGCCCCACCATCTTTGTAGACGCACCAGAAACTGTTGAAGCTTTGTGGATGTGCTACCCCACCCACCTTCACTTTTTTTCGCTTAACAAGAAACAAAATTTTCTCTTATTCTATAAAACTATATTAATAGGAAAAAATTTACTTCAATTGAGGAGCACAGAAAGCACATTGATCGCTCAAAAACATGCAAAATTCTGGAAAGAGGAAATTACAAAATTACATAGAAAATGGCATCAGTTAAATGATTCATACATTGTTGATTACATTTGTTTACAAGCACCTGTAATTTTCATTGAATAATCATCAAAAAATGCTACATGGTTATTTTACGACCAGATGTCTACATAATCAAGAGTCTGATTTAAAACCAACAAATGAATATTTGTGTATTCTTTAAATTTGCACTATCAGAAAATAAGAAATTAGAACAAAAGCTTTACAGTGATTATGTATCAAAACAGGCAAAATATTCTAAAACAAAGATTCATTACTCACTTATTTGAAGTATTTTCAGAATCCCCATTAGGTTGAGTTCCAGAAAGTAGAAATAAAGGTAAATTTAACCAAGCTGTTCCTAATTCAGATAAATCGCTAGCATCACTTGCACGAGAGGATTTCCTAGAGGAAGCTCGAGATCCTCTGTGAACATGTAAAAATGCTGATAATCTTCCTTGCCATCCACTAGGAGAGCTTGTCTGAGTAACTCCATCTTCCCCTTCTTGCATCGGCTCTTCTAACTTACTCCTAAATATATGTTAATTTGAGATTAGATCACAAGTTAGACTGAACGAGGCAATGCAAAATTGAACGTTAATCTGCTAGAGATTCAGACAATTTCGTTTGAAAACAAAATTTAGTCTTGATTTTTATTTTTTATTTTACCTTCTATATTCCCTGAATTTTCTTTGTATCACTCTAGCAGCTCGATCTTGGCGTTTCCACATCCGAGTCGATGAAATTATTTCAAGCTCTTTTCTAGTAGGAAATTGTTTCTTGAATTTCACATCCATTTGATCTTGCAACTTCAAATGATTCATTATGATTAATTTATGCCATTTATTTTACTTGCTGCCTTAATTAAAATAAAACTTACTTTTTTGAAATCTTCTGTTTCTTCGACATGGCCCAAAACATGTTTTACAAGGGCATGCAAAATATCAAGGCAGTGAATTTTATTTCCACGTGAAATTGGCAAATTGAAACTAACCAAAGCTACTATATTTGGCTTTGGTATTCCTAACGGAGGATCTAAACTAGCAATAAAGTCAGATAATTGCCCAAATCTAATAAACTGTGTGGCATGGGGATCAAATCTAGAAAAAAGAGAAACAAAGCAATGAACATTTAAAAAATAATGTGGTCATGTTAATAGAGTTAGCTTAAAAAATTATGAATAACTCTTATCCAAAGGATTGTTTCACAATGATACAACAAATTTTGATATTTCTTGACATAGATAACACCAATGTTATTGACCGGCAAATTTTTTAAATAGGATGAGTAGTGATATTTTGAAAATTAGTTTTTTAATCCTACGTAGTTTATGTAACATTTTAATTGTATTGTAAAATGGAAATACTATTAGCTCTATTAAGTTTATAAATTCATATTAATTCATTCAGTATAATATATATTTCAATAATAAAAATAATGTGGGAAGTTTACGGGCTGACAAACAGTTGAGGTCATTGTTTTTAATTCTTTTTCCATCTTTCACGCATATTTTTCAGCCTGCGGCCATTTGAGCATTTCATCTGTTACTGACTCTCTCCTTTTATATGAAAACTAAGCCGATATTCTAGAATGTTACCGTCTCATTTGTACCTCAGGTTGTCAACTAACAGAATAGATGTAAAACACACAATTCAAATGTACGCATCCACCACAAAGATAGACGTCTGGTCATATTCACTCCCCAAAAGGCCTAGAGCAAAAATAAGAGAGGATTGGGACAATGAGGGTAGAGACAGTCGAGTCTAGAAGTAAACAAGTTCATTCCGTGTAGATGAGAGACAAAAAAAGTGTAAGATCCTCAAAAGAATTTATAAAGTGTTGTATTCCCTAAAATAGAGTGCTGCGGTACACAGTGGATTGACTGTAAACAGTGAGTTCCCATCCACCCTTGTTCCAAACGGTCTGGCAAACGGTTTGCACTGACATTACTGTTTATTTAAATTTAAAAAGTTTTAATTGTTTGTTTAAAACTTAAAAAGGAAATTATTGATTTTAATTGTTATTTTCTTGTGTAATTAATAAATTGTTTTCAAACTTGAATTAAATTTTATTATAAAAAGGCACCTGATCGGTTGTATTCAGGTTCGATCAAGACCTCTGGGGCTGTTTTTCATAAAAAGGATTCAGAGTTGGGCCCATCTTGTTAAATCGAGAACAGACCATGACATAATATATAAACTTACTTTGACCAACGAATGTAAAACATTTCCAAATCATCTTCAACAATCCCTATTTCTTCTTCTTGGTGAGCTTGGTTAAAATTTTCAAGAATAATAGCTATGTACATATTTATTACAATCATATAACTGATTATAATAAAACTGGTAAAATAGGTGATTGCCAGCAGCGGATGACCACAATTACCATTTGGCTGGCTATTAAAAGTAAGATCACATTCTGGCGGCTGAATCATAAGTGATTCTAACACATCATTCCAGCCAGCAGATGTCATCAATCTGAAACAAATCATTAAGCAATTAATAAATATTATATAAAGTATTGCATTGAATACTTACCTAAACAACAGTTGCATACTTCTACCAAATGTTTCAAAATTCACCATATCATCTAATGCCTTTTGATGTTTGACGTGGCCAAAAACAGACATTCCAATAATTGCATATATAAATGTAATTAATGCTAGTAGCGCTCCTATATTAAAAAGTGCTGGAAGACTAACAACAAGAGCAAATAACAATTTTCTTATTCCCTTGGCAGCCTAAAAAACAAAATTGTAAATGATNGTTATAGATAATGAATACAACAGTAAAACATACCTTAATCAGTCTCAAAATTCTTCCTATACGGAATACTCTTACTACTCGCAATAATGTTGGAGATATTGGAAAATCAATCATAATATCTTCCATTAGTATTCCAAGGATACTTGCTAAAACTAGCAAAAAATCAAAAAGATTCCAAGGCACTGTGAAATAGTGATATCGTAGCCCTATTATTTTCACCATTGCTTCTGTAATAACATTGAAAATTTTGAAAAACAAAACAAAAATAACATTGAATTTGCTTATTGACACTTCACCCATATATTGAACATATCTGTCGCTTTAATTACACTTTTAAATAGTTTACATAAAAATGTACAATGAAATTACATTTGACGAGGAAAAGTGACAATAAATTCACATTTAAAATTAAATCTTACCTAAGCCAAATACTGTTGTGAAAAATGCATTGCTCACTTCTAGGACAAAAAATATTGCATGATGTTGATTGTAATGTTCAATGCCCATAGTTAGCATGTTTAAAAATATCAAACCAAAAATGGCTATTTCAAATCTAAAATAGAAAAGAGTAAATTGTAGTACAAATAATTTAAAACAACCAAAACTACAATGAAAAATACAAGATTTACTTTTGCAACAAATAATCCATTGGTGTAAAATATTCAAATAATTTTATTTATTTATTGTTTTCTTCCAAAAGTATTTCGACTACAAGGTTATATGAACCCAAGGAGTGCCAGTGTTTTTGAAAAAAAAAAAAAAAGTCCATTTGTAAGTATGTCAGGTTCGAATGCAGGGCCGCTGGATTTGAACCCCGGACCTTTACCTTACATTGATGAACACTGTGTCAGTGCCTAAACCCATGTTGTCAATGCCCCTAGTAATTTTAATTAAATTCTTTATCATCCTAGACCTAAAGATGGCGAGAAGCTAAAATGCATTTGATAGATGTATTCTTGACAAGGAAAAACTTATTCCCTTGATTATATTAATTTTTGATAAATTCCGACAATAGTAGTGAGAATTGAGTTATTTAGATAGGATAGATAATAAAGTTTATTGAACAACTTTTTTTATGAGGATATTTTAACTACGAGGTTATTTGACCCCTCAGGGTGCTGGTGTTTTTGAAAAAACCCATTTGTGAGTATTTAGTATAAAGTATAGTAATTGGAACGTAGGACAGACAACTTACAGTGATGATCTCCATGTCGATGCCAAACCATTGTGGTTGGCTTAACCAACTATCCCATGAAAAACTTTACAATGTTTCTTTAACTACCGTCTGTCGGAGGATTGCATGTTTAATAAGACACAAATACTATAACTCCCTTTGAAACTCATTTGGAACAGGACAACTGGCCCAAAAATGAATACATCTTTGTTTACCTTTAATTACGAACAGGCCATGTAGACACATGGGCACTTACTTTTGGGCCAAAGCCCACATGTGTCTGGCATGTAGAGAAAAGGTTCGATGTATCCCACTTAATTGACAGAATTGGCTCCTTTTCGAGAGCATGCGGGAACACCACCCGATATGAGAATAGTGTTGGTGCGTAGGAGCAAGTATTAGGTCCTCTGTTCCAATTTTTGAGGGAAAATGGGTGTTTTATTGTATATAGTACTGATAGAACTCGTTTTGTGTTCTCTTATGTGTTTATTGAGATTGAATGATATTATTGGAGTGAATGTGCAGTACAAATGGGCCGATGGACGAATATTGAGTACCCAATTAACTCGCAATTAGATTAGTTATGTAATATATGTAAATGGTGATGGGGGAATATCTAGCTTTTTGATAGCTTATATGCATTGTTGACTGACTCAACCTAGCTACTGACAGCACCTGGAGAGCATAACATCAACGGTAGAATGGATAAGACCGAGTTCTGACTCCACTCTGCCAAAAACTGTGAAACTTACTGTGAAAAGTCATAAGCTCAATTCAGTATATGTATATATATNAGATGGTGAGTTGGTGTCCGAGTGGATCAAAGTCACGATAGCTCAAGTGGTTAGAACAGTGGCGTACTAAGCAGAAAATCGTGGGTTCGAATCCCACTCATGACACTAACTTTTCATCTCAACCAAGACCTTACATAAAAAGAGTAATTAATTAAAATAAAAATATTTAAAAAAATTAAGAAAATTCTTAATAATATTAAATATGAACATACCTTCGGGAATTTGAAAGATCATAAAACATTGCCAAAAACTGGTTGATTGGTCTTTTTATAACTTTCTGAGGCTTTTTACGTCCTAGTTTTTTCATAGCTGTGTAATAGTGTTTTTGGCTTTCGGTTAGAAACATTTCCAATACTCCACCTTCATACTGGAAAATTGAGAATTGCCTGTCATTACATAATTACTATAATGTGTTTCTATTATTTTGTTTTATTGTTAAATTCTCCTATTACAAAGGTATAACAGGATCTACAATGTGTGGGAAAATCAAGTTTTTTCTTGGTCGAACTAAATCTCTTTAATTTCATTAATTAGTAAATAACTAATATGTGCGCACACACTCTCTCCCCTTTATCTTTTCATTTATACTCTCTCTCTCTCTCTCTTTCTCTTTTTTTATGCTATCTGTTTCTCTTTCTTCTTTTAGGCTCTCTCCCTCTTTCTCTCTCTCTCAGTCTTTAGGAATTTTTCTTTCAATATTTTTGCAATAAGTGAATGGGTGGGGCAGGTGTTGTAATGATGTTATAGAATCTTAGATGACTGCAACTTCTTTAGATTCTATCTCTCCCCTTCTTTCTCCTCTCTCTTATTTTTTCTCGATGCCTCTCTTTTTCTCATGCTCTCAGTCTCTCTCCCTTCTTTCATGCTCTCTCTTTTATGTTGTTCTTTCTCCCTCTCTGTCGTTTGCCCAAGTAAACAGTAATTAATTACTTCTTATAATTACTTATCTATACGTCAAAAATAAAAGGAAGAGAAAATGCATCCAACAAAAAGATTAGACAAATCAATAATTAAATGTTATTTGAATTTTTTCTTTGTTGCTTTGGAAGGGGTTTTTAAATAAAACTAGCTTTCTGATAATTCGGCGTCTTTTGCCATGTTCAAGAAACTATGTCCATTTTATTTCTGAAAATTTTAAAAAACCTTGAAATTAATCAAACATTCTTGAAACTGGCTCAAGATGCCAAGATGTCGGAAAATTACTTTTATTGAAAAACACTACAAAAAAGAAAAAAATCATATATAAAATGAAAAAGAAGGATACAAATAACAAAGAAAATAAAAATAAACACTATTTGACAAAAACTTGATGTATACAAATATTTTATCATTCGTCCATGACAGAAGTTATACAAAATAAATAGGTAAGAAAAAGTATGACTAGCAAATATTGCACCTAAGCTAAAATAAACTAGTTGTTTCTAGACTTAAGGCCTGATTACTGAAAATATGAGATAAAATTAAGGTCTGACAGGCTGTGAGATGTAAATTTGCAATAATGATTGAGAGAAAAAGAAGAAACTAAAATATTCTTGGAATGATACAATTCTTGGCATAATTCTACTAGTATGTCTATGTATAAATAGTATAAAATAAAATACCTTTTTTTTAAGCATGTTGAAGTTATCTATGATAACACCAATGAATAGATTCAAAGTGAAAAATGATCCACAAACAATAAAAATCACAAAATATAAATATGCGTAAAGATTTGCTTCATACATAGGTTGCTCATCAACTCCAGTCGCATCAACTGCATCTGCCATGACTTCCATCCACCCTTCAAATGTAGCCTATAACAGTTATATTTTTTGATGACAATACATCTAACTTTGATTAATTGGGTACTTAAAAATTTTATATTTATTAAATTTAGAGGAACATAGAAATACTGTGGATGATATAATAGGTATAAAATATAAAAATAAATAGGTTTTGTTATACGTCCTTATTCACAGATCAATACTTACAACTTGAAATAAGGCGAGATATCCATTTCCTACATTATCGAATGTTATTTTAGAGTTTTGCCAGGTGTAATTCTTATTGATGCAATCACTTTTGTTCTGGATAATCTAAAAATATATATAACAGTTATTTAAAAAAATTTAAAGATGGCTTATTGCTTCATAAAATAATTGTAGTTGCATAATCTGTGCAAGGTTAAGGTTAATTTTATCATAATTTAATTAAGTGGCATACTTAAGCAGTAAACCAGGTTTGGTTATTAATTTGAATCATCATGCAAACGACAAACAATCAAGAACATGAAGAGTAATTATTTTTCATTTAAATAATTAAAGAATGGTGAAATAAAGGTAGTAAGCTAAAAATGCAAGTAAAATGACAACAAATTGCACTGTAACATACTGTATATGATAGTCTTTCTCCTTCACTGTTTACACACTTGAAGAACTTTCCTCCAAAAAACTGAACGCCCATTATGGAAAAAATTAGCCAGAAAACAAGGCAGACTAATAAAACATTGAAAATAGAAGGTATTGCATACATCAAGGCATTTACTACAATCTAAAAAACAAAAAACAACATAAACTAACAACTGCAATACAATAAATTGTATATTTAGATATATTTTCAGATTTATTTTTATGGTTTAATTTAAATAATTTTTATCATGCCATTATTATGAAATCTAATTGGGATATGTTGTAGATTGTTGGTGTATTATTTATATAAGTTAGAAAAATATATTTTAAAAAATAAATAAAAACAGATTGACTTTTCTTCAATATGGCAGATAACATGAAAATTTGGATGCTGAGACGTTTGATTTCATCAAAATGGCACATGTTTTATGAGAATCTACCTCATATGACTTCTAGGTGACTGAGAAACCAAAATTTTGTAAAAGTACAATGTTTTTCTAGGTTTACATGATTTTGAAATTTTTGTAAATCGAAAACAAACATATTGTTCAAACTGGCAATAGGTCAGTTTTGATGTTACTCAGTTACTGTTGGGCTTTGTTCCATCTTTATTGAGGACTCTTAATAGGTGTACTGTTTCAGTAACATCAAAACCTGCGAGTGTAGATGGTCCCAGTGCCAGTTCCTGTGTTCACAGACTCGCAGACCAACACCCACCTTCAACTTTAAACATATTGTGATTCATTTTGTAAAATATGTTCGTTGTAGTTCCATGGCGCAATTTTACTAAGAGGAAAATGGTATTCCATAATATTTTCATCTACTCAGCATTGAATTTTAATATATTTTATTACTGTCTACTTGGACAGAAACTACTGAGTAGTCATACTAAGAAATGTTTAAAATATATAAGAAGTCCGGTAATAAGTTTAAAAGGTTTTTATTCATTAATTTTTTAAAATCAGTTTATGTAAGAGTAAGATAATTTGAAAAGATTTCTCTGTGTTGTCTGAGGGGTGTAGAACCTGAAATTAAGCCGTTACTTATCAATTTGTCTGCCTAGCGCAGGGTTTACTTTTTGTAAATGATGGTTCTACTCATAGATTTGGTGTTTACAACGATCCGGATTTCAATCATTAAATGCCCATCATCAGGTTGAAGGAGTTACAAACACGTCTCTAAAAAGAATAATTTTAAATCTTTTTAAAAGATAGTTTTTACTCACAGTTTGCACAAACTCTAAGAACTATATTTTAAAAAGATTAAACAACATGCTCACCCCAACTTTATAATTTCTAAGCATTCTTTAACTCTTGTTTTAATGCCGCTTTATGTCCTATTTATTTGATATCGCAATCATTACAATTAAGTTTGTAAACCCTGCTTTGACAAGTTGTCAACCTTGTCTTTAGGTTTTGAGAAGGATGTTTTTAAGTGAATGTGTGTCTCTAAAAGCTACTCTAAAACCTTCTCGTTTAAGAATTTTACCTATTTTTTTGATAGTTCCTCAATTATGGCAAGCAACGAAAAACTAATGATTCATTTTTGAGCTGAGTCTGACTTGCTTCCTTTAAAGTTAGGTTTTTTCTTCTTTTTACTAACAACTTATCAATAAATATTTCTTTTAGCTAAAGTTTTAATTGTTTGTAATTGTTTTTTAAATAATTTGCAGGTGTAAATGGCAGTCTATGTGCCAAATGAATCCAGCAGCTTTTTGGGTCCGTAGGTAAGAAGACTGCTGGTATCATAGGGTCTGTAGTTATGGGTTTTCTACTACTCTATTTCATTTAGGTTATTTATTATGGACAACCATCTTTATTTATTTCCAATGTTAAATTTATACTAGGGTGTAAAGAATTAATTAATTGGAGGAATTTTAGATCCTCTAGTGTTCTATATTTGACTTACATATTAATTACTAATCTAAAATTATTTTTCTTACAGTACGGATTAGGATAATATTTAGTTTTGTGTAAGTCCCATTTTTCATATGTTCAATTTTGAACGGCAATTAAAAACCAGATTCTCATTTCGGCGGTGGGTTCACTCTTACAATTCATGTTGAGAGACGTGTTTGTAACTCCTTCAACCTGATGATGTGTGTATAATGCTTGAAATCTATATCAATATAATCAACAAATCGTGAAATTATTTACAAAAAGTGAATCTACATACTCACTCCTCCTTCATCATTTCTAAAGCAGGGTTTTCTGTCTCAGACTCACTAAGGATGGTGACATGCTGAAACACATCTGACAGACCAACACAGTGATGATAGGCCGATCAAAATTATCAGTAATGACCAAATTTTAAATTTATTATAAGTCAACATACAAAAAAGCCTATTTATATTTTAGATTAAAAAACAATTGAGTTGTTTTTGACCAAAAGGTGAAATTACACAATATAAAATATAACTAAGTTATTTTAAAATGTTAAATATTATTTAATGATATCTTACTCTCATCCCTTGCCACCGAGAAATAGCTCTTAAAGGCCTAAGAGCTCTTAGTGTTCGAAGAGATCGTAAAACTTTTAAATTCTCATTTTCTTCTATCAAGAGGCTGAATACAGAAACCTAGAATGAAATTTAAAAACAACAATAATTTTAATGAGAATTTTAATTTGTAAAAGAATAATGGAAAAAATGAAAGTGTGACTCACAAATACTATGAGAAAGTCTAGTACTGTCCAGAAGCTAGTGAAGTATTTATAAAATCCCAAAGCAATCCATTTTAGAATCATTTCCAAACTGAACAATGCACAAAATGCGAGATTTGTCCAATACAAAACATTTTTAAGAAATAAATTTTCATCTAGATATATGTCTTCAAAACACAGGGTTATACTGGAGGCAAATATTAGAACAAGAATTATCCATTCGAATACTGGAGTATCAACAACAGAAAGGACACTGCATCTCACATGAAACCACCATTGTCCACATTCAGTTTTAAGACATTCGTCGCAAAGGCCAACCCTTAAACAAATGTAAATTAAAATATCATTTTTTAATTAGCTGAATATTTTTTATGTACATGATTATATTCGCACACATGAAATATGCTGTACTAACTTTTCAATTCAAGTGAAATGTATTCTATTATATTACTAATTATTATTACAAATGGAATTTCATATTATGCCTTTATTATCAGAGAAAATTTTTATGATTTCATTAAAATAAGTTTAAAAAAATCTAAAAATAGTCCATTATATTTGTTTAGCATAAATCAAATCTAGCTTCTTGAAAAAAAGTTTAAATAATTCTCCAAGTTTACCTATTATATATTGATTGTGGAAAACAATCATGTGGTAATTTGTCAGGTTTTTTCCTTCCGAATCCTGGGAACGATCCAAGTCCATCAATGAATCTTCCTTCTTCGTCCCTTTTTCCACCAACCGTAAGTTCATCTACGTAGGAAACGACAGTTAACCAGGCACCTTTGCCATCCTTTCTCTTTTTATCAGGAGCTTCTTTCTCTTCAGCAGCTATAAGCACAATTCAAAATGCTGCGGCTATTAGTTAAAAGGCCAATCTAAAAACTTAAAAACAGCAATCTGGAATTCTTTTTATTGGAATCATGCTAATCCATTGACAAAAAATAATAGACAAACTAAAACAAAAAAAAAAAAAAAAAAAAAAAATGGCAATGTAGTATACATTGTTTGAAGATTTAATAATTTTCTAAGGCTAACAACTTATTGCTGTTATTAAAAACAAGATAAATGTAATCTATTTCAGTTAAAAATAGTCATAAAGCAGACAAGTAAAGTTTATACCAAAGCATTTTATAACCTTAGTTTCTATCAAATAGTAATGTGAATTTTAATTAATTTTACTTTTATCTAAGCACAGCGGGATCTGAACCCATGACCTTCGGCTTAATATGCTGCTGTTCTAACCACTTGAACTTCATCAGCAGTCAGGACAAATCAAGTGGTAAGAACAGCGATGTATTGAGCCGAAGGTCATGGGTTTGGATCCTGTTTGTGACACTAGCTTTTTCATCTCAACCAAGACCTTAGATTAATTAAAATCCATTACAGTTTGTGGTCTGATTGACCAATTAACTTTTTTCAATTAATTAATCTTTATGAAAGGTATTGGTTGAGATTAAAAAGTCAATGTCACGAGTGGGATTCGAACTCATGATCTTTGGCTAAATACTCTGCTGCTCTACCTACCACTTGAGCTCGTGACTTCGATCCGCTCGAACACTAACTCGGACCACAAACTGTAATGGATTTAATAATTAAACTGAAGTATATTTTCACAAAATGGCTCTCCATGGCCATTTCATTTGTCGCCGTGAATCAAATGGATTACACAAAATTTGAAAAATGGCAAAAAAGGAGGGAAAATTCGAGAGATGAGGTTGAGATGGGAAGTTGGTGTTCGAGCGGATCGAAGTCACGATAGCTCAAATGGAAGAGTAGCGGCGTATTTAGCCGAAGATCGTGCTTTTGAATCCCGCTGCTCATGACACTGACTTTTTTTATCTCAACTAATATCTTTCGTAAAGATTAATTAATTAAAAAAATCAATTAAAATAATGAATACGGTCAACTATGACTACTAAATACATATATGCATTAATGTAGTAATTTGAATAAATAAATTTAAAAAAATATTTACAAAAATTTAATTATTAAATCTTCAAAATGCACTAAAACTACAAAATGAAAATAACTTAAGTTTGTGACTTAAAACATAATTTACTTCAGATGTAACTGGAATTTTAATAGTGGATGAACAGGAAGTAATGTTTTTATTTTCATTTTGAACAAATCAACATCTTTTTAAGTATATGGCTTTTTTTTTAAATAATTTAGATTTTTTGGTTGTGGACTTAATATATATCTGGTTTATTCTGGCAACAGCAATTTATAATTCATGCTTTTAACCTAACCTAAGAAGGGTGGATTACTGTCATGGGATCATTGATTTTAATGAAAAATTTTCCAGTTATACTAGGTCAAAAAATATTAGACATGTATCTGAGCATTCTAGCCAATGGCCCTTAGAAGCAGAGAGAAAAAACAATATTTTAGTTAATTTAAGTATTTTTTAAAAATGGTCTTCTGCCTTTGTTTTGAATGTATTTCAAGGTTATCATATACTGATAGATTTATATTTTTACCTAGGATAAGAAAATAATATGCAGTATTGTATTAAATGAGATTAGATGTATAAAAAGTTTTTATTTTTTTACTTTTTGTTATGGATCTGTTAGGTATGTGATTTATGAGGTATGTGAATGAATGGATTAATTAATTATCCTGCATTTAACATGGCACTGAATGCTGAAAGTATTTGTCGTTCAAAATAAATGGTCTAACAACAATAAAGTAATATATAAAAAGTTACAAAAATGAAAAGATGCTTCCAGTATGTAAATAAAAAAAATTGTTTAAAAAAATGTTTTTAATTCGTCTTAAGGACCCTCCAAAATCCTTGAATATGAATGTTTATAGCAAACAAAAAATCGTAAGTTTTGGACTGGATCGGCAAAGGGTCCTCTGATGTCTGGTATTCCATTTAAAAATTCATCTCTTCTGGATTTCCAAATTTAATATAATTACAAATTGATTATTTCTCATTTCAATCCATGTCAACACTCATTGGTTTATAAGTTATTATAAGCGAGAAAAATTAGAATCAAATTAATAAAAACTCCTCAAATATTTTATTATATATAATTAGATGTTATTTATTTATAGAGGCTAGGTTTGTGCCTTTATGTGCAGATTACAGGGTTTTAAGCCACTGTAAAGTTTCCTATAGATCAGTGGATTCCTTTTAAAATTATCATAATTTTTGTGATTTTGAAAAAAATTGCAGATATTTGAAAGGTGAAATATTTTTTTATATATTTGGGAAATAAAAAAAAAATTTTCTCTCTCATTTCCTCTTTCTACCAATTGCGTCTGATTTTCAATCGAAAATCATAAGAACACCAATAATTTTAAAATGACCGCACTAATGATAAGAAAATTTAAAGGATTTTAAAGTCCTATAAACTACACGCAATAGCATAAATTTGGCTTTGTAAATACATTGGAACTGGAGATATAAAATATTTGAGGAGTTTTTGTTTATTTCATCTCATTTTTCTCTCCTATAATGGTATAAAATCTACACAATTTTTATCATAGGCTGAATGTAGGACAATCCAGCTTTCCAATGGTAGCAATATTATTGAATTTGAATAAAATCCAGATGTATTATGAATTTTTAAGTGAAAATAGGGCATCAGTGAGGGGAAAAAATTGCTCCCGGCAAGTCCACCCAAAAATGGCTTTTTGTATTACTATGAAAATTTGTGTCTAACAGTTTTATTTAAAGGGTGTTTGAACCAAATCGATTTTTTTTAACAAAAATACTTTTTAGCCTTTGGGTTTTGTAACTTTTTATATATCTGATCTCATTTAATGTAATGTTATATATTATTTTGTTATCCTGTGTAAAAAAACAATAAACTTATATTAATAACCTTGAAATACATTCACAACAAAGACAGAAACTCATATAAAAAAAAAATCATTTCTCATCTCCTAGGGACCATTGGCAAATACACTAGGACATGAGGACATAAATCTAACATCTTTTGACTTAGAATCATCAATAACAATTTCATTAAAATTAGTAATAGCATCCTTGTAAGTTGAAATAATAGTTTTGCTATTTTCTCTAAATAAAATAAATAAATAAAATCTAATTAGTACATTTTCTGTATAAAATGTTCAATATTGTACTAAATTAGGTTCTCAAGGTACCCTTTAACCCCACAACAAACTAAAACTACTTCCTATATGCTCACAGCGTCCACTATATAGTATTTATCCCTAGTCTGTTATTCTGTGTTTACACTTCAATCTCAGTGTGATAACTTCTAGAGGTTCCAGTAAAAATCAAACGACAGATAAAACGAAATAGGCTTGTATGTTTGCGTTGTGAAAAGCTGAATTTGTGTATATGAAATATTCAGACTCAACCATTTAATAAATTGCACATTGATAAGTTAATTATATTAGCAATAAACTAATGAATGCCAGCCTATCGAATAATGTCGATCGCTATTGTGCCAATAAAGACTATATATATATATATATATATATATATATATATAAAGTTTAAACGCTACTGTCATAATTCATACTATGTACATTATTACTAAAATGCAAAATAAAAACTATTTTTTGTGAAAGTAATAATCAAGCAAAATAGATAATAAATTAAGAAAAAGTTTGTTATACTACTTAAACAATAATAAAAAAGTGCATTTACTCATCAATAGTTCTTGGTTCATATTACAAGTAATTAATGTTGTTATTTTAAAACAATGATTTTGGCAAATTATAAATATTTGCCTTAAATGATCAACTACCAAGTTACCAGAAAAGTTTGCGCAGTTTTTCATTTGTTATTTACATAGGTATTTACATCATGTAATACCAAGAGGTTAAAATCTCAGTTCATAAAAATTGTCTTGAATGATTTACTGTAAATTATAACATATTTTCTTTCCCATGGGTTCAAAACTCATAATTTGTGAGTGATGATTGTATGAATTTATTGCTTGGTACTAGGGTGGCAGGGGCAGCTCATAAAATTTGCATGGAATTTGGTGATGAAACAATGAGTGAGTGCACTGCCCAAAAGTTCTCGGGCTTCAAAGCTTCTGTTTTGAATGACAACAAATTGAGGAAAGCTATCGAAGTTGATTCGAATCAAACATGTCAGCAGTTTGCCAGCATTCATCATAAATGATGAAACCATTTGCTCTATCTTACGACTTGGGAAGACGTGAAAGCTGAGCAAATGGGTCCTTCATAAATTGACAGATAGTAACAAGCTTTAACTTTAAACATTTGCCATCCATTGATTTGACAGCTTTTTGACCATATTGTCACTTGAAAAATGGATCCTGTTCACTAACACAGGAGGTCATACCTTGGTTGTTGCCAAATGACCAATTGAAGCGAAAACTGAATATTCACCAACAAAAAGTGATGCTTTGTGTTTTGTGGAGTACGGCAGACATTGGGCGCTACTAACTCTTGCTACATGGCCATCACCACAGAAATCTACTCAAGCAAACTGAGTATCTCTTGCCTTAGAAATAACCTGCTCTCATGAAAAGAAGACTATTTCTATATTTCTAAATTAATTTTAATTAATTTAAACTTGCACTAACTTTTCTGGTTACCTGGTACAATTATATTTCTTACATAAGATTTTAATTAATTTTATATAGTTCATTAAACAATGACGTAAAGTCAAGCAATATAAAATGTTTGCGACTTTTAAAATCCTTGACTAAAATATGAAGGTCCTTTTATATTCCATTGATTTCAACTGGGTAAACATCTATAAAAAGTTATATATGGGATGTAAAGGTAATTAAATTTGAAATGCAATCAATTATACTTTAATAAATNAAATCCACAACATAATAAAAATTATAATTTAAAAAAATATTAGATATTTCATCTAAAAGACAGTTATATAATGAAAGAGTGGCAAAGACTGCAGTGTTCGATTATTTAAAATAATGAAGAAAAAAGAACTTTAGTTTAGAGAAAACATTTTGAATCTCGTAAAAAAAATAATTATAATAAAGACAAAAATTAGTTGAGAAAAAAAATATATTTTACAATTTTTTAAGCTTATGGTTTATGCAAACTTTTAAACGGCCAACAAATATAAAGTGCAATATTAAAAAAAAGTTAAATACAAGTAAGAAAGTGTAAATTATCATAAAATTATCAATTGAATAGTGCAATTTTTATGTGAAAATAAAGCTAACTAATAACTAAAATTGAATTTATAAGCTTCTAATGACAATTTCTGCAATACATTAATGCCCTTAAACTTGTATTGTTACTGCAGTCAAAATGAATTAAAAAAAGCCACAACCAGATTCCTGAAAGCAAAGCTGACTGAAGAGAAAGTTGATAGTTTTTACCTTTTAGTAATATTCAAATTTGGACTTATTGGGATGAATGTCAATAAGGGGCTAGAATGACTTATTTTAAGATAACGTACCTTGAAAACTTTCTTTCCTCGTTGCTAGAGCATATGAATGCCTGTGGATTAAGTTGGCTGCTGCGAAAGACGGCCGTCTCAATGGTTCTGTATAGTAATCTTTAACTGATGTCCCAGAGAGCCTTCTTTCGCCTTCAAATATTGGAGATTCTTCATCAACAGGTGGCAATGAAACTCCCGGCCCGATAAGTGTGGGAGCAAATCTCATGGCTTCTTCCATTATTCGCATAAACAAAGCATCTTCACGTTCTCCGAAGCTTAAGGTTGGTTCTAAGGAGGCTGTTTCTGTGCATTCATTACTCAAATCTTGCTCAAGTTTCTGCACCTCTAAAATTTCATATGCTCTCTTTTTCGGCTCAGAGAGCGATGTGCTTTCATCATATGAACAATTAACAAAAGAATCATTTTTCAACAAGGTCCCGCTTTCCGACTCAACAATAATGCGAAATGGGTCTGGTTGGTTAGGAACCAAATCATCAGCTATATCATCCCTAATACTATCTCTGATACTATCTAGTTGAATATCTTCTTGCTCATCTATAGATATGTCTTCTGCTGTTATTACTTGAAAACTTTTTGACTGGTATTCTGAAGAGCAATCCTTTTCTACCACTTCCTTTTCATTCGAGACAATATCATTTTCTTCTTGCATAGATTCACGGATGTTCGCTTTCAATTCTGTTTTACTACTATCTGAGGAGGATCCATTTGAAAATTGCCTATGTGTAGAAGATCCATTTGACAGTCTTCCTTGTGTAGCTGAACTGTTGGAATACTTCCTTTCGTTAATTACAGTTTCTTCACAATTTAACGGATTTAATTCATTAGTTCTAAAAGAAATATACAAATTTAATTTACTATCACAAACAAAGATAATGAATTGTGCAATAAAAAAGAGATTGTTTTTTTAGACTTGACCAATTAAGCATTCTTTAAATAACCTAAGAGTGTTCGTTATATGTTTTCTCTCATAATTTTTTAAAAATATAGTTAAGTGAAATCTAATGTAAATATTTAATAATAGTAAGAGTGTGTTTCTTAATGACCTGTTATTTCATAATTAGTTGAATTGGTGAGGAGAGGCCAAGTGACCATTCCTCACAAATTCAATAAAATAGTAAGAATAAAAAATGAGGGGTATCGGTGGCTGCAACAATTTAGGCATTGACGCATCCAGCAGCCCTGCATTTGAACTCAACAAACTTATGAGTTTTTTTTTAAACACTAGCACCCCGAGTATAAAATAAAAAAGAAAGAAAATTGTAACATTATTAAACAAATTAATGCTTTTATCCTTTTCAGTTCCATTCTGATATAAATTAATTTTAAACAAAAGGATATTGTAAAAAATAAAATGTGTTGAGATAGAAAGGTAGATGTCTCGGGGATCCAAGTCACGGTGGCTCAGATGGTTAGATGGTGAATTTGAATCCCATTCGTGACACTGACGTTTTTAAATCTCAAATCTTGTGTATAAAATTAATATATATCAGAATGGAATTGAAACTGATAAAAAGCTCTGTACTAGGTCTACAATTGCCTCAGTGAATTGTAAAGGAGAAGAAGAATTCAGGACATCAGATACAATGATATGGTATACAGATGGCGCTCCAAAACACATGGAAGAACCAGATCAAGAGTGTACAAGCCCAAAATAAGAACATCAAACGCATTAGGGAAGGACACCTCGGTCTTTCAAGCTGAAATATATGCAATGATTGTGCCTTGGAAAATCTTAAAAGTGGTTACACTGACAAAAAAATCCTTATAAAATCAGATAGCCAAGCAGCTATTAAAGCATTAGCATGTAAAAAAATCACATCAAAACTGTTCAGTAATGCATCCAAAATCTCTAGAACCTGGGGAAACAGAACAATTTAATGATATCTTGTAGACTGTATGTGGGCCCTGAACCTATTCTTGTGAAAACAACAACAAACAGAATCCTCCATCACAGAATGGATCCAAAAAAGACAAAAGGAGACGTGGATAAATTCTAGGGACATTACACGCAGTCAACTTATGCTCAAACAACCCTCGCCAAGACTGGCGAACTCACTGTTACATTTAAAGAGGAGGGCTAAACTAGGAGAATTAATAGAACTACCGGTCATCTGAGAAAACATCTACATAACCCAGGTATATTCATTAAAGACCCCATTTGTAGGTTATGCAAATGGGATATAAAGAAAACCCAGGGAAAGGAATTGTACCAATGACAGTTAATGGACCTAGTAATCCTTAGAAAGAAGGATCAAATCAACAGACTGAACTAAGAAACTGGGAAAGCACAATAAGTCAGAAGACTGCAGAGCTTGGAGACCACAAACACCCACTTCCTCGTCTCCTTTCACTCACCATGTCTACAATTGGCCTGATAGTTGATTCCCATCTAATTAACAAGGTTGGACATTCATATGATATCGCAATGTAGATTGGATAGTAAAAGGGAATTCTACAAAAATCTATGTGTTGAGATAGAAAGGTCAGTTTTGAATATCGTGAGTTTGAATCCAATCTGTGACTGACTTTTTTTTTATAAATCTCATTTTTAAAATTAATTATTAATAAAGAATAAGCTGTGAGAGAAAAGCTCTAAAAATAGCCCAGCAACCACTCATGGTTTAATGTAGATAGATTTAGTGTAATAAATACAGTAATTTCTAGCGAATTTTTTAACTGTCAATAATTAATTGCAAAGGATAATAAAAATGTGATCAGTAACCATGTAATGAACAGACTTTTGTCAAGAGTTTAGACTTTGTTCTTAACTTTGTATTATATAAAATAGTGAGCATTGGTTTTGAATCAACCAAATATTATTTTATAATTTTATACATACCCATCTTGCGATGAAAATACAGTTTCTTGGGATATTAATTCCTTTTGTTTTTTAATCATATCTTTAACCATTTCTTGCAATTTTAAACTTTGCTCTTCTCCTTCTGTTGCATCCCTTTTTCGATGTTTTTTGATAATTGAACGAATTCTTTCAAAGCTTCTGGCCAATTTCGAATCTTCACCAACTTCCTATAATTAGACATTTAAATTTAAAGTTTAGTTATTATATTTGGTTTTTGACAATTATTTTAAACCAATGCTATTACTACCATTGCTTACTCTTTTTAAGAGATATGATGAAATGAAATTACTAACAGTGGGTGTTATTTACAGTTTATATTTAATTTACAGCTCACAGTTTTAGACATTTTTAGACTGACAAGAGCTAATTGTGTAATAAAATTTGATTTCCCTTTTTCTCATAGATAGCATAATAAACACTATATCATATTATATATTCTATTAACAAACTAATAAATTCAATTAATGTTTTTAAATAAAAAAGCAAGATCTCTGGTAGGAAATTTGTGCTCTTTTAGTGCACCCAGCGCTTAATTGTTTTTTTCTTTAGCATAGTTTTTTTTATTATCTTTATGAAACGTTTCTACTTCTGATATGAAATATAAAATATTTTACCAACCAAAAAGGCGACAAATCTACGACAGATTTTTTTTTGAAATCAGATTAGAATAGACTAATTAACTACATAAAGTTATCAGAGTCGTGTGAATAATTATAAATATTAAATATATTTATTTACTAATTAAATTATTTATAAATATATTTATATATAGGTATAAATATTAAGAATGTTTGCTTGAATAATAAAAATTTAAAATTTATCCAATCTTAACAAATAGCAATCATGATGCTTATTACTTTAACAGTTATAGTTTCTCATTACTTTTTTTAGTTGGCCAAGTTTTCTAGCAAATTTAATGTGTTTCTGTTTCAGGACAGAAAATAAACATAAATTAATTTATAAACAATATAATTTTAAAATGAATATTTACATATTTTATAAACAATTGTTTTGTCATAAAGGGAAATATTATACCGAATAATTTAAAACACATAAATATTTATATCTAATTCCTACAAAAACATTTAAACAGTTTTTTTATTTTATTATTTTTTTTTAAACAATGATATTTTAAGAAAGGAATAAAGCATATAATTTACAACAAGGATTATAAAAGATAATTGTAATAATTTATTTGTTTGTGAAAAAATTAATTATTTTTAATTGATTTTGATAAGGTTTGTTAAGTGCAATCGCTCATCATCACTATAACAGCTCTATAATTCTCCAACTATTATGTAATTCTATTTGAATAAATGCAGCATGCATACAAAATAACTTGCTATCAACAATCATATCGTGCAACTAATAACTGATAATTAAAGCTAATATTTCAGTAAAGCTTATTTTAAGGATTCATTCACAATTAAAAATTAAAATATTTGAAACCATGGTTTTTGTGAGTAAAAATCAAAAATTTTTTGTGAAGTACTTACCAGCAAGAAATGTTGTGATATAAAAATGCCATTAGATTTCTACAGTACCAAGTACTAATTGAACTTTTATTTTTATATACAGTTGTACACTACCCAAATTATTACATTTAAAACAGACCCTGTTTGCGGCATTCTCTTCAGTGCCTTTCCCACTCCTTCGGTCATTTTATTCTTAACTGCATTCTCAATATACTTCTTTATATAACTGACAGTGAATCACATTTTCTTACAATCATGACTATTAATGGAAAACAAGGAGTGTACATTTAAAATTTATGTGTATACATTGCACATGTATTATGAATGCTAGTGAATTCCAATAAAAATAAATAAAAAATAAAATAATTCTTACTGTGCTGTTTGTCCTTTATGGAGAGTAACAATTAAATGTTATTAACATAAGTAATTAGAGCGTGGAGTTTTATGCAATTGAAGTTTTTGCTAACACCCATGACTGTGGTGATCAGATATTTATTTATCTGAATCATACATCTGTGATACAGTGGTTCAAATTATATTCTGCACATTTTAGCATATTTTTATTACTTAGAGAAATAAAAATAAACTAGGCAATTAAGAATATGAAAGGAAAGCAACAGCCTAAAATTTGATTCACATTTGTTAACGTTATAGGAATAAAGACATCAACAAACCGACCCAATAGAATTCTCTAGAAATAATTGGCATCTTACTTCAGGCTGCCATTTTCAAACTTCTGGGTGCAGCTTTTTTGTCTTTCCTTAAATTTTTTCTCAAGCAGTACGGTTGCAGAAGGAAACAGGTCTCTTAAAAATACAGTTCAGTCCTCCTTCATATTTTCAACCTAGTAAACCTAATGCAATAGCAGGTTGGATTTTTCTTTTTCAAAAAAATACCGGATTGATTGAATTGAGAAAACTTAATGAAATCTTAAATAGAAACTTTAAACAGGAGTTGCGCAATAGAAGAGGTTATATCAACTCCCAGAGTGTCAGTGTTTTGGAAAAAAAAGACGTTTGTACATACTTATGTCGGGTTTGAAGCTGGATTTGAACACAGGACCTTTACCTTCCACTGATGAGCACCATGTCAACACCTAAACCATTGCAGCCACCGACCCCTTTATTAAATTGTTATACAGGGAATTAATGATCCAGTTAATTTCAGTTCATACAAGTATGCATTCATCACTTCTATTGACGTTGAAAAGTATTATTCAAGGTACAAATATTTCTTGAGCAATGAACACTGCAGTTTTACAGAATCTAACTTTGAAATGTATATCATTGTCAATTTTAATTCACATAATGAACGTAATTCAGCTTAGTTATTTATTTTGTATAATATTTTAAACTATAGGATTTTTGTGTGACTGATATATTTCTGTTCTATTTCCTTTCAAAATGAGTAAGTACTGAACCAAAAAAAGTCTTGATTAAAAGAAAAAGTTAATTATTAGTCTGGTGATATATCTGACATTCATCATGCATATTTTAATATTTTTAGAGCAAATTATATTTGAATGTTTTTTTAGTGCATATAAATCTTGGCTATAATAATAATGAATAATATATTATACAGTTAAGCAATATTTCCATCTACATTTTAAGGATAGTTCCCTATTATTTCATTATAAATAATATCAGCATTTAATATTATAATTCTGTATTAAAAAATCTGGGATAAGGCCATTTTAAAAGAATAGAAAACACTCAGTTCCTTCGTGAACTAGCAGGACACAACTGTAGTTTCAAAGTCCTGGTGAAGGGTATATATTCCTCAAAAGCTTAACGAAGGAAAATGAGTGTTTTCTTTTCTTTCACGTTGACCTTTCTGTTATTTTTTTATATCACAAAATGACGTGAACTTATACATGTTCACACCTCAGTAACATTTCGAGAATCTAAAAATGAATTAATTGTAGAATAATTTGTTTGTAAAGGAGTGTAATGCAGTGTTAAATTTGGTGTATCATGTTTGTAGACATGCACCCTATCCAAGAGGTAGCTCCACATTGAGTTTTTGCATTTATGAAGATCGAAACACTATCAACATTAACAATTTTTTTTTACAGTGCATTGTAAACCAAACATTTAAGGAAAAACATGCTCATGGACATGATATATTGACATTATTACTATATGTAACTGACCTGCACATTTTTATAAACTAAAATTAGTAAAGAGAATTGTAATATTGAAATTTTCAATTAATTTGAAATGCACTATAAATAAAATATTCCCAATGATTTTCCTACAGGTTATATGCCTGCTTTTGATTATTTTCATTTTGTCAAAATTTCTAGTGTTTTCAAATATTTTAAACAATTAATATAAACATTGTCCATAGCAGATTTTGCAATAATGTGAACAGTGCACGTGAAAATATTCAGACTGAAGAATACCTCAGTTACTCTGATGACTGCTGTGCGGCATGTATTTCTAGGAGGTTTAGAGGATGTTTTTTTAGAACGTTTACAACGTTGGCAAAATGATGATGCAACTTTGACATGGTGTGACCATAGGGCCTTCATTTCTGCTACCTCTTCATCTTCTGCTAGGAGATCCAGCTAAAGGATGGTGTTACTTATTGTCAAAAGTTTGAGCAAATCTTAAAGTAATACCGTCTGTTTGCTATGTTTTTAATTTTATTATTATTATTTTTTTGTGTGAAGAATGCCACCTTTTCTTTTCTTTCTATGTAATGTAGCTACCATTACTATCTAATGTTAAGTGAATTGTGCATTTTGCAAATTAGTATGAAATTCTATAAAAAAATAAATGTTCATTTACTGCAATTTTGATTAATGTTCATGTTATGAACATTCAAATTACTCTATATCTAGCATCCTAATACCTCTCAAACATTTCTAAATGTTTATAAAAGAGTCAAACCCTCATGCTTAAATTTAGTAATAAAATAAGAATTATTATTTAAACTAACAATTATTGAATGTATCTAAAAAGTAATGCCATGGAATTAAGATAAAGGCAGAATGAAGAATTATTCATGCTAACCATTCATGTTAACTGAAAAAAGTGTTAAATGTAACATATTCATGCATTTCAAAAACTAACTACGGTCACGTCCTCCTTTTTCCTTCATTCTACACAATTTTTTTTCTAACGTAAAATATGATATAATGTTACAAGAAACTAAACTTCTAGAAATCATCCAATGCGTTTTATTTACTATTATCATAATATTCTAGTGTATTTATTAAAATTAAATAAAATCATTATTACAGCTATGAAATAATACCTCTTTTTTGTTCTTCAATTCTTCTGAATTAAAGCTGTTTAGCAGCAAAGCCAAAAATAAGTTCAAAACCATGAAATTCCCCATTACCAGGGCTGGAAGGAAAATAGCAAAACAAGCACCAGCTCCCTAGAAACAAACATTGTAAAAAGAAACATCAACAAATTGTTTTTTGTAATATTTTATGTTAAATCATGTTTAGAAAAAACCTTTGCACAAACTAATGCTTGGAAGTGTTCAAAAGGTTGTTATAAAATCCATTCACAGAGAAGCAATTATGTAAAGGAAAGCCTCAATAAATGTATAAAATTAAGTAAAAATTATTAATGCGTGTTTAAATTTTAGCGATGATGTGAATGTGGTAGATAATTCTACCAAGATAATTCTACAAATAAGTAAATTTCATTTGTAAATTTTTTTAAAGCTTCATTCTGGGACTTAAAGTTTCCTTCATATAATCTCTTAGTTGAAATACCCTCGTAAAAAAAGTTACCTTCAATAATTTATTCTGAATACAAAACACAAAGATTCATGTCTGATAAGGTTATACAAAAATATATACATAAAATATAAAAAAACACTCTACAGTGGAAATAATACTAAAAAGCATCTAACATTAAAAAATGCATTGAAAAATATAATTAAAAGGAAGTGACAGTATCAATGGTAAAGCAGGAAAGCTCTCACATATCAAGAGCACTATCGATAAATGGCCTCTTGAAGGATCTGACTCTGATCTGATTAAGAATAGTCCATGTGAGGTTGACACATGGATACTTTTTGGCCAAAGCCTGCATATATGCTCAACATGTACAGAAAGGTTGCTCAATATGTCTCAGCACATTCATTGAAGCCTGGTTTTTTTAATTTTACCCCTCCTGGACAGCAAAAATTTCCTATTCCTAGAGACATATGTCACGACCTGACAGGTGGAGGATTGGACCAGTATGGCCTTCATGACCTCACTAGCACTGAATGTGTTAATTAATGGGTGCCATTCCTTGGTTCCATATAGAGAATGTGTAAGAATACCACATGATTTGAGAATTGTGCTTGAGCATGACAGTCTGGCTCCCTCTTTTGATTCTTAGAGGAAACAGGGTTGTTTTATTGTATAAAATACTTGATAGATATCTCATGTGTTTCTTTGTATAAGTTGAGTCTGAATGCATTTATTAGCTTGATTGTGTAGTGAGATAAGATCTATGGTGGAATATTGACCATCGACCCTCAATTAGATTAGTTATATAACATGTGTAGAGGGTGATGGGAGGAGTATCCAGTAATCTACTGCCCTTGTAATGGTTTGTACATAGGAAGAATGTATCTAAGATTATTTGGAGGTGGTGAGACGTGGTCTGGTATGATGTAGGTTTTAGAAAAACATTTTCTTTATCGTGCCAACGTTTCGATCTTTATTAAGATCATCTTCAGGGCTCAAAGTGTTTGTTTTCCAAGTAGATGTGTCATTCTTGTCTGTCGTGTTGAGAGTGCCTGTATCTAAGAGTGAATGAGAGTGTGAAGGGTTTGGATCTGGAGACTGATTGTGTTGGAGGCTGAAATGACCTAGCTGTTGATAGCCCCTGGGGTGGGTGGTTCTCAAAACCTGTTGGTAATTTATTCTAAATTACAAAAGATGGAATTGCCGGCAGACTGGAAGAAGTCACAGTCTCAGCTCATGCACATGTGTGTATGTCTGTACATCCATGTGCAGAGTGCAACTTATACCGGGTGATTATTTATAACCTACCTCCCCTTTTATTTATTTTGTTCGACAATAATATATAAAAAAGGACTGGTCTTTACATAATTTTTTACATAGAATCTGAAGTCAATTTTTTTTTTCAATGTATGGTATATCCCTGGGGCTCAGCAACTTTTTTTTGTTAATGGGAAGATATCATTTTGAATACGGAATTCAATTCTATGACTTTTTAAAGAAGATTTTACTTTAGGCAGTTTTCTTGTAGAATTTGTCATTTAAGAGTTATTAACATTTAAAAAGTTCAAATTTTATTTGTCTCAATCGTCATTCATTTACCTCCTAGTAACTTCAATTTAATTACTAATTAGTAATTCAATTACCTCCTAGTAACTTTATTATGTTAATCCTAGTAAATTAAATGTTCAAAATGGGCATCACCAATTTCCATATGAAGCACACATACTATGGAATTCATTTCACACTTCACGGAAAGTATCTGGTGTTTTCTACAACATTCTTTGATCCTTTCCTTTAAATCTTCCAGATTGTTTGAAGTACAACTTTTTTAATCTGCCCCCACAAAAAATCTAAGGATCTTAGATCTGGAAATCTCGCTGACCACTCGATGAAACCTCTTCTTCGATCCATCCTGAAGGGAAACATACATCTAAAAAGTCTCTCACATTTCTTGTGTAGTGAGGTAGCGCTCCATCTTGTTGGAAAATAATTTCTCCTTCCTAAAATTGCTTTCACATTGTCTTCCACCATCAATCAATCGGCAAATAATTTCTTCAAGTAGCTCAAGGTAATTTTCTCTTTTTAAATTGCCATCGATGAATGAAGGTCCTATGATATGGTTCCCTAAGATCCTGTCCAAAAGTTTAGTTTTTCAGAGTACTGGGTGTATGATTCCCTCATTGTATGAGGATTAGAATTATCCCAATATCGGCAGTTGTGATTCAATTCACCATTTTAAAAAAAATTGACTCATCACTAAAACAAATTCCCCATACCAGACCCGATTCAACAGTATTTCTGTTGTCCAAAAGTTGAAGGCATCTATCTGGGTCATCTTCATTAAGTTCTTGATGCAGTTGAATTTTGTATGAATGAAATTTGTTTTTCTTGAGAGTATTTCAGACCGAACTCTTCAAAATATCATCCCTACTGGCGACTTGCTGGCATGATTGGATAGGAGTTTAGACAAAGTGGAGAAGAAAGTCCTCACCCACCTCTTCTGAAAGTCTATTACTCCTTTTAAAAGAAAAAACGACAATAATTAATTTCTGCTGTGCTTAAAAATTAAATCAAAAGTTAATTTTTTTAATAAAAACATACCTGTTCTCTTTTTAACAATGTCTGTTCTGGTTTATTCAAATTTGTTGATTAGTTGCCTGATATAACACCTGACAACAGGACAATACGGATGATTGGTGTTAAACACGCGTTCAACTTCGTGAAAATTATGAGGCTCCATAAAGATAAATGAATTCTACTCTATCTTCCAAAGATTTAGACCACCTTAGCAAATTAATTTTATTTTTATTTTCAACGGTAACACAGATAACACTTTTAAAAAATCAGCAGTTCTCTTTTACATTAGCTGGAGATGAACTGAACCAAAACAAATTATCTCTTAATTCCTTAAAATCAATTCACAAAAATTATTCAATGTTCACTCATAAACCAAAGAATTGAATTGTCACAATTGCCGATATTGGGATAATTCTAATTCACAAAACACCAGATACTTTCCGTGAAGTGCAAAATGAACTTAATAAAGTTACTATGAGGTAATTGAATTAGTAATTAACTTAAAGTTACTAGGAGGTAAATGAATGATGATTGAGATAAATACAATTTGAATCTTAATAACTCTTAAGTGACAAACTCTACAAGAAAAATGCCTGAAGTAAAATCTTCTAAAAAAGTCATAGAATTGAATTCCATAAATTTTATTAAACCAAAAAAAAGTTGCTGAGCTCTGGGGATGTACTGTATATTGAAAAAAAATTGATTTCAGATTCAGATTCTACATAAAAAATTATGTAAAGACGAATCCTATTTTTTTAAATTATTTCCAAACAAAAGAAATAAAAGGGAGTTGTTTATTAGAGGATATATCTTTTAGATTACATAGAATGCTATATAAAATAATATCTAACATAACAAAAATAAGCATTTTTGTTCTAATTAGGTTATAATTTATATAAATACATTTTGTAATTTACCTCCTTTTCTTCAGCTCTCATACAATCCCATAATGGTTCTATCCATTCACCACATAATATACGAAAAATCATCATAAATGAATGAAAAAAATCATTGAAGTTCCATCTGTAAACAATATTCGATAATTACTGAATAAAAAAACTAGGGTATTTTTGAATAATTATACTGTAGAGAGTAACACATAACAATACTTAATAAAATTGTGATCTATTACCTTGGAACAGGATCAGGATCAAACCGTTCAATTGTGTAGTCCTTTGAAAACAACTGCATCCCAATTACGGCAAATATATAAATAATTATAACAAGGACGAATGTGAGATTCCCAAGAGCACCCAATGTCGATATAATTATACTTAGTAGAACTTTCATTGTTGTCCAAGACTGCGCTAATTTAAGTACCCGTAACTAAAACAGCAAAGATTGATTTAAATAATTTGTTTTGAAATAAATAATGATTTAAAATGTATATTTTATAATTGATAAAATTAACATTTTTAAAATGATTCGACTGTACAACACAGTAAATTTGATTATTAAGAAAATGTTTGCACAAAAATTATCTAAACAAAAACCAATAGAATTTATAAATACATTATATGTTAGATGATAAAATAATTAGTGTTATTAACATTTTCCACAGTTTCAGTAATAAAAGTAAAACTTAAGTCTGCTTCTTTGTAGTGAAACCTTGTACATGATATGATAACATTTGTAAAATATTAATTATTATACTAAAGGCTAAATATAGTCATAAAATTATAATGAAATATAACTGTTTACTCACTAATCTTAAACATCTAAGTACTGAAAGTCCATCAACCAGTTCAAAAGACAAATCAAGAAGACTCACAGATACGATTATCAAATCAAATATATTCCAACCACAGTTAAAAAATTCTTTACTCAGTGCCATTAGTTTTAGAGTGCACTCCAATGTAAAGATCGACGTAAATACCTGTAAAATGAAGCTATTATTGTCTTGGTGAGTAATAAACAAATTGTAATAAAATATTTGTTTTGAACAGAATAATTTATATTTGAAGGGAGTTTATGTACATTTATTTTTTTAAATGATTTTTTCCATTGTTTCAAAATGTATCTATAAAATCTATATTTTTTTAAGCTTTACTTATAGGAAACTAAAAAATTTGAGATTTTCTCTTGTGGTTTTGGTGAAATTGATCCTGACAATTGCTGGGGTCTGCCTTTCCTTACTGAGCTTAAAATCTATCAGAAAAAGAGAAAAGAGAGAGAGAGAGAGAGAGAGAGAGAGAGAGAGAGAGAGAGAGAGAGAGAGAGAGAGAGAGAGAGTGTGTCTCTGTGAGAACAGAGAATACTGAAGATGTCAAAATGCTGAAATACATCTGACAGAATGACTCAGCAAGCATAGGCAAACCAATAATTGATAAGGATCAAATTACGAACTATAAATTTGTTATTGAAACTTAAACCTCTCTATGACTATGAAAAATATTTTAATTGTAAATAACATAACTTTTTTAAATGTGCTTAACGTTTTTACTTTCGTACAAAATAGTTCATGTTTATAGTAAAGTATTTGTTAATCGAAAGAGAAGGTAAATTTAATGTGATTGTAAGCTAGATTTTATAGTTACATATTAATTGCTTGGGGTCAAATTAAAATAATCTGCTTAGTGTTTCCTAGGACACACATTGAAAGATAAATGATTGGACAAATCATGGTGTGTTAAACTTCTACATCCAAAGTGTAACAAAAGTTCAAATTCTCAATGAGAACGGGTTTTGTGTTTTTTCAGTAAAACCACCATAAAAAGGGGCATTTATTTTTGCCCATCCACTATCCCACCGTATCTTAGGAAACTATACGCTATACTGGCAAACCCATCATTTAACTAAAATTTTGGTTCTGGAAAAAGGCTTGAATACTTGCCTTCTTAAGGTGCAAATTCAAATTCATTGTACAAATTTTTATGTTTAGATAAATGTGTGGAAAATTTTGAAAAAACTCTGTTGACTTTAGCTTACTAGCAGTTTACTTATTTCTGCGATTTCACTGTCTGAGTAAACTAAGCAAGAATTTGAAAAAATGCTTGGCATTGTGTGAAAGGGAGTGAAGGGTTTGGAGAAGCCACCAATCAGTTCTTTTGAAATTTAGATAAATTATTCATGAATCAATGAAATTTTTTAAATTTTTTTCTTCAATACCAACTGGAATTGTATCTATTAGGTTTGTGCAGTACAGATAAATATTGTATATTTTATATATAGAAATGAGTCGTGAGCTTCTCACTACATTAATTTTTTTAATTTTGTGAAAAGTATTTGAAAACAAAATCTAATAAAATAGTTTTAATGGACAATACTACCTTGTTTCCTATATCTAATGTTTTTTTCACATTTTGACTCATCCCATGGTGTTCTGTTGCTAAAAACATTGTATTTAATAATATACAAACAGTTATTAATAATTCAAACAATGGATCTCGAACAATCCGGTATAAATAGTTTTGTAATTTCAACCAAGATTGGTAATTTGTACAGCACTGACTGCATCCATCACAGTTTCGATCAATAAGTTTATCTGCAATTAAATAATATACAAATTAACACAATAAATTAAAAAATAAATAAATAAATTACTTCCACAGCAGTGGCAGCAACTGAATTAAAATTCACAAGCATGATTTAACGCCAATAATTTAAAGGGATAGACCTTCAATTATGATGGCACACATTTTCAAAATAAAATTCTTAGGTGTGTAATAACTATGTACATGAAATCAGAGCCTTTGATTCACTCTTTTCAATCTACTTTGCTTTTTTACACCTTTGTCATCCACACCAAGAGTGAATAGGCTTGTGGTGGAATCCGAACCACCAAAATTAAGTTTTATATAGACAATGTTTCAGTGCAGCAAAATGTTAATGCAAGACAATTTATAATTTTCACTTCATGCATATATTTAATGTTTATATAGTCAACCTTATAATATGTTACCTAGTGTAACCACTTGTTTGTAATCCAGTGGCAAAGTGTAAACAGTGAGTGGCCTAGAACAAGAAGATGTTGGGTTCACTCCATTACACTTTAAGGGTCCAGGTTTTGCTTTGGGAGTTTTAGCTTCACCACTAACACCCAGGGAAGGAGAAACATTCAGTCTCTGAAGCACATGAGAGGTATTTTTTATCAATATATTTCAGTCACAAAAGTCATAAATCAAACAATATATTTACTGTGAACTTGAGAAGAAAAAAATATGCTGATGGGCAAAGTTAGACCACAGTATTATAAAAATAGTCGTTCATTAACATTCTCTTTCCCCATGCTATCAAGCAGGATTATTTTTCATAAAAGTAAAAATATTATATAATATTTGATCTACTGTAACTATGGATGATAGTAATCCATGATACTAATGGAATTTCATTGATACTATTTGACCATTGCTGATATTTAAAATGTTTGGAACATTTTAAAATTTGTTATAATTTTATGTACTTATATTTTGTATTTTGTGTACTTAAGTTTAATTATTATTATTTTATGAAAGTTCGCAACAGCAGTAGTCACATCAATCCTCGGGGTGTTGGTGTTTTTGAAAAAAAAAAAAAAAATTCTAAGTATGGGTTCGAATGCAGGGCTGCTGGATTCGAATCCAGGACCTTTATCTTACAGTGATGAGCACTGTGTCAACGTATAAACTGTTGCGGCCACCAACACCCCTACAATTATAATTATTTTCTTCAATTATGATCCTTTATTGTTCCCATTTTAAAATTCATTCCTTTTTATAAGATTTTCTACTAAATGACATTAAGAAATTAATATGATAGGTATATAATTAAGATAAATATCATGTTATCAAATTTATAACAAAGCATGGTATTTGAGTAAAAACTAGATTTGCCTGAAAAGTAAATATAATAAAAATAAAATAATGCTTGATTCTGCCATTAATACATTATTATACAGTTTGAGAACACACATATTTGGTTAAATATTTATTGGTTGAATGTTCCCAACGCTCCTAGTCTGCCTGTTCCTGTTGGTTTTGTCTGTCTGATATTTGCCTTGCTAAGAAGAAATGAAAATGAATGAAAAACTCCACGTTTTTTTACTTTTTTTACCACTGTATTCTGAGTTACGTTTCTTTTCAATAAAACCATGATAAAATCGATGTACATTGGTACATATATATAAAAATATTAGTTTAAAATATCGACATATTGTATAGTAGTTTAAAATGTTTTGGTGAAAATACTAGTAAAAAAAAAATTCCAAAATTGTACCATGTCTTAATAAAAAGTGCTTGCATTACTAGATAAAATTAATGTATGTGCCACTTGCATCATTTTCCACTTATTTTATTCCACACAAACTCGTTTCCTGTGTAAAACTTATCAACTAATGAGGAGATGCTTTGTATTGACCAAAGGAATTGGAAATTCAGTGGTATTAATACAATTAAATTATAATAAAAAAAGTATGTAAATACTTTTCAGATACATTCTTATTTGTAAGTAATTCATAAATCTTTGCTAGTTAAATTTAACATAACAACCTTTTTTGATTAAAAGAACACATAAAATAAGAGTGAATTGATAAATAAGTTATAAATAATAATTTAAAAAAGCTTTCAGGATTATAAAAAAAAGAGAAGTTAGAATCCTAGGCCAAAATTTTTAAAAAATGTGTCAGCTTAACTGAGGACATTCAGCATGAAAAACTTCAAAGCTCAATTTTTCAAAACTAGCAACACAGTAAAGGCATTTCTTCTTAGTATGGCAGATGTGTTTTCGGAATTTTTTCTTTATGGGTCAGTATTTTGTCACAGATCAGGATGATTGGTTTATATAAAATAAAAGTGTTAACTATATATACTCAAATTATTAATTAAACATTATATTAGTCTTGTAAATCTCATGTATTTCTATTGTATCACTTATAACAAGATGTTGAATTTGTGACCAATACTTTTGATTAAAAAATAAAGGGAACTGAGAAAGGACCATTTTTTTGTAATTTTTACAGATAGGCTTACAATAATTAGATTATCTGTGTATTTTCCATTGATTTCCTTCTATTTAGGCTAACCTGACCAAGAATTTGGCTATTCTAAAATAATGAATAACGTGAGTATAATAAGGTGGGGTTGAGATAGGAAGTTGATGTCCGAGTGGATCGAGGTCACGTTAGCTCAAGTGGTAGAGTAGCGGCGTATCTAGCCGAAGATCGTGGGTTCGAATCCCGCTCGTGCCATTGACTTTTTTATCTCAACTAAAAACCTTAATTAATTGTAATGATTTAATTGGTCAAGCGGACCACGAAATTAGTGAATATAATGAATAACAATCTTTGGTTACTAAACATCTCACATAATTAAAATTGTCATACATAAACTGAGGTGAAACCATACGATGTTAATGATAGTTAATGTCAGCACTATTTTACTTTAACTTAGCAAAAAATTTTTTGTCTGGGATTTCTGCTTTGTTGCATTGGTTGGATTTTTTGGTTAAACACAAGTATTATAGTTTGTTTAACCATTTATTCAACCTAAAAGGTTAAAATTGTGTTTAAGGTTGTTAGAAAAATGTTTGTATTTTTTTTTTGCTTATTCACATCATGGTAAAAACACTGAAACCAACAAAACACCTCCAACAGGTTAGATTCTCCAATATGTTAATTAATTTATAATACTTTTATCATTATTTACAAATAACAGTGGGCACAGGATCAATGATACAATGCTTCAGTGTCAAAAATATTTTAAACTATACATGTGTCTGTATTTATTGGCTTGAATGAAAAACATTTTTATCAATGTACTGAGTGACTGTAATTTAATTTATTAGTGTAGTCGAAAAGAGGAATATAGGGTATTTTGGGGCAGTACAAATGCTAATAGACAAACTTTTCAACATTTTTTTATTATATATATATATATATATATATTTTATCCATTACTGATGAGGACCTGAGGTAGAGAGAGGCTGGTAACAGGTTAAACAAACAAAAGAGCAGATTTCCCTAACACCCAAAGCCCAATTGACATAATATAATTTGACTGCATCAAAAAATGAATTAGAAAGAAAAAAAAATAGCAAAGAAGAAAAGGGTAATGACCAATGTAGTTTTGCCCCTAAAACTATTCACAATGTGTTACTGTAAATTAATTTTTCGAACTATCATTCTTTAAAAAAAAAGTCAAACTTTGAAATGTTGTTGTTTTCTCCTTTACTATAACTTCTAGACTACTTGACATGAAAGAGGCCTATCACACTATGATGCTATGCCAAATATTTTACAAGAACACGAGACAATTTTAAATAATCTTCAAGAGATGTGATAGTTTAAATAAAAGCACAGATACAACAAATAATTGTTCCTAAAAGGATTTTTTTTGTATTTTCTTATAAAACTACCCTTGGGAATGTTTATTTGAAAAAAAGAAATGTAACAAAACACGTAAAAAGCAAGAAATTTGTATTTTTGTATGCAGAAACTACACAAAACAAAAACCAAACATTCACATAACAAAAATCAAGTAAGATAATAAACGAGATGACTGTAACAAAGACAGAAAAAAATGGGTATGTTGATCAGACACAATAGCTAATTAATGTCAAGATTGCAAAACATAAACTATATTAAAAGACAATGGAACTTTTAGTGCAAAGACAACTACTAGTTTGAGCAGTTCACAGATAAATGAAATTGATAGACTTCAAGTAATGCTTAGGTGCTAGAGTGTTCAAACACTCTAAAATTTAATTAATTGCAAGCACGCTATAAGAAAAAACATGTTATGACAAGAAAAATTAATAAACATAAAAAAGATCAAGTGCAAAAGTGTGAAATTGAATCAAAAACATACAATTTGAGTTTTTTGAAATAAGCTAAAATTATTTTATTAAACTGGTCAATTTATCAGGTCGTATTAACTTTTCACAAAATAGTTTTGACTTTAGATAAAAATTAGACATCGGGAGGGTAAAAATAAGCTGCTATTTACACTACAAGTTAATTTGATGAAACCATGATAAATTGTTGTTACATTAAGTTACTGACTTACCCTTTCATTATTTATGAAATTTAAGTCATAAATGACATTTTATAATAACTCGAGCCACAATGCCAGGACTGATTTGAATCACATTTTAAAACTCCTTAAAAGTAGTTGTTTCATTGTTTATTCAAAGAGTTAAAATGTAGTTTTATTAATTTCTAAACAAGAAATACCTAGGTAAATCATTTTTGACTATTAAACCATGTTTAAATTAATATAGGATTTTATCAAAGTGTTGTTTCAATCAGTCAATTTAAAAGCATCTTAATAAAAAAGTATAAATAAACAGTTTTATGAGTTTTAATGTTTTCAATACATACATGAACGGGTGGAGTGGATTGAGCAACATCTTCAGAGGTCAAGTCACCTTCCTCATGGTCATCAACGACTCCAGAATCTTCTAATGACGATTCTCTTTCTCGTTCTCTTCGTCTTAGAACATCTCGGTTGACAATGACTCCCTTAAAACCTCCTTCTTCTTCCTCTTCCTCCCCTTCTTGACCTAAATTGACAAATTCAAATTTGACATAGTACCATGTGTTGCAAGCAAAGTTATATAAAATTAATTTAAATAATTTTTAAAACTTTTTTTAATCAATAATATATTTACTAGTCTTGCAAATTATAATTATCCAACAAGAATTACAAATGTAAGATTGGATGTACTAGAATAAGGAGAATGTGTTCAAAATTTAAAAGTACTCAGAAGGGTGTTTGGTGAGATCTCTGAGATGATTTTAACCCTTAATATACCATTGCAATAGAATAATGGTAATAAAAAGTACTGCTGATAGTGAAAGCATTTTTGTTTGCCTTGGATATGAGTGAGAGGTGTGTGTTAGTGTAAAGTACATGTTAGCAGATCAATGATGTTCTAGTATATGGTTTGTTAAAAATCTTAGATATGTGTTTATTATGCCATTCATGTTATTTTTTCCTGGCTCATGTGACATGGTGGATTGTAAGTTTTCCTTTCAAATAATTTACAATTAAAAAGTGTCATAATTCCTCCCAAAAGGACTTGTCACTGTTGGTAAGTTGTGATTCCATATACAAGTTGAAATTCATATTTTAGGGCATGAGAAAATGTTATAATGAAGTTTAAAAGTGGGAAAATATAAATTTAGTTAACATACAATCCAATTGGTTATGTAACAATTAAAAACTAAAAATCAAGCTGTTAAAAGAGATATTTTTTCATTTGCCAAATTAGAGTAGAAAGTAAGACTTATCTGACAGGGTGATTCAATTAACTTTAACCTTAATTATTAAAATTTGGTTCCTTTATTGAACAATATATTGAGTTGGAATTTCGTTCAAATAAGATGAAGAAAAGTCACTTTTAAGCCAAGACTAAAAGTCATTTTAAATTTAGCGATACAATAATGATAGCAATCAGGGGTGTTAAAATCTTTTCTCCAAGAACATATTTAAGTCTTGAATACTTCTATTGTGACTCCGGTTGAATAAACACTACAATTTAAATTTGACAATTGTATAAATTTATATGAAATATTTAACCTCAAATCCCAAATTCTTATGTAAATATTATCAATTATAATTAGGTTTTGCATATGTACAATATGTTTTGTATTAATAATACACTAAGGCATTGTGTCCAAATTTTAATTTTCTATTGCTTTAAGATAACTATTGTTTCTTGTCCTGTTAATTTTTATTTTAACCTCAATGTGAAAACATTTTTTTTTATAGTTAACTATTTCATACAGAAAGACAGATTGAATTGCAATCTGGGAATATAAAAACTGTATAAAATATTTCTCACTTGAAGTATATAAAGAGTCAATTCAAGCCTTTATCAACTCTAATAGTTTTGGTTTATATATATCACTTTAGAAAAATCTTGAACCATCTCCTTTGATATTTGAAGTGCAATATAGAAAAATTATATATTCTTTATCCAACGTTTTTAGAATAAAATGGAGACGTTTGTAATTTACTTAGTTGAACATTAAATTATATTCTTTGGCGGTTTGGTACATTAAAGGAATAAATATAAATATTCCTGAAATCAGAACTATTTTTATTTATGAGAACATTTTATTATTATTCCCTATCAAAATATAACTTCATTTTTTAAAATAAAATAAGTGGAAACCATATAGTAAACACTGGGATATCAGTAAATATATTTGGTTGGGAAATGACTAAATTTGGTTAAGGTGTTTATTTATGAATAAAGTTATTTTGTATTTATTTTGCTTATTTAAATGTGTAAAAAAATAAAAATAAAATAATTTAAGTCTTAAATTTAACTGGCCAAAAGTTATACTACTTTATGCTGAAAAAATGCATAAACTTTGGAACCATTATTTTAATATTAGTGATATAATTTAAATGAAAGCTTTTTATACAAAATAGTGGATAAATAATAATTTTAGAAGGAATAATTTTTAAGAAACCCTCCTCATATGAATCCTACGATTCTAAAATTGAAAATGTGCCTCTAAACATGCTAAAAGCATCATTGATAGCATTCCCAATTTTAAGAATGTTAAAAAAATGTATGTATTTATCATTATAGTCTAAGGATTTGCCACAAATTAACGAAATATGTGGCACAAGACATTTTCTGCTTAAAAGTTACTGCATGCTAAAGCGTGTAAAGTGGTCTAAAAGAAACAGGCAGTTACTGCTACAAAAACTCAATAAGTTAAACCAATTTAATCTAACTGTTATTGGAAAATGGTGCTTTACCTCAAATACGGCCCACTAAATTTAATGCTAGTTGAAATAATAAAAAAAGATATTTGACTTCCGTTTACGAAATACTTAATGGAACAACTATAAAAATTTGAAAAAGTTCCATTTTTCTTCAGTGAAATGTCACTCATCTTCTCTGGGCTATAAAACTAACAACAGTTTGTTTATTTTAATGTAAGTAGATACAAGTTATAAAAGTTTTTATTTTATTTTTAATATGACATATTATTAGTTCTGAATATTTGTCTTTTCTCTTTAATATATTCGGAACACTAGAGTATGCACATTTTTAAATTCACAATGCTTTTTTAAGTTTAGTATTTTTTCACTCATCTGCTCTTAAAACATTTTTTTAAAATTTATTTGATTAACTGTGAACATGTAAGAAGGCATTGAAATGATTTAACCATAACTACCGAAAACTATACAAATGTATATAAATTTAAGTTGATTATCTATGTGCCACCTTAATGTACAATTTGGTTATATACATTTTTGATGTTACTAATACATAAGTGATATCTAGCACATAATAAACTCCCCGTTTAAAATATCACAACCCATATAAATCTAGATAATTTTTAGTTTTTGACCTTAACCCATGTTTTGCTTATATTACTTGTTACATTACATTGGGGATTAATCATATCATAATCATGATAATCAATAATTAATCCCCAGGTAGCAATTTTTTTCTCTTTTTCTTTACTATGCTAATTTTGTTTGTGTCATTATAAGCCATTTAAGCCATGACGAACAGTCAGAATCATCACACTCAGTAAAGAAAGGATTGCACTGCATTGTTTATTGCCTTGGTATTCATTAAGCAATAGCTTCAAAGACCATTAAAAGGTATAAAGAACATGGAATCACTTGAAGTGGCAAAATTCAGGGCATCTCAGAATCACCAATACCATAGACGACTGTTTTATTAAAATTCAAGCAAAATGAAATCAGAACTCAACAACTTTTGGCATTAAAAACTTGATCATTGTTATTTGGAGGATAGCAATTTCAGAGATAACCGTTAGACGAAAAGAGGAGAGAGGAGAGAGGAGAGAGGGAGAGAGAGAGAGAGAGAGAGAGAGAGTGTGAGAGAGAGAGAGAGAGAGTGAAAGAGAGTCAAATCTGTTCAAGAATCGTGAAAGGACACTTGTTCACCACAAAATACCAGAGAGAGAGAAAGGAAGAAACACCAATCATTGTCTTGTCACTAGAGGAAAAATGTACTATTCACCGAGGGAATGAGAGTATCCCTTAACAGTCCAGATAGCTGTGAAAGAGACTGGAGAAGACCTGGAGAATGGTACAGTCATTACTGCATGTTGGAAACAGTGACTTTTCTTTGGAGTACCGAGTCGGTACCAATCCAAGGGGAATACCTTACTATATGTAAACATGATTCTACAAGATCATGTAATGCATTTTATGCCTTTCTTAGGCTCCAAATCATTGCTTGCACCATGTATGCTTGGCCACATAGGGCAACATGTATTTCTGAGTTCCTGAACACCACAGGTATAACTTTCAGTGGCCTGCAAGAGGTCCAGAACTTAATCCAATTGAACACTTTTGGGATAATCTCCAAAGAAAGGTTCAATCACGGAATCCTTTAACCCTGGAAATGTTAAAGATTGTATTGGAGGAGTGGGACAAGATACACCAGGATTTTCTACAATTTTTTTTTGTGAGTATGCCAAATCATCAATGCCAGAGGGAGCAATAATTGTTATTAAATGCCATTTTAAATCAAATTAAATTGATTAAAAAAGAAAATTTGAACTTCTGAGCAACTACTACTTCTGAGTCATATTTATTTATGTAAAAGCTCGTGTTCTTATAAAATACAAAAATCTCTAGATGTTGCGATATTTTTTTTTTAAAGGGGCGTGTATATTATGCGGGTGTGTTAATATTTATTGTAATTAAACCCACCAAAAGAAGCATTTTCTGATTTTGTAGCAACTAGAGTCCCCCCCACCAAGTTTTTCATAATTGGAATCCTTAAACCTGGCTGTCCATTAGAGGGCATTCATATTCAAATATCGTCAAATAATAAATGTATAAAAATGATAGATATTACACTACTTTTTATATTTAATGTGCAAACAAAACCAATATATAATTATTAACTGCCTGTAATAACATTTTAAGTTAAAGAATTCTCATTTGACCATGTTAAAATAATATATTCATTTTTTTTTTTTTTTTTTTTTTTTTTAAATCTACCTAATGATGGACAGATAAAAGAAACTAGTTACAATTCAAACCAAAGTCACTTTATTTTATGATACCGAATAAAACATTCAATAATTTACAACTTTATGTCACAATAATTGCAAAAGAATGCAGTAAAACTTTTTTCTGCCATAACCCTTTTAACTGAATGTTCACCTTTTTAGTTGGGTTCATTAGGAAAAAAAAATAAATAAATCTCACGATTTCTAAATAATCAATAATAATAAAAAGTTAACGAATCTTACCAGTTATTTTTAAATTTTTTTTTGCTTGCCAGCACTCAACAATATAATTTTCTATTTCCAAGACTATCTGGAACCAAAGTGTTGCCTTTGGAAAACAACTGGCAAACTATTTTGCTGCAAAGTTTCTATATCCTACTAAATTTTGTATCGTTTCAAGTTCCAAGTTTTTTTTGGTGTAATTAACAGAACAAAAAATCTAATATTATCATAAACAAACTAAAATACCAGGTCTTCCAAAAAAAGGCCTGTCATTTTTTTTAAAGTCAGTCATCAGCATTTTTGTTATTGGTTAGGTTATGTGACCTTTTATAGGGTAAAAACTAGTATTTACTTTTAATAAATATAATATTATACGGCATATTAATGTGCTTTACATGTGCTAACAATTTAAAAGTAGTACCACACAATTCAACTTATGCCAATTAACTTGTTTGTTTGTACCTTTTCCTTAGCTTTCCACCTAAAAAATTCGTTTATGGGTAGAATCATCACTTGTGATGGAAAATTGGTCCTGTATAACAATTTTAGGTAGATTCGAAGAACAAGGAAATTTCCTAAGTCTGACATCCATTGGAAAAAAAACTATACTCAATCTTTTCAGGACTGTGGTACTTTACACTTATTAGCTTTGCCTCCAGGTCAAACTGGAGATACTGTGCCATTTTGTACTGGTGTAATTCAAAACTTTAAAAATTCGATTAATGAAATCAATTAAAAAAGCTCCTTGCCTTTTCAGGACAATGCTTACACGTATGCCGCAGGTATATGAGGGGGAAAATATAAGACATTGGAAACATTGTCACATTATCTCAGTAGACAGAAAATTTTGAAAACTGAAAAACAAATTCTGAGGACCTGGTATTTTGATAAATCACATGATATATGTTAACGTTTCCTTTTAAATTGAAGTAAATTTGGATTTTAGGCTCTAAGAGGAATCATACTAATATAGTAGTTTTTAAAATTGTTTAAGAATGATTGGTGGCAGCATTTGTAACAATTTTATATTGTTTTATTTTGTATACTTAGGCTGTTTTTAGTAGAACTACTGACTCCCTTTGGTAGTATCATGTTTACGATGATTGTAGAAGTTTGCTAGGCTGTAGTTAAGAAAATAAAAAACTTAACAAAATGATTTATTTATTTGTGAATTTGATCGCTCCAATATTTATTTAGAGTATAGAATTTTTCCAACAAAAGCATAGTGGAGTACATGCTGAAGGTGAATTATTTCTTAGGAAACCCATGACAGAAGCATATGGGGCCTTAAAGATGTTGGAAATATGAATTTCTTTGGGAGTTCTTACTATTGAGTGTTTTTTGTTTGTGTATATAAGTTTTCCACCTCCTAGAATAATTTCGAACTTGTTTTTATTGTTCATGATGATTTATTTAGGTGTGTAATGTAAGATTTTGCCTACCAATTTTCCCGGCTTTCTAGTAAAATGTACACAAACGAAAAATGCTCAATGGCTTGTTAACTCTCAAACAAATTCATTTTCACACGCATTATTGATACTAATTAAAATTCTACAATATAAAATGAGACTACAACTAAACTATTTGTTTTTGAGTCAAAAGCTCAAAACCGACCCTTAATACCAATAGTGGACTCTGAAGCGGACAACCCTCAATTCCAACCAACCCTTCTCCACTTTTCCTTTCTCCAGAAAACTCATCAAAGTATGAGTAAGCAGCAACTGGCAAACAGAGATCCACAGTAAATGATGTAGAGCCGAGTGGGCATGACTGAAAACTAACAGCAAGAATAGGTGGACCCAGAGATAATTCAACAAGTATAATGTTCGATTTCATTGTTTATCAGTCAACTTATTTGAGTTTCATTCATATTTTGGACTATTCTGGATGTATATAGTAAAGTCCTCTAAAGTGAATATACATACAAATAAACCTGATGTTACTACAATTGATTTTTAATTGTTGGAGTGCACTTTAATTTTTCTTGCGATTAGATTTGAAACCTTGAAACAAGTCATTAACATAGATGGTTCGGATTCCAGTAAAATGAAATACAATAAAAAAAAATAAAAATAAAAAAGAAACAAAAAAAATATAAACAATAAAACAGACATACATATAAACAATTGAATATTTATTGTTCAGGAATTCATAAGAAAACAATTAAACTTACATGTAGCTGAATGTTGATCATTTTTCCCTTGGTTAGGGCTTTCAGTTCCAGGTCGTCGTTTCCGTCTACGTGTTTTCTTCCTTGAATATGAACTTAGCAGCATTCCTTTTCTAGAATCTATCCTCTTTTTACTACCTCTATCTAATTGTTTAATTGTAATTTTTGAAGGGTCAAAACTAAAAGTAGAATCATCACGATGTTCAGTCAAATCTTTACGTCTCTCCTGAAATCAAAATTATTATACATCTTACAGAAAATGATTTATCAATGATTTTAAACTAGAGTTTATTTTTTAGAGAGGAACATTATCATTTTTGAGATTTTATGTTATAGTGTATAATAAATTTTTATTATCGAGTACAGTTAGATTGGTTCATATACAGACTCAATTCAATAAAAGTCACAATTAAATCTTTAAAAAAATGTGTGTGAAGAGAAAGGTAGCTCGATGTATCTCAAGAAAGAATGTATTTAAGAGTGAGTGAGTGTGAATGGGTTTAGATCTAAGAATTGATTGCATTGGGCGGGGGGTGAAATGACCTAGCTGTTGATAGCCCTGGAGCCCAACTCGGCAGCGGATAAGTGGCCCTTGGTATATCTGACCAAGGCCTGGTGTGATTCTCGATGCCTGCTGGTAATTTATGGTAAATGTCACAAAAACTGGAATTGCTGGTGAGCTTGGGGAAGTGATAGGCTCAACTCTGCATACGCGTGTATGTATGTATATGTATGAGCTTATATAAATCAGTAATCAGTAAAAAAATGTTTCATACCTCTTGAGTAATTTCTGCTTCTTCTTCATAACTTAGAGCTACCACAGCCAACATTAAATTAATAAGGTAAAAGGATCCAAAGAAGACAACAACAGTAAAAAACACAACACTTAAGGGCCCACACGAGGCAAGTACCTATATAGAATTAAAAAAAATGATGTATTATTAAAGAGGATTGCTTCTTCTTCATTTTTTCTTTTTTTTAATTACCATGTTGTAAACATTTTCCCAGTAGTCTAGTGTAATTAGTTGGAAAGTTGTTAACATAGACCAGAGAAAATTGTCAAAACTGGTGAAACCATGATTAGGATTGCCACCGACTCTCAAACAAATGTAACCACTTTGGCAATGTCTGAAATATTTAACAAAATTGTCAAACAACATTTTTGTGTTAGCTAAGAATGACAATGAAATAACAGAACTATAACGGAAATTGAAAATATTTTGATATAAAGTACCTTGCTCCTGTCACATTTCCACAGATCACAGGGTCACCGTCATCGTTAAATAACCAATGACTTTCATTGTTAATCCATCTTAAACAATGTTAAAGCATTATTTTTACATGTTAAATGTAGTGCAGTTAATGAATGATAAATATTTCTTCCACATTTAAGTTGTGCTACATTTGACAAAATTAAATGTATTTCATTTACTTAATCTTGTTTGGCAGAATGTCATATTTTTACTAATCATTATTAAACCTGCTGCTTCAGTTTTCAGAAGGGAAGCATATTGAAAAATTTATCTTTTGGTCAAGATTCATGATAGAAATTGGAATTTATATAACTCAATTTGGAAATAAGTTCTATTAAATTTAATTTCTGCTTCTGCTGTAAAAAAATGAAAAATATATTGGAATCTAGAAGATTACATTATTTTTGATTCGTCAAAATAATATATGTAAATTCTTCAACATTTACAAAGGTGTCAAAAGTTATTTTTTTGTCATCTAAAATTAAATATGAAAAAAAATAAAATTAATATTTCCACACGTTTCCTTGTATGTTTTTTTTATAAACCAATAATATAAAGGGGTTTTTTAGAACATGGAAATTTTTAAGACTACTTAGCCCCTTAAATTTTTTTGGTTTATATTAAAAAAAAATCCGTGTGGTTTTCTAAAAGTAAATTCTTTATTTATTTGGATGTTCCGCGTCTAGTACCCATCTTCAGCAACTTATTTACAACTTATAAAGGGGGATCTTTACATCTTATTATTTAAATGTTTCATTATTTTGAGTTGTTAGAGATATAAGACCATTTTGCACCAGCAACTTCCAGCAAGACGTCCTTCTTCATTCTGAGTTGTTGTTTCTTTCCTGGGTTGCTGAGTGTTGCTGATGCAAAACAGTCAGTCTTGTAATGAAACATTTCAAATAAGTTGCTAAAAAAATCTACATGGAATTAAAATTTTTAAAAAAATTATAATTGGTACATAATGACAAAAATTGAATTTGACTTACAGTTTCCAACCAATGTGAGAGAGGAATTCAGGAGGAGTTGGCACACATTTATTTCTCAGTTCCCCCATATAGACTTGCAAAGCAAAAAGAGCAAAAACCATCAGGCAGAATATCGTCAGTGTCATTACTTCTGCCAGTTGTTTGAAAGAGTGGAGCAAGGCGTTGATGATTGTTTTCAGACCTGAAACACATAAATATTTCTGCGTTATTTTTTTCTTGCGCCTCATTTTATAATTATTTGTTCTGTGTTGTGTTTAGTGACCATTAGCCAATGATTATTTGGAGATCATGAGGTGCGGTCTGATGTGACGTAGGTTTTAGAAAAACATTTTCTTTATCATGCCGACATTACGATCTTTATTGAGATCATCTTCAGGGCTGTGGGCATTCTCAACACGACACACAAGAATGACACGTCTACATGGAAAACAAACATTTTGAGCCCTGAAGATGATCTCAATAAAGATTGAAACGTTGGTGTGATAAAGAAAATGTTTTTCTAAAACCTACATCACACCAGACCGCACCTCACAATCTCCAAATAATCATTATTTGTTCTATTGATGTTGATTGTAACTATTGAGATTTTCAAATCCACTCTTTTTCAATGGCTGCACATTCCCCCTACTTATTAACAAATGCAGTTATAATGAAAAAATGTAACAACCATAAATGGTATTCCAATGAAACTCAAAATTTGAAAAATAACCATTCATGTAAACATACTGCTGTCTTTTCCAGAATTAAATCTCTAAATACATCTATATGATACTGGCAAAAAATTGAAAGTCAACTCAGGAATCTAGATTTTGAGTTGCATACAAATTAATACACGAGTGAAAGAATATAAAAAAAGTTTACAATCCTGCATAAAAGAAACAACAATAAAAAAATAATTTAGGTCTACAGCTTGCAATTTGTATCAACATATCCTTCAGTTTAAAATAACTTACAAGTAGATGCACATTTATAATATGTTACGTTCTGTATCCTAGACAGTAACAATCGCATAGGAGGGAACTATTGGATGCACCCATGGCTGATGGTGGATGCAGAAGAAATACTATTCACCACTCATAACTAGGTGGTGGCATGAGACAGAGTACAAACAACACCCAAGTCGGAACTTCGTAGAACTCTAGAGTCATGGTCCCCCTAGGAAGGGCCGATGTTGCTGTAGATGTTTGACTGCCGTGGGCTGGCAGGTGATGGCTGTGTGCAGAGACATGCGCTGACAATGGTCGTCACTGCCGGGTGGTTGTGGAAGCCATTACTGTCGTTAAGGACGAGATGCTGTTGAGAGGATCGTGTTGTTTGTGGCTTGATGGCTGCTTGCTCAATTAGTGATGAGAACTCGTCAATGAGTCTGATTTCAAGCCAGTTGAACTCCCTGCTTAAATTTGAATAATGGTATGCTGCTGTTTGAAGTGAATGAAGAGTGTCATCAAGCATCAGACTGGTTAGTGCACACATACACGCAGTGCAATAGCGGCACTGTAGGGCGATATTTGTTGTTTTTCCTAGTACCTCCCTCTATGCTGCAGCTACAAATCGAGAGGCGCTTTCTTGCTTCAATGGCGAATGAATTTGCCATCGCAAAAGACGTATATAAGCTCCTTCTCGATATATTTATCCAAAAATATCTTGTGAAGGTGAGCAACTATCACAAGGTGAGCAAAAATTCCACGTTTTCTATGATAGATATTTAGACAGTTGCAACGGACCCACCGTGGGACCGGACAAATTACATTGAAAAGCTACGGCGCCGGGCTCTAAGCCCCTGCCGAGTCCTGATTGGCTGCTGCTGTTGAAAGCATTACCGAAGTAGTGGTGACGCCTGGTGGAAACTTTGTAATCCATATGCAGTATAGAAGCAGAAGGACTATAAAGACATACAGAAGAAATCTAGACACAATAAGTATAAATCTACTATAGAATTACAACTTTTCCCCTTTTCCCCCTCCAACCTTCAGAATTAAATCACACTTCGATCGCATCACTGCACCTGTGAATTAATAAATAATGTGTATGAACATAACGGAATAAATCATGTGCGTTGACGCGTTTGAGTCGTCTGGCTAGGTGTTCGACCTTTGATGGATTGCTTCTACGATAACGTATATTCTAAGCCTTTGATGGTGAGCTAAAGCGGTTTTATACGCTTTCTTTCTCTTTTGAGATCATGGAGTTTTTCATTTCTGATGCACCATGATGCGTTGACCATGATTCTCAATTACTCTATTTGATATCTTTGTATGATTTGGCGGTTGGTCTAGCTGGCACAGCCCCAGAGCTGCCGTAGGCCACTTAGACTTCAGAACCTGTTGATAAAGTAAAAGCTTCCTTTCAATGGCAAAGGAGAACTTCTGCCCTTTAACCATTACATTTTCCGGAAATTGATGGTGAACTCTTCATTTTTTTTTAAAGTGTGTTTTCCATCTCAAGCATGCATATAATGTCATACCAAGGTTTTTTTGTCTCGTTGACGTTTGGAATTTCAAGACCGTTAACAGTTACGGGGTGAACTGGTGCGGTGGGCAACTGATGACTCCATCGATCCATGTCCTCCGCCTTAGGACTAATTCGATGCGACAAGAGGGATATGTGGCCTTTCCAAGTGTCTAGAGAATCACTAGAAGATTGTAAGGCATTGCCCAAAAGGGGATTGTAAGTGACTCGGTATACCAGTTAGCTGTTTAAACTGAAACTTCACACCGGGACATATCTCCGGCCGGATATCTTTGTCGCCAGCGAGGATAGAGTTTCGTCCTAGACCTCGCGGTGGCATATGAGGCTGCGTGTGCATTGGATCTGGTGGTGGACATCAAAGCGCAAAGTGTGGGATATTGAGGGAAACCTTAACGGAGCTATACTCCAACAATTTCTTTGAAGCAGTGGGTTTAGTACTGGAGGAAAGAGGATGCATAGCTGAGCGTACTAAGAAGACGCTTCAATCAGCTCCTCACCCTCTCCCAACGGCGCGGAGGTCCTCACTCTCTTAGCCAGATTTTTAGCCACTCATCCAATGAATCCGGCGGTCGAGGGCAATACCTGAATGCGCGGACCCTGATTAGAATGACGGTGTACGAAATGGTGCAGGAGAGTTGTAGGTGGGTGATCAGCACCAAATGAAGCAAAAACGTCGAACGCCGGAATGAGGTTTTATTTAAGTTGAAATCAGAAAACATAGGCTGGTATGAATTGAATTTTCCGGTTGGTGAAGTCCACATGTACTGATTTTTCTTTATTCAGCTTTATTCTCCGTTTTGTCGTCCATTTATAAATTATAATAAAATGGAGTTCTTCAATGTACGAGTAGATTGGGCAATGCTTTCTCCAATCGCTATAGTTGCCGTATCATCAACGTGATCTTCATTCTCTGGTAGATCGCTAATGAAGAGCACATATAGGACAGGACCTAATACACTGCGTTGTGGCACTCCAACATGGAACAGTTTGAGTTCCGAATAGGCCTCTTCTTGCTTAATGAAGTCTGTCAGCAAGGTAGGATTCAATCAGTTTTGAATAGTTGACTGGAATAGTTTTTTAATTTTATGTATGAGACCTTCATGCCAGACTTTATCGAATGCATCTAGGAAAACAACCGAGCATAATTTTCTTTCTTCAAGTGCTTGTTCAATGACTCGGTTGATTCGGTGGATCAGGTCGATCGTAGATTGCTGTCATCGAAAGCCAAACTGATGATCGGGTATTGTTTTTTCTCCTTCCTCAATAAGTGGCATCAGCCTTTTAAGTAGTTTTGCAAATAATTTGGAGATCACCACAGTAGAGAAATTGACCTGTATGAGTCTATCTAAAATAAATGTATTAAATGGTGGTACGTCTTGAAAATAGTCTAGTTCGAAGTCCTATATTAAATAATATCATAATTAATTGTTTCAGTTTAATAGTTTCAAACTATTTATAAATCTCAGAAAGAAAGAGAGATTTCTCCATCGAGGTCTGCCTGGGTGAACCTGTTGTTGGTCGTTTCCGGTCATCCTGGTCTGCCTGGCCTAACTGTTTTGGACAGATTCGCAATGTGCCAACTTCAGTTGTGGGTTTGTGTGATAGCTTTTTTAATGTTAGAAACGATGTCAGAGGTTGCAATAATTCCTTGTACAGGATTTTATAAAATGGAGATTCGGGAGTGTAGTGTAAAAAGAAAAAAATGAGCTTTTAGCCTTGACAAAGCACTAATTAAGCTGAACAAAGGATTCATAAAAGTGGAATAGTTCAAGTAATTTCGTTACTCAGGTCCTTAAAAGGGAGAATAATAATAATAAAAATCCCTTGGTAAAGAAGAGTGCTAGAACAAAAAATTGTTGTCATCTGAATATTGAATTGGGTAATTTCAGAGCTTTCATAACAATGTTACCCTTTCTTAAGATAACTGTTAATTATACAATTTCGGCTTAGAAATTTTGTACAGGATAATTAAAAATTACAGTTTTGTTTGTTGTCCTGAGCTGCTTATTCAATAATTTTAATCTGAATTGGTAATTATCCAGTAGCGAAATTGAATATACTAATTAAACACAGGGACGTTATTAAATTTAAATTCATTATTAAAAAAAAACACATTTGTATTAGGCTTATCTTTCAAATTGCTTTTACTGATAATCAATGTAAAATTAAAATTATTACGATTTGATGTGTGCCTCTTTACTTTTCCTCTAATAAATTAATATAAACAAGGGGAACTTACCTGGCATAATGGAAACGGTTTTTAAAGCTCTAAGAACTCTAAATGTTCGCAAGCCTGCTAGGTTGCCAACGTCAAGTCCTATTGTCGCATAGCCCGAGGTTATCACAACAAAATCAAGCCAGTTCCAAGGGTTTCTCAAATAGGTGTACTTGTTAAGGACGAAGCCCTTTGCGACGCACTTGATGAGCATCTCCGCCGTGTAGATCGCCAAAAATATATACCTGGACGTAAAGGAAATGTGTTGAATAAGAAACCAAAACGAGTGGTGCAAATTTGAATATAGTTTTATGTTCTTAGACTTTTCGTTGATTATTGGAAAATATAAAGAAATTTTATGCAATTATGCAATCTTTCTAGTGTATTTTAGCTCCAAACAAAGCCAGTTAAACACAGAAAGACTTTATAGTGAAGATCATATTGATGTACCCAGGGGTGTTTTAAGCTTCGAGAATACAATTTTCTAAAGGAAACAAAGAATGTCAAGGAAAATTGCTGATGGCCAAATAAATGCTTTAATCGAAACTAATTCACGGCTTTCTTCTCGATCATGAAAAACCAAATTAACCCCAACTATCATAGATAAGAGCGGATTGAACACAAAAAGATTGCATATGCAGGGTGTCAAGAGTCACCCTTGGTTTTTGCAAAAATTACTCAACCTAGAAAAAATAAACTAAGCAGATATATTAAAAAAAAAATGGTAAGTCTTAGTTTCAAACTTTGAATTCATTTTGGATTTAAGAAAATTGGCAAAGTTTTTGACGGATTTGACGTGTCATTTTTGAAATATCTAACGTTTTTCTGGACCCGATTTTCAAATGGTTTTCGCCAATTTTATAAAATTTAACTAACTAAGAATCTGCAAAAAAGTTCGTCTTTAAACTTTTTTTTTATAGAAAAAATGATAATCCGTCGTTTAAAACCTCAATTGTGATCGGTAATCATCAAGTGGTCGCATTATAATCCTGGAATATATACACTCCCGTTTAATTAATCCACATCTATCTCGAAGGTGCGTCCAGCATTTTTTCCTTTTTCAGGTTCACTAGTGACCGAACACCTTCCGCTGTGGCCTAAACAATCTATTGTGAAATTTACATTTATTTTCTTTCGCTTATTTCCTTAGGCTACTTGCCTGTCTGAGAATAATCTGTTCACCTTTGTGCCCAGGGTTCTATTACATTGATCTCAGCTTGGAAAATGGATGGTGTGGGTTCTAGAGGTTTTGCTAGGTCAGAAGTTGTGCTTTTGACTATTTCCCCAGTACTCATGTTTTATTTTATATCCATTTGTACACCACAATACAGTTTATTAGTTTCAGGGGTTTTATTCTTTTTACTGTACTGTTATTTTCATTTGGAAGGGCCTATCAAAATTTTTTTGTAATTTAATTTTGTCATTACTTTTTTGTAGCCATCTCATTTATATAAAAAAAATGTTTTTAGTGTCTTATGATGGCTCGATTTCATTTCTTCCTAAGGATATATTTGAACTTTTGTATGCTGAAAATAGTAAGTATGCATTGTTCCTGTAATGTTTCTTTAATGATCCTTGATCTTGATGATGATGTCTTTTTTTCTAAGGTATTTTTTCATCATACTAAGGCTCCGATGTGTAAACAGAGCTCTAATCGTAGTTACATATAGCTAGTAGGCTATTTTTGGATATATATCCCATAATTTATTACAAAATAGCGCATACTTTTTTTTATTGTTTTGTCTATATGTTTCTTCCAGGTAAGCTTTTGATCTGTTATTCCAGGATACTTTTTTTACTCGAGAAAGTTTTATTTTTATTAAATTCACTAATTTCATGGTCCGCTTGACCAATTAATATATTACAATTAATTAAGGTTTTTAGTTGAGATAAAAAAAGTCAATGGCACGAGCGGGATTCGAACCCACGATCTTCGGCTAGATACGCCGCTGCTCTACCACTTGAGCTATCGTGACCTCGATCCACTCGGACACCAACTTCCTATCTCAAGCGTACCTTTTGAGTTTTCCCTCCTTTTCGCCATTTTTCAAATGTCGTGTAATCGGATTGGATTTTTGGCGACAATTGAAATGGCCACGGAGAGCTTTAGTGAAGTATACTTCATTTTAAATCATTAAATTCACTAATTTCGTGGTCCGCTTGACCAATTAATATATTACAAATAATTAAGGTTTTTAGTTGAGATAAAAAAGGAGGGAAAACTCAAAAGGTGCGGTTGAGATGGGAAGTTGGTGTCCGAGTGGATCGAGGTCACGATTGCTCCAGTACACGCAGCGGCGTATCAAGCCGAAGATCGTGGGTTCGAATCCTGTTCGTGCCATTGACTTTTTTAGCTCAACTAAAAACCTTAATTAATTGTAAGTTATTTTTAGTGTTTTAAAGAGCTTTTAAGCTAAACTTCCTTCTCTTAGTGAAAATTATTAGTGTGGTTTTGTTTGGGTTGACATCCGACCCATATTCTCACTCCATCTTTCTACTAAATTAAGGGCACTTTGCATTTCAGATTAAATTTAATTGTATTTGTCTCTTATTATTAATACTAGGTCATCAGCATAAACTAGCTAGCCTAAGCTCTATAATCAGGTCTGAAGTTCTGAACCGAGACGCTCATCAACAATTTTGATTCGGAGATTGTCGCATAGTTTCATAATAGCAAATGAAATAAAAATACGGTAAAAAGTTTAATACTTGGGTAAGAATTTAATAATGCTTTCATGCACTAGAACTTTTTGAAGTTTCCTTTCCCCGAAACCAGACGCCCTGTGGGGAATAATAGAGCGTGAGAGTTTTTTTTCTACGCTAGAGGCTGTTCCTCACTAGGCATCATTCCGTATTTCACAGATGCACGTTACATTTGGGAAATCATGGAGGAAGATATCGCACGAAGTTTGCATCCTCGAAGTAGAACATGACGACATGTCCGATAGCGATCGATGGAAGAGTTGGTCATTTCACACTATCCGCGTTCTCGATTTTACTGACCGCTTATCAAAAGAGGGTTAAATGGGATCATCACTTTCATGGCACCTTTAAACGCTGTGTAGCGTTCGTTATTGAATGATTTGAATTAATAAAACTGGTCCAAACGTCATACTGAAAATATCAACCAAACTCACTATTTTTTTTAAAATAATTTTTCCAAATAGCAAATGCATCTGAATTGAATTGCCTTTGCCCTGCTGGACTATTATTGATCAAAGTTTAGATTTGAAACAGTTAAATATAGGCAATTGAAATTTCCCAGTGACCTGAATGGTTTCCATAAAAGGCCGTCGGCCGAATCTAATTCACTCGGTAAAAGCAGAAGAATCTACAGACATAAATCACAAAACAAACAACCCCCATCCTCATCGACCCCAATAATTTTCTTTCTTAGACAGGCTCTGAGAGTAAATTCGTGTTTGCATTAAGAGATGGGAGCTTTCTCGTGTTCAACATCTTTGATTTTTTCTAGACCGATTAAATCAACCAATTGTCAATACAAGCAATTTTTTAAATTCTTACTTTCCAGAAATGTATGTACTTACTTATCATAGTCTATATTTTTATTTTTTTAAAACGAGGATTCGCAACAGCAGAGTTTTCTCAGAGAGAGAGAGAGAGAGAGAGAGAGGAATAAAGATAATAAATTACAGCAATATGAAATGAGAAAAGGAACGATAAAAAGTGAGTGAGAGGGGAGAGAAAAAGAGAGAGAAAGAGAGTAAGTGAGTGCGAGAAAGAAAGATGAAAGAGAGTAAGAAAGAGTGCGATAGAGTGATAGAGAGAGAGATCGAGAGTAAATGAGTGCGAGAAAGAAAGAGTGAAAGAGATTAAGAAAGAGTGAGATAGAGCGATAGAGAGAGAGATCGAAGAAAAAGAGGAATAAGGTCAATAAATCATTGCAAGTAAGAAATGAGAGAAGGAACGAGAAAGAGTGAGTGAGAGGGGGAGGGGGAGAGTGAGTGTGAAAGAGAGAAAGAGAGGGTGAGTGAGAAAGAGAGCGAGTGAGTGAGTGTGTGATAGAGAGAGAGAGAGAGAGAGTGAGAGATTAAAATATTTTGGCAAAAATTCAGGAGTTTAGGCGAAAGATAATACATCATCTGAAAATGGCAGATATTAGCCTTTTTCCTTCTACGACGACTCTCACTTCTTTCCAAGTGCACGTATTAATTTTGTTTAAATCTAACAAGTTATTAAACAGTATTGGCGAAAAAGGGACACCTTTTTTCACGCCTTTTTCGACTAGAAAGTACTCGCCAACTACACCCATTTGCTCTCCAGCCGCGGTACTTTTCTCTGAATACCATTAGAAATTTACTCATCTCCAAAACTCGACTTATTCATCTAGAGCAAATTAAATCAGAATATATAGTAGCAATAGAGCAAAATAAATGACAATCTCGTCGAGCGTTATTCTAAAAATTGATTTTTCTTGATGACTAATAACAAAGATCAACTCTGGAAAAATTTTATCTGTCGAGGCGTAAATAATTAACCTTTCAGGTGACGGGTTGCAATGGTCTGAACAGTGAATTTAATAAGGTTCAATTCCTTTCCACAATTTATTATTAACTTACGATGTAAATAGAAAAGATATTTTTCAATAATTGAAATTCAAAGAATGAGATGGATGAACTGCTATTAAAGGGAAACAAATGCTTCTCAATAAATACATATTGCATAAACAAGTTTATTATGTTAATATTTAATTCAAAATTTTTGATGATCTGGATTATGGTACATCCGTGGAAACTATACAACGACAAGATACTCTAATGAAATGCAGTGTATTTTGACGTTGAAACGTTGAGAAATTTTAAATTTTTTTTAGCAATAGACTAATGAAATAAGGTCCGATCTGTTTATGTTTACAATTACTTTGCCTCCTCAAACGTCGTTTTTCCTAAAAAGCCTTTTTACTCGATTATTTATGATGGGCTCCCATCTAAAGATTGTCGTAATTGAACTACTGTCACTCCGCGGGATAGGACGTAAAAGGTAATTCTGCCGGGCAAAGGACGACATGGGAACTAACCTTAGGGAGAATTCAACTAAAAACTTGAATTATATTGAAAGATATTAATTGGTCAAGTGGACCACGAAAAATAGTGAACTTAGGGAGATTAGTAAAATCAAGGCAATACGACAAAATCATGTTGTTTTCAAAAAAGTCCCAGTAAATTCATTCTAAACCCGCAAGGCCTGGGAGTATGGCAAAAGTGTAGGTCTTATGAGCCAGTAG